GGTTTTTTTATTTGAAGTGGAAAAAATTTCCAGAGGATGTTCGAAACCTCATAGAGAGAATTGCTGAACTCTCATCATCAAACCCTCATAGAGAAAAGAATTTTTTGTAAATAAAAATTTAGAAAAAATAAAAATGACTTTTTTAATGCTTAATTAGGCAATCCCGGAGAATTGGGGTTTCTTCGAAAAAAAAGTTTAAAAATAAGAAAAAGGTTTTTTCTAGGGTAAAAAAATATACTGATTACGAATCTGAGCTCGGATTTTGAAAAAGTCGAATCCCGGACCCGAATTCGGAATTTGACCCCGGACATTGTAGGACATTGTACAAAATGGTCAGTCTTTCATATGCAGGTAGAACTCATCGAGATGCATCGAATGACACCAAAATCGATGAAATCCGACATGATTGGACCGAGATACAGACCCCGGAATATTGAAAAACCATTGGGGTGATTTTTTGGAGTAAAAAAAAGTTTGTGCAAATGATACCTCATTCGAAAGAGCTCGTCGAGCTGAGTCGAATGACACAAAAATTACAGTGATTCATCAAGTTTTGACAAAGTTATGACATAAGTCGCAGACTCCTACAGTACTCCCATAGGTATACTTTATGTCATAACTTTGTCAAAACAGGTCCAATCACGTTGATTTTGGTATCATTCGATGCAGCTCGATGAGCTCTTTCGAACGAGCTATCATTTGCATACTCGAAATCCGGGTTCAGGGTTCGAAATTTGGTTCGGGTCCGGGATTCGACTTTTTCAAAATCCGAGTTCAGATTCGTAATCAGTATATTTTTTTACCCTAGAAAAAACCTTTTTCTTGTTTTTAAAATTTTTATTCGAAGAAACCCCAATTCTCCGGGATTGCCCTTAATTATTTAAGAATTTCAAACCTTTACAAGAGCACAAAATAATTCTTCCAATTCAATCATTTTATTTTCTATATTACATATTCGTTCTCCAATTTGTGTAACACTTGATAAACAATAAATATCATCACAGTCTGGCCGTTTATGAGGTTCATAGAAGCGCTAAACAAAATTTTTGTTTTGCAATAAAATTAAAAATAAAACCTTTTTAGTAACAGGATCAATTTGACCTAAAATTTAAAGAAAATGAAAAAACAAAAAATAATTGATAGAGGTAAGAATTGCGAGTTCGAAAAAATTTAAAAACAATTATAATTTAAATTATAGGTGGAAGAATAGAAACGCCAAAATATTTCAATTTTACACAAAATGTTAATAAAATAAACTTACATATAGAATGCTTTCCATCTGTACGTTCCTTATCTGCCATATGTCCTTTACGAGGAATTTGTTTTTCTTTGTTTATGTTAGTAGAAATCTGACTAAAAATATTTTTGAAAATAAAAAGAGAACTAAAATACCCAGCATTTCTCTTTCTTAACTTGTTAGAATATGGAGTTTTATCCTTCTCTTCATTACTAAAAATTTAAAAATTAATTCTTTAAAAATTTTCAAAAAAAAACCTGTCAACATCTTTATTCTTCTTACTCAACCACCTTATTGCAGAACTTTTAGAACAAATTCCCATAGCCAATTCTGCAGCAGAAATTTCTGGATTTTCTTTAAATCTCTTCTCCAAAAGTTCCTGATTTACTCGATTAGTTTTTCCATCACTAAATCTTTTAAATAAATTTCTTGCTTCATCCTCAGTAAGAACAGTCTTTCCAAACATTTCATTAACATATCGAGTAGCTTTGCTTGCATTGAGTTGATACGGATTAAATCGATTACGTAAAATTTTAAGAATTTCATCGTGAGTGGGGGAGCCTAAAATTAATAATTTTGAAAGTTATACTTTACGGTTTGTAAGGGGAATATTGTATAAATGAAAAGAAAACCTTTAATTGATTTGAATAAAATTATCCTTAAATTTTATGAACATCGAGAGTACAAAAAATTCACATCTCCCAACCAACCCCACCCCCTCCCTTCTAAAAACAAAACTAACCATCATCAAATATTTTGTTTTGCAAAATATCCATCATAAGTTTTTGTACTTCTTCTTCAATTCCTTTATTATCCACTATAATACAGCAATCACTAGCTGAGTCATCTGTCATTGATTTATCGTCATTTAAAGAATTTATCGAATTATTGAATGTTGTCAAATCAATATCAGAATTTTTAAGTGAAATACTCATATTTAACTGAAATGTAAAACGTAGGAAAATTTTAAATTAACTATATTGCATTCTAAATAATATTTATAAAATAAATTATGAGTAGTTGCAGATTTTTACATTAACGCCCGAAAAATTTTTTTATTAAAATTAACGCCCCCCCCCCCCTACGCCCGAAAAAGCACAAGAAAAGTCTAGAGTCAAGATTGGCTACATTTGAAAATGTTCTTTAGAACATTTGAGAGCTCGTTTGTTCAGTGGACCGAACTGGGAGTTGGCATGAACTGAGGGGGCCGAATTAAGGGAGGGCCGAACTGGGGCGCAGCCACAGACAAATAGGAGAAAACGCAGTTGGTCAATGAGACAATAGGCCGTGTGACATTTAAATCTGGACCTTAGATTTTTCAATAATTCCTTCTTTGGGTTGGGCTCGGACTTTTTTCATCAAACAAATAAAAAATCTTTTATTCTTAACAAATTATCAACAACAAATTATTTATTTTTAAACAACAAATTAATTTATATAATCAAACAGAACAATTATCATTAATTTCATCTACGTCTTATTTATCTATTGCTGCTATTTGAGGTATTAGGTACGCTGACTCCCATATATTGTTTAGGTCGTTGATCCTAAAATTGTTAAAAAAATTTATGAAAATTTTATTCTTTTTTTCAAACCTCCCAATCCATTTGTATACCCCAATTTAATCTGCGTACTCTCAGCATTTCGAAAAATGCGTGCTCAATTCCGACATAATCAGGCCGTCTATAGTAATCCAACGAGCGTAAATAAATCAAAATTGTTGAAAATGCAACAGGGCATCCCTTAAACAAATTTTAAAAAGGGAAAATTCTTTTTGGGTATACTTACAAACATATAATGAGAATCCATTAATTGTTCTTTAAGTATCTTTGTTAGAATTCGAGTCTTGCCCTGCCATGGAAGGCGCGCTATAGCTAATTCCACCAACATATAGAGAATTGACCACAAATCGTCGTGTCTCCCGTGCTCATTTCTTTTATGCGCTAGAAATTAGAATTTTGAACAAGTTTTTGTAATCTATCAGACTAACCGTTTAAGCTACAATAAGCTGGGGTTCCGCGAAATGGGACGTCTGGTCTTGGCCTGCGCAAACTCATTTCTCCTCGAGTTTTTATTGATCTTGCAAGTCCAAAGTCAAAGAGATACAACCGTTTGTGGTTAACTTCATCAATTGCAAAATTGCTTGGCTTTATATCGCGGTGCACAAAATATGTGGAATGCATAAAAGCAACAGCCTATAACCAAAAATAATTTTTTTTTAAATAAATTAATTTATTTTTACATACCCGGACTGCCTGTATTCCAATCTTCAGTATCGTGCCGATTGAGAATCGTCCGTTGAGTTGTTGCTTTTGTAATTCGTTCAATGAAGGGCCAAGAAGTCCCATTATGAGGACACGAAATCCGCCTTCCTTTGCTGCAAATAGAACAATTTAATTTTAAAAAAACCACAAAAAACATTACTTTGACAACTCCCATATTGTTGAAATTGGGCAGCGTAAGGAGAAAACTGCAAGCGCTTGAGAATGTGTGCCTCGAGAGGGAGAAGCTGATCAGATCTGTCTATGTTGGTACGCTCGACTTTCATTGCATAATCCTTTCCTTCTTTTGAGACTACTCGGTAGACAACACCACACCCACCTAGAAATGAAGGGGGAATGTGAAAATGATTAAAAAGTTGTTTTTATTACCCGCTCCAAGTCGACTCGTGACCTTATAGTTGCCAATTGCTTCTCCAACCACCAAATTAACAGCATTACCGTCTGAAGTGGCTTTTTCGACTGCTGGAACACGACCCCCCAAACTTTTAGCTGTTTGTTGTATTTCATTCCTTCTAGTCTCGTCAGCCTTCACAGTTTCGAATTTGTGTTGTCCTTTGACGGGAGGTTGGTCGGAAGAAATAGCAATAGCTGTCTTCACACCCTTCTCCGTGATGTCCTTTGCCTGGTCACTCTTCTTTTTCTTTTTGCCGTATGGTGAAAGGACGTATGTCGTAACTGGAACGAGCAGCTGCAGATGGTACCATTTATTTGGTTTTTGCTCTTTTTGATCGAAGGACTTGGACTTGATGTACTTCTTGTTTGGAGTCGACTTCTTTTTCTCTTCACGAGTAGGAGATTTCTGGTTGCTTTCCCTCTTTCTGCCGCTTTTTTTCCTTCCCTCAGTTGTTCCCTTCTTCTTCCTGGCAGCTTCCTTCTTCGAGTCTGACTTCTTACCCCTAAGACATTGTACCAAAATCGTTGTTGAGCAGGAAATGAAGATAAGCAGAGTTGCAATGATTGTAGACTGCATTCGAATGATTTGGACGAAAAAGGTTTTCCACTTTTTCTCACTTGCTTTTATAGTAAATATTTACAGATCCCTAGTAGGGCTGGGCGAAACATCACAAGACCAAGAGAGGACGATATACGGTCGCCGTGGGCGAAGCAAGCAGCGACCGTAGCAAAGCGGTATGGAAAACCTGCCGAATCTGGGTAGAACCGAGAGCACTAATCGAATTTTTCACCCTAAAATTGAGCCTACTTTTTCATTATTTAGGGGGCCTGTATCTCTGCGTCTTCATCTTCTACTAGAAAAAAGAATTCGAATATATTCAAACTCATCTCGGCAAGATGAATCGATGGTATATATTTCGAATTTGGGTCTTGAGCCCCTCATACAGCAAATTGATTATTAAATATTTATTTATTAGATTTACAAAAGGAAATTGGATAAAAAGAAAGATACAGAAAATATAAATCTACATATAGCAACTGGAAAATCTGCCGAATCTGGATAGAACCGAAAGCACTTACCAGGGACGGACGTTAGAGCCGAAAATTTTGAGAATTTTGCAAGGCAAGAAGCCATACTTCCTCCTTTTTGCGCCGCTAATAAGTGTATTTTTAGGGGTATTTTTGCGTTATTTTCAGGCAAAATTTACGCAAAAAGCATAAATGCCATAAATCAACGAAAAATGCAATGCGCCCGTTCCTGGTACAGATACCTTAAATTTTGAAATAAAGCCTCCAATTGAATTAGAGCCTAACATTAAAGCGAGGGGTGTGTATTTCAAAATTGAGGTAATTTATAAACAAATATCATTGTAAATGATCGAACTAAAAATCTAAAAAAAAATTTGATAAAAGTTTTTACATTCATTTTCATTGCGATTTAACATTCTTTGACCCGTACTGCAATAATTCTGAGCATTTAAAATTGGTTTGCGGTTCATATAATTTACAAATAATAACACGTTTTTGAATTCTTCCAAAAATTAATGGTGGAATGAATATTCTAAAAATTGAGAAAAAATTTTAGTCGATAAATTCAGTTTCTTCTCCTTACCCTTTTTCATTAACATTTGCTGGCCTTCCCAATTTTAAATGCCGAATTAATTGTCTCAATTGAAGATAATCTTTAATTTCCATATTTAATGGATAATCAAGTAACGAATATGCGAGTGCTCTTAAATGTGCTTGAAAATTTTGTCGAAATTTTATATCTGGGAATTGAATTGTTGAATCAATCCATTCAATATTACGTTCAACAACCTCAAAAAAATTTTTTTAATAAAATTTATTTTAATATTAAAAATTCACAGCTTGTTTTTCTTCAACTAGACTAGATTCATTTACTCCATCAAAATAAAAATTAATATAAAGAATTGTTTGTTCAGCATTAATTGACAAAAATTGATTCTTAAAAAATAAATTTTTGAAAATTTTGTAAATCTAAAAAATATTCTCACCGAAATAGCAAATTGTTCTCTGCGAAAAATAAAATTTTGACGAAGAAATTGTTCAAAACAATAAACTAAAAATTATTTTAAAAAAATAAAATAATTATTTGTACATAATTACCCGGATTAAATTTATTTTCTCCAATTGAAACAATCATTTTGGGATCATCAAAAATTAAATCCAAAAATTGTTGGCCTTCGATATAAAAAAGGAAAACAACAGGGATTTCAACCTGAAAAATACTACATTTAAAAATATTGTATTTACTTATGTTCAAAATAAATCAGTTTCAAATTTCCAATGGTTACAAATTATTTTATTAAATTTAAAAAAATCAGAAGTATTCCAAAAATCTTATTGCTAATTAAACATTAATAAATGGGAAGAAACATTTAAGTTTAAACAGTTAATCTCTTTAGACGAGTTATTCTCACCTTCATATTATTTTTATTTTGTCCATCAGAATCTAAATTAGTAGATCCACTCATTGCAAAATAAGGCATATGTTCAAAACTAGAACCTTGTTGATTATCTTTAAATTTAAAGGCAAATTAACTATGAATTCCCTTAAAAAATCCCTATTATTTTTCTCCCATTTTTACAATAAATTAACTACCTACCAATAATAATTAATCCAACAGCTCCCTCTCTTTGTACAAGCAATGCTTTATCTTCAAACATACATTCACCTCTAAAAATAACTGCAATCTTTCCACGCAATTCATTACCATTGAACAATTGAGAACTATTACAAGCTTTGAATGGATCAACTAAAACAATCTCAGCAATAACCTAATTTAAAAATATTTGTTATTTCCAAAAATTTATAACACCTTTTCCCTATTAGTAAAATTCATTCCAAAAGTTGCCGGAGCAGCTGTCCAAGCTGGCAACCCAAAATGTGGAGCAGAAACAATTTGAACTGAGCGTTCATCCCGCATTACTGAAATTTAATTTTAAAATTTTATTTAAATTTCTAAAAAATACAGGCAGTTTCTAACGACGCTTCTTTCCAAAATTTGCCCATTTCTCGAATAAAACGCAAACCAAGAAATGCTAATTTGACATTTTCAGCCTTTAAAAATTTTAATTAAATCTAAATATTGAAAATTAATAAAATTAAAAGTTCTGGTTGTTCTTAAAAATAACCCATTAAAAATAAAAATTACTACTTAAATTGTTACAAATTACTTGAATTTATTGGTGGGATATTTTAAATCTAAAGAAATATTTTTTAATCTAAATTTTTATTTAAAATCTAAAGTTATAAAATGAAAAAAAAATAAAAGACAAAAAATAGACATTATATAGAACCCGGCAAAATATTTAAGTTCTAAAAATTCGAAAGAAATAAAAGAGGATATGAGCAAAAAAGCGATATGTATTGAATTATAAAAAATTCATAAGTATATTATGAAAATTGAGAATGAACTGTAGAATAAAAAATTAAGTGATATGCAAAATAAAAGAAAAATATTTACGAGATTTAAAATGGAATACAGTCAAACATCTCTCCCTAATTTGAAAATAAATTTTTGGGAAATAAAATTCTGTAAAACTTTTCAAAAAATTAAGACTTTCAAACATTTAACAATTATCCAAAAAATTCTTTCAGAAGGTAATGTAACTCGTATGAGTAAAACTATCTGAAGAAAATCAGCTTTTGAATTTTGATTTTCGAATAAAATTAAGCTGTTATTGAGAGAGGAATGACCGTATTCTTTTAAATTAAAAAAACAGCCAAAATTTTGATACATTTAATTCCTTTCCTCTTATTTAGATTTGTTGTTGTTTTCATTTTTTAAATTCATCTTTTCGGCTTGAGTTTTATTTAAAATATCTTCGCTGTCTATGCTTATAATTAGGGTTTGACCCCGAACGCTCGGGGGCGCGTATGTCGGGGTACGGGGTTTTCGAATTGTTTCGGGGCGGGGTTCGGGTCGGGGGAGCAAAATATGCTCGGGGTTCGGGTCGGGGTACGGGGGTTTACTGGAAAAATTTTTTAAAGAAAAAATGCTCTAAAAATAAGCATTTTCGGTCTATTTTTGTTAATTTATTCAGAAATTAATGAGAATAAGGTGGGATTAAATAGAAATAAGAGAAATTGGAGTGATTAATTGGATCTGGAAGTGATTAAAGCGGATATCTGGGAATATAAGAGGATTTGTAGGGACTAAAGGTAGTTTCAAGGGATATCATTGATTTAAGGGTTAACGAGTGATTAGGGATTTGGAGGATATCAGGGTATCTCTTTCTTTTCTGCGCCGCAGGCAAAAGTATGAGAATTTTATAAGGCCAAGAAGCCAGATTTTTTCGTTTTTTTGCGCCGCAGGCGAAAATTTTGAGAAACTTGGAAGGCCAACCGGATGTCTTAGTTTTTTTAGCGCTTCACACGAAAATTTTTGAAATTTTAGCTAAACAAAAAATATTTAAATTGTTTTTTATGGTTGATAATATTTAAAAATTAAATTTACATTTTAAATTAAAATTAAGCTCTTGATTTTGTAAAGAAAAATCCCAAAACAAACGAGTCCAGCTTATTTAGATCCGAACCCAATCCTATATTAATGGAAATATAGGCTAAAAGCAACAACTAAGCCACTCAACCACAAGTCTTTTAACAGAGCAGTAAAAAGAATTTTGATATTTCTTTTACTTTTCTTTCAAAAATAATAAAGGCAAAGCAAATTGAGAGTAAATTTTTAAAATTTTTCTCTTAAAATTCTCCCAAAAATGGCATTTTTTGGGTATATAAAACCCCGATAACCCCGAAACTTTTCGGGTCGGGGTACGGGGTTTTCACTTTTTTTCGGGGCGGGGTTCGGGTCGGGGAGAATCGTGAAAAAATCGTTCGGGAACGGGGTCGGGGTTCGGGGTACGGGGTCGGGGTCAAACCCTACTTATAATACCTAACCTTCTCAAAATAAATTTCAAAAACAAAGGTACAAGTTTGTAGATAAGCATTGCTCCAATTGATAGAGTAAAGGCACAAATCAAAACTGAAGCCCAGAGCACAAATCCAATCAAAACCTTTTGTATTTAGAAAAAATCAAAAGAAGTCAATCTACCCCACTTATTAAGAATTTTTTAGTTCAAGGTTAGATTCTGTCATCTCTTTAATTTTAAGAGTGGTGAATAAGTGGAAGACTTGAGAAACTAACAAAAAATTTGGATTAAAATAATTACCATATGAATATATTCAGCTTTAGAAGTACTACTATGATTCTCTAACAAAGAAGAAAATATTGTAGAAAACGAAAAGGGTGAATATATCTGTGGCGGTTTTGAAGAGAAGAAAGAAAATAATGAATCCAATGCTACAACTGCGCCGCTGGTGATGGTTATGGAACGCTGGAATATTTAAAAAAATTATTACAAAATTTTTCGGGGAATAAAAGGAAAAAAATAAAATTAGAAAAATAAATAATTCCTAAAAAATATAAAATTTTAATTCCTCCCATCACCAGCTTTGCATAAACAAAAAATAATAATCAAATAATTAAATCATGCAACAAAACAAAAAATGTATTTAACAAAATTATGAAACAAAATTTAAAACCCAAAAAAATTAACTACCTGAGAAGAAGTATGAATAAGCTGAATACGTCCATCAGGCTGAAATTCCATTCGAATACCCATACGTGTAAGTTGTTCTACATGTGTTGGATCAATTGGATTAAATGTTGTCGGACGAAGACGTCTATTAAAAAGAATTATTTTTAAAAATTAGGAATCGAAATTATTAGGAATTTTTAGTGGAGTTTTTTTAGTGGAATGACCAAAAAATTTAAAAAATGAGTGGGGCAAAGATTTCACAAATTTAAATATATTTTTCATTTTTGTTGTCTGTTAACTCTCCATTTCTATAATGCTGATCAAAAATTTAAAAATAAAACAAACATTTCTTCATTTCCAAAAATCGACAAAAGTTCATCATCAACAGAATTTTTAATTCCTTCCAAAATTATGTCCATTGTTCCAAGTATTCGATTAACATCCTAAAAATATTATTTTAAAAATATTTTTTTAAAAATATTTTTCTACTTCTCTCAATTTCCCTCCATATTCAACAAGTCCATCAGGTGTTCTTCTCCAAAATGGAAGTTTTGTCTCTTCTTCTTCTTCTTCAATATTAGTTACAGATTCTTTTTGTTCACCTTCTTTCTTTTCACATTTTTCTTCCCTTTCTTCTCTTTGAATTAATGTTGTTGGACAAACTGCAAAAAATTGTTGACTATTTGTTTTTGAAGAATCATGATGTTCAACTATCTCATCTGGGTCAATTAGCATTCGACGAGGAAGCTAAAAAATACAAATTATTTTAACAAAAAATATTATCTTTTACCCTATCATTTGGATCAGTCCCTGCCATTTCAGCAATGGATAAAGGTAAAAAATGTGCTTCTGTTGTAAGAACATAATTATCAGGATGAAAAGGTAAATCATTTGGTTCAGAAAATATCATATATAAATATTTGAAAGTTTCTGCCAACACAAATGACTCCATTCTAAAAAAAAATAATGGAATTGAATTAAAAATTTGTTTTTAAAGTTAATGTAAAGAAAATCTAAGGAAAATATGTATTTACAATAATTAGTAAGAAAAAGTTCGTATTTTTCGTTATTTTTGAAATGTAAAAATAAAATGTACATACATTTCAAAATTAACTAAAATCCAATCATCAATTTATAAATACACATTTTAAAAACAAAAATTAACAAACTGGTCTTCGTGTTCCATTGTCCTAACATCCTTTACCGAAGCAAACCCACAAGGTACTCGGACATTCTGTTCCAAACTTTGCATAATTTCTTTTGCAACTTCCAAATAGTGAGGATCTTTTGTTGCACGATAAAGAAAATATGTACTTTCAATAAATTCAGGGCGGAGAGGATGTTGGGCCCAATGAACCTTTAAAAAATAAAGAAAATAATTTTAAAAACAAAATTTTAAAAAACCTGTAAATCATGAGTGAATGCATCAGGAAGAAATTTGTGTTTCTAAAATTTAGAGTAAAGTTTAGTTTTATACAATCCAAAAAAACCTTAACAACATTATATAACATTTGATGCATTTCTATAGCCCCACGTAAATCTCCTTTCAAAACCTGAATTCCTGGCCAAAACGCTAATAATGCATCCATATACGAGCGAGAAGCAATTTGTGGTCTGTGCATTTGAACATCAACAAATATAGGGCCTTTGTTTAGATGACGCATTATTGCATCATAATGCTGAAAAGAAAATTAAAAAAATAGACATCCTATCATTAAGGTTGCACAAAATATTTTTATTGACTAAATGGATTAAGAAATTAGATAATAAGGATTTAGAAACGTTTAGAATGGACTATGATTATAAAAAATACTGCCCAGCGTTAGAAAGATATAAAAATAAGATTTGTGCAACCCTAATTAAAATTTATATATTATATTCTACTTTATTAAATCGATATAGATAGTCGTCGTCACCGAGTAATATGTATGCTTTAAGTGTGCTGTAAAAAATAAATTTTATTAACTCAACAAAAAAATTTTTAACAAAAAATTAAAACATACTATTCATAATATGAATCAATTCCTGCACCAATTCCTGATTCAGGACGAACCCAATCACCTAAAAATTTTATAGACAAATGATTTAATAATAATATAAACCTGAATTAACATTTAGCACAGTTCCCATCAAATCACTTCCACGATGTCTCTGTGCCCAAAGAAAATCCATTGCTTTTCTGGCCTTTTCTTCGTAAACTGGCCGACCGCTGAGACGGCTTAATGCAGCCCATTCTAAAATCTAGAGAAAAAAAAATTAAAAATAATGGCAACAAAATAGTTACCATTGTTCCACCACAGGCAGTGCAAGTATCATGTTGGCGTTTTAAACTTGGCAAAAGTCCCTTCTTTAAATTTACCTATAAACAAAAAAATATAATATAATTAAAGGAAAAAAGAAAAAAAACCCGAGAATAAGGCACTCCACTTGTTGAATTGAAAGCAGGTAAAAGACGGTCAGCTAAATCTGTGGCCATCCTTAAAAGTTGATCTGAATACCATTCCATTCTTTGTTTATCTTCACGTTGTTTAACCAATAAACTCATTAAATGAGCTAATACAAATATTTCCTTTTCATTTTAATAATTTAAAGGAAACCTGATATCAATCCACCAACCATTCTAATATTTGTTTCAAAAACAGAAACTGTCAAATCAGAATCAAAACTAATTTGTTCAATTGCTAATTTCACTGCCCTTTCAAATTCATCAAATTCGCCTAGAACAACAAGAGTATCAAGTGTATCAACAAGTGTTAGGGAGAAGTTTCCAAGTGCATCATCAACATCTAAAGGATTTTTAAAAATTTTTTATTTAGGAATAGAGAAGTTAAATGAATGTGAAAACAAATGGAAGCTTTTGAATTGACGTCAGAGCGTTCCATTTATTTTTTAAATTTCTCATTTCATTTAATTCCAAAAATTAACTAAACTTAAGATTTTGTAAAAACATCTGGGACTAATGTAAGGATTGGATTATTAACCTTATCTACCAGTTTTCTTTAGCAGAAATTTACGTTAGAATCGCAAAATTAAAACCATATACTCCCTTATAAAATAAAAATTAACCTCCTCTACTCGGTGTCACTCCACGCTGTCTTCCTTTGCAGCTCAAAGGCATCAACTCATCGTGAGGGAATGCATTCTCCATGTAACTCCTATACCCGTGCATAAACATTTCGTGTGCTTTATCCCTAATAAAAATTAGACATAATCAACTAAAAATAATTTTAAAAAGAAACCTAAGTAAAGTTTTATTGAAGACTGCATTCTCATCAAATAAATCACCAATTGTTTCATTTTCAATTTCATTTACTTGAAGAGAAGCATTTGTATCAAAAAAGTAGCAGCAAAAATTAATTAATAAAATTAAGCATGTAACCAATTGATCTTTTAATTTTTTCTTAATTTGCATGCCAAAATCTCTAGAAAAAACTAAATTTTAATGATAAATAAAAATTTAGAAAAAATAAAAGTAGGGAAGTAAATATTTTATAATGAAAAGTGAATAAAAGTATTCTTTTGATTGGCAACTTTTTTTCAATTTTAATACACGTAGTGTATAATTTAATAATTTTTAATGTTAGGCAATATTTATTTATTGGTTTATTTGTTCACAATCAATATTCTTTGGGAAAATTTACTTTTTATATTAAAAGTTTAATAAATACTTATGATAAATAAAATTATTTTTGTGCTAGAAAAGTGGAACTGGTTCTATTAATTTTATTAAAAAAATAAAAACATGCTTGTAACACTTTAAATGGAACAATAAGAAAATAATGCTAAACCTTGTCAATTTCAAATACCCGCTGAAAAAACGTGTTTTTCTTTTGGCCTTAAGTTCTGGGACCATTAGTTAATATTATTGAATTTTTGAAAAACAAAATTACTTATTGATATAACAACAAATTTTTCCTGAAAACACGTTTTCCGATGATTTACATATTTAGGAAAACCCCAAAAATTAAAAAAAATATTTGTAAAAATCCATTAGGTGAACATATTTTTCGCCATCTAATCTGACGATTGACGTACTCTTAAAATAGACAATATAGTGCATGTAGTTCTAAAAAAATTATTTAGAATTATTTAGTTCTCGGTTGATGATGTTGTTGTTGTTGGGAATGTTGTATTTGATGTGATAGCATATTTGGTGTCATCTGATTTGATGGTAATGTAACTGTTGGATTGCCTCTAAATATTAATATGTAAATACTCTTTAGTAATATGTTTAAATTGAATTTTAATGAAGAAAATTGAAAAAAAAATCAAAAATAAAAGTTAAATTCAACGTAAAATCAATTATTTTAAAAAACCCCTTTCAAAAAATATTCAATACAAAAATAACCCTAATTGTGCTGCAGCCAACAAAGCAGCCTGATAGAGCAACTCTGGTGGTAAACTTTGAAGTTGTTGTTGTTGAGCTGCTGTTAATTGATTTGCTGATTGTGGATTTGAAGGAGAATGGAGGAGTTCATTATTTCCAACAGAAGCAGCTGCAGCAAGCGCAGTTTGAATATTAACAGATAATGCAGCATTGGGAATGCGTTGCTGTTGTTGCTGTTGAGCAGCAATGGCGGAAGCCAATTGCTTTAAAATATTAAAAGATAAAATTTTCAATTTAATTTACAGATTGTAATTGCTCAAATTGTTGTTGTTGTTGTAAAAGTGCTGCATAATTCGGAGATGGACTAGGTTGTAAATTTTGTTGAAAATTTTGTAGATTAGGTGTTGATGCTTGTAGAATTGTTTGACTTGTTGGAGTAGAAGAACCGGGAAAATTTTGACCCAACAATTTTGCAACAGCATTTTGTAACTTAAATTTAAAATAAATTTTTTAACAGAAAAAATAATTTAAACTTCTTGTTGTTGTTGAATAGCAATAGTTTGTTGTTGTTGTTGTTGTGTAGATTGACCATAAGGAATAGAAGGAGTAAATTGCTGTTGTTGCTGAGTAACACGAGATAGTTGCTAAAAATATTTAATAAAAATATTTAAATGACACTCCTTTGAGGTTCAACGCTCGAATTTACTATTTCGGTTCCCATTTCAGTCACGGCCAAGTATGACCTTGTCATTCAACAATCAAAATAATCATTCAAAAAATCTTTATAAACGAATTTTTAAAATTTGGCTGATACAACCCGATCACTAAACAAGAGGATGGGAACCGGATCCATAAAAATTACAAACTTGTTGTTGTTGCTGAACTGCTGACGCCAATAAAGAAGTTGCCAATCTTTGTTGTTCTTCAGCAATACCAACTCCACCCGATGCTGTTGAAGTCGAAACAGCTGATAGGAGAAGTTGTTCTAATGAAGGTTGGCGCTGTTGTTGAGGACCAGATACTTAAAAATCGGATTTATATTGTATGTAGTGGGTGAATTGTGGGGATATCCTATGAACACTTATTTAATTTAAGACAATTTTAAATTATTGTAAGATTAAAAATTCTATAAAATGATTAGAAATGTTTAAAAAATTAAACAAGAAGTCGAGGGCGAACTCGAAGTTTGACCATGCGGAGTTCCTGTAGGACCAGCAGAAGCAATCAATGAATTTAAATATTGCTATAATTTAATTTAAAAATGAAAATAAATTGTTTGAAAAATTACTTGAAGTTGTTTAAGTTGGAAATAAGCATCAGTTTGTTGTTGCTGTTGTTGAGCCGCAGCTGCTGCTGCCGCGGCGGCTGCCAATCTTTGTTGTTCTTCAGCAGCTGCCGCCAAAATTTGACGTTGACGTTCTGCCTAAAACACGAACAGACATTTAAAATCTTCAAAAAATAACCTCCTCTTTATGCCTTTTACGTTCAATCTCTTTTTGATGGAGTGCTTTTAATTTATTTAGTACGTCGTGTCGCTCATGATTTAAATTGTTAAATTTACTTAAATTAAAGCAGAAATTATTCCTAAATATTTGAGAAATCATTTACCGCTCCCAATGAAGTTGTTCACTTTTTGCTTGTGCCAATTCATTTCGTGCATTTTGAAGCGTCGCTTGTGCGTCCATTTTCTGCTTTTTCAATGCGTTTTGTTGAGCTAGCTCGGCTTCAGCACGTTGATTACGTAGTCGAATAAATTGAATTAGACAACGAGTTCGACTGACTGGATCATCGAATGGACTAGACAATTCGCCTAAACAGGTCAAAATAATTCTTGTTGGTTTAAACTTTCTGGAATATTTCTTAAATATTCCAAATACTCGTTAAACATTCCTCCTCTCGGGACTATCGCAAAGAGCTGAAGATCGTACTAAATCTAGTTTACTCCCGCTTTTTAAAATCATTGGACATTTTTTAGTAAAAGCCAAACCTCTCTCCTTTCTCCTAAATATTTTAACAAAAATTTTCCAAATATTTTTATTTGTCTGTAAGACCCCCAAATTTAAATCAAGATTATTTATAAAAACCTGAAATATCACCAATTTCAGAATTAACTTCACTTTCTTTCTTCTCAACTTCAATACCCAAAGACATTGTATTTTCAGTTGTTGCTGAAATTTCTGGTTCTTCAACTTCCATTTTTTCTATTTTTACTGTTGGATTTGGCATTTCCCAAAAATAATTTTAAAAATATATAATTCAAACAAAAAATTAAATTATAAATATACATATATAACTTTAATTGAACAAAAGTTAGAAATTTTTATAAGAATAAAAAAAATTAATTATACATTTGTAAATTAAAATATTATATAAAAATATAAAGAAAAGTTACAATATTCACAATTAACTAATAAACACAGGCCCACATACCGAAAAAATTTCCCTTGTAAATGTTTGACTATATTCTATTTCCTCTTAAATCTTTATTCCAATCTCTAGGACAACTTCTCTCCCCCCAACTACTGACATGTTTACAAATTCAAACAAAAAAATAATTTTATAAAGAAAACCCCAAAAGAGGTGAAGGCCTCATGTCAGCTTAAAAATATTTATTTAAATAACACATTTAACTCGTACTTGGCTTTTCGTTAATTTTCTCTTCTTTTTTATCTTCTCCTGCCCCCAATTCTCCACGCGCCTCCCTCCAATGCAAAGCCCCAGACCGACGTCCCTGATTTTGTGCTTCGCTTCCATCACGTAATTGCGCATCAGGAGAAAGGAATTCAAGAAGTTCAGTCAATATTTGATTTCGAAGCTGAACACGGCGTTCATCTGTGACGAGACTAGCCAGACGGGCATTCATTTTCTAAAAATCATTCAATTTATTAAAGATAAAATTTCGACCCCGTACTTTTATAAAATTTATCAGAACAGGTTCTCTAACTTTTGTACGACGTTGAATGGCTTCTTTATGATCATAATGATATCTCCACGTGACATCTTAAAAATAGAGCATAATAAAAGAATAAAAATTGATAACCTTGCATGTGATCAATGGCAAAGGCAAATACGTAAGCGTGCTTTTTACCCCATCCCTATAAAATTAATAAGTAAGGGAATAAGAACTTAAAGTATCGAAATTATTCAAGGAAATTAATTTAGCTATGTTAATTGTAAATACATTTTAAACGTATTTTATGAAGATTTTTGGGAAAAAAACTAAAGTATTCAAAATTTATGATAAAAAGAAAATCAAAAAATTCATAAAAATACCTTGTCATAAATTAAAGGTGTATCAATCACATTCTCGCAAGGATCACAATGTAGCCAACGCTTAAGTTGATCGGACCAAACCTCAACCCAAACATGGTCTAGATTATCAATTACAGAGCTTTAAATTTAAAAAAATAACTTTCTATAAATAGATATACCGGGTTTGGAGTCCAAGTGCTCGGCAACACAATGCAAAACAATTGGCATATTCCCCACAACGTCCTCTTCTAAAATTAAAAAAATTTTTTAAAGAATAAAATTCCAAGCACCTAGTTTCCAATAATTTTGCAGGATTATTATAACGTGGAAAACGCAATTCCTCTTTACAATTTTCACAATTATAGAGCTCAACAGTAGTAACCTCATCTTGAGCCTCATCTTCAGTTGGAAAACCAACCCCAGCTAAATAAATATTTAACTCATTTTTAATAAAAATAACCTCTTTTTCCTTCAATTCCACACTTTTCACATTTTGGAGAATTAACCCATTTAAAAAACGAATGGAACCAATTGAGAAGTTCTTTTGCCAAAAGGTAATGGTTTACTTCATTTTCAAAAGTAGCCTTTTGACGCAGTTCGTCTACTGGGATAATCGAAAGAGCTAATGTTTGATTGAGCTCATCCTCATAAATTGCCATCTAATCAATTCAGAAAAATTAAAAATATATATTAGAAACAAAACTCTTTCGCTTGAATGAACAAATTGCCCCAACCATTCTCTCTCTGCAGCATTTGCTACATGTTCACCAGTCTTAGTTATTTTGGAAAGTCCATCATTAATTAATTTTAGAAGGCCATTTGGATCGGCTCCCTGAATCCGTCCAATCTCTACACGATTTAATAGGATGAGAAAAGTGGGCATTGCACGAATAGAATATTGTTGAGCGACGCCTAAATAGATAGTCTAAAGGTCAGAAAAAAAGTGGTGATAAACAAAAAATCTAGATTAAAAAATGAATTTGGTAAAATTCAAGTTTGCCCCCTCTTTTTCCTTCCTTAAAGTGTATAGAGTCGTCAAGTATACCAGGACAGCAAAAAAGTCACAGATAATTATCTTTGAGTTAATTTCGTTAAAAAATTATTTTAGAACCTTGACATCTGTCGACATCAATTTTAAGAAACATTGCTTGAGCAAAATCACTAGAAAAACGCTCAAAAATTGGAGCTATTGTTCGGCAAGGCCCACACCTTAAATAAAAATTAGAATAAAATATCTAAATTGTTTTACCATTCAGCATAAAAGTCACAAACAATTAATTTATTTTCTCCAGCCTCTGCCATTGATTGTTCGAATTCATTATCACTGTTGATGTGCTTGACTACCATAATTATTCTGAAAATTAAATTCTATAAAAAATAAGAAAAATTCAGTGAAAAAAACAGCAGTTGCAACGTTACAAGGGAGGGAAAATTTAAAACTCAAATTTCACCGATCATTAGACTCTATTGGGAATTAAATACATTATGCCAAAAAAAATTTCTAAGCAAATTTTTAAATTATTTTCTAATAATCAGATGAAAATTTACAATTTTTTGTCCTCAAATATTGTTCTTAATGCCGAATAAATGGACGGAGGATAGTAGTAAGCATTTTATCGCTGGCGGGCTTGCTGGTAAGTATTTGTATTAAAAATTTATTAAGTAAAATTTAAAAAAAATTTAAAGGAATAATTGAAGTTTGTTTTGCCCATCCTTTTGATTGTGTGAAAACTCGTGTTCAAATTGGTCAATATAATAGAATTATAGAATGTTTGAAATCCACAATTAAGAATGAAGGATTTTCTGGTTTTTCTTTTAAAAATGAATTGTTTATTTAATTTAAATTTTTAGGTTTTTATAAAGGTCTTTGGCCTCCTTTAATTATAGAAACACCTAAAAGGGCAATTAAATTTACAAGTTTTGACTTTTTTCGACGTGCATTTTGTGCAGCAGATCAATATTTACCTGAATGGACTGTTGGGTTTTAATTTTTTATTCAAAATAATTTTTCTCTTTTTTTATCTTCGAGCCTCATTAGTCCGTTTCGAATATGAAAAAACTTACTGAAAAATCTTTCTGTTTCATCAATGATTAAGCTCCTTTTTTGTAATTTTCTATAGGCTTTATATAATTTTTTTTCTTTCCATAAATCCACAAACTCTCATTCTCAAGGATTTCTTTAAATAATTTTTCTCTTTTTTTATCTTCGAGCCTCATTAGTCCGTTTCGAATATGAAAAAACTTACTGAAAAATCTTTCTGTTTTATTAATAATAAGCACAAAAATTATTAAGCTCCTTTTTAATTTTCTATAGACTTTATATAATTTTTCTTTTTATTTTAGAGATTCTCGCTAGCTGGTCTTTTTACAGGATTAACAGAAGCTTTGCTAGTTTGTCCATTTGAAGTTGTCAAAGTTAGATTACAATCAGAATTAAATATTCCTCGTTCTATGGTTTTCTTTTAATTTTTTTCTTTATTAAAAATTTTTTTTCAAAGCAAAAAAGTTGGAATTCTATAGCTCTTCAAATAATTCGTGAACGGGGTTTTGGAACTAATGGGCTTTACTTAGGAGTAGGTCCAAACCTTTGGCGGCATGGAGTTTGGAATAGTTGTTATTTTGGAATTTATCATAATTTGAGGTTTTCTTTAAAATTAAAAATTAAATTCTTTTAAATTTAAGGTCTTTTCTTTCCAACCCTTTTTCTACCGAAAATGATCAAAAAATTGGCTTATTCTTTCGTTTTTCAATTGCTTCTTTTTCTGCAATTATTGCTAATTTGGCAAATATTCCTTTTGACGTTGCTAAAAGTAGAATACAAGGTTTTTGAATTTTTTTGATATCAACGCTAGAAAGGAAAAAATAAATTTGAAAAATCTTTTCAATAACATTTGAGAGGCAAATATTTTTTAAATAATTTCTGGAATATTTTTCTAGGCTTTTCCTTAAATTTATTTTTTTCTGACAAATTATTTCTCACTTTGCCTTTTTGCTTATTTTAGTTCCTATAAATAAAAATAAATTTTTTCTTTTATAAAAAATATTTAAAGGACCTCAACCTTCAAAAGATCGTTATTATTTTACTACATGGCAAACAATTAGCCTTGTACAACAACATCAGGGGTTTTTGTCAATTTATAGGTTTTTTTAAAATATTTTTTATTTAAAATTTTATTTTTAGAAGTTTATCTCCGCTAGCCTTTATTTTTGGTTTAGGAGGTGGTTTGATGTTAGTAACCTATGAAAATATATATTCTTGGCTTTGTTTTAACCAAAAAGAGAAAAATGAAAAGCAAATTGTCTCCAACTGTTTATCAACACCGCCGGCCGCAGATATTCTTTAAATTTATTAAAACATAGTTTTTAAAGTTTAAAAAACAAGTTACAGATTATTTCTAAATTTTTTGGTTAACCGAACCGAAAATCCCGATAACTTGAAATTTTTTATTCAAAATTTAAATTTAAAAATTGTCTATACCTATGAAATTCTGGTAATGGTGTACAATTGTAGGTATTAGACAATGCTGATCACGAATCTGATATCAGGTTTTGCCTATAAAAATGATTTTCACAAGAAAAAATTTTTTAATGTTGTCTCAATTGTGCACAATTACCGAAATTTTATATTTAACTCTTGCCTGTATTTTTGTTCTTTGTAAAAATAAATTCAGATTAAGCTTTTGAGCCAGTGTTTGAGAGAATTTTTAAAACTTCCCACAAAATTTTGTATTAAACTAGTCCAAATACTGGCAACAACTTTCAGTACATACCTTATTTTCTGTCTGTATTATATCAACGTTGTATTCATTTTTAAACTTCTAGAGTCAAATTTTTAGATAGATTTATTTAAACTTGTTTAGCTTTTATTGTATAAATTTGAATTAAAAAATAATGTTCATTTCTGTCAGTATTCCAACAACTGGAAGATTGTTCAAATATCGGGGGATTTTTAAATAACAGCTGGGATGTCGTTGCAGTCAGAAACTTAACTGGCCGCGCGCCCACGCTCGACTAGAACAAGCTTAATCGGTTTCTTTGATAAAATATAAATATACTTATTATCAGTTCATTTGTATAGTATATTTTACCCGAGATTGTAGTTCTTACTGTATTGGATTTGGTTGAACGGGTATTGTTCCAGTTAATCGTAAGTCGAATTTGATTGACTTATCTTTTTTTAGTATTGATTCAATTTTGATAATATTTCTATCATTCGAAAGCCTTTAATAAACAGAATTTTTCTTCAAAAAAGTCAAACATTCCACAAAAAATTAAAATCAAAACAACAAAATGACAAAAACCCTGTTTTGGCGCGTAATGGGAATTCAAACGTGGCTTGTATTTTGATGGCTTGACGAGAAACTTTATACCTATGTATTTTCCCTTTCATTGCTTGATAGTTTATGTTTAATTTTTACTTAATTTTTGTTTATATTTTAAGGCAACAATTTTTTTAAAAATTAATAAAAAATGCCAGATGCAAAAGATGACTCTTTTTGTTATGTCAGAAAGTATTTATACTATTTAAAAACTGATTAAAAATTTAAGAATGGCAAAAACAATCGAGAACGATGAAAAACGTTTTGTGTTTCTGCGAAGGTTTTTTTAAGTTTTTAAATAAAAACTTCCAATTTTTCAGTCAAGTAAATTCAGTAGAAGATTGTATGAAGGATGGGCCAAAGAAGTGTCAAACAATTAAATCTTTGGTTATTTTGGCTTTGGAAGAATTTATTCCGATAGAAAATTATAAAAGTGATCCTAGAATGCTTGATTTTTGGTACCTGATGGTAAGTAGAATTTTTTAAAAAATATTTTGAGAATAAATTTTGCGGGCAAAAATAACTTTCGGATTCATTGAATATATATAGTAGTACAGACAAAATCGATTTTTATTGAAGATGTCATTCCTTGTAATTTGGCTATATAGAATTACTTCAACTAGAAGTATAGTACCACAAAATCCGCAAAATTTGTCCGCAAAAATTAAGAGAGGGATTTTTATGTGTTGAAGTACTAAAATAATCTTAAAATCAAATTTTCTATAATTTATTTTTGCTGTTTTTTCAGACTTGCATGCCTGGTGTGAAACGTAACGCAGTTCATTTCTCTCCAGTGCAATTTGACAGCCAAAAGCAAAAAATGTCTTCTTCTGACACCTTTACCCAACTTGCTAATCAATTAGCAGCAATTGGTAAACAAATGGAAAGCAACAGTGGAACCGATAATACGACAACAATGCAGCAAATGTTTCAATTTTGCACCACATTATTGACTCAAATGGCTCAACAGCAAAATTTAATTATGGAACAACAACAAACTATTCAAAAACTTCAAATGCGTGACACTCTCCTGGATCTCATTGAAGAAGAAAAACAACAAAAAGCAATCGTGATCACCAATCTACCTGAAAGCAATTGTGAACATGCAAAGGAGCGTGTGGAAGAAGATTTTGAACAAGTCAAAGAAATTCTTGATTTATGCGATGTGGAATGCAGACCAAGTCAAGTTTACAGAATGGGAACAATTTCTGGAAGACCGCGACTTTTGAAGGTGGAATTACCAACCAGGTTTTTTGCAAGAAAATTTTTATTGAATAAATCAAAATTAAAAAATTCTAAATTTAATAAGTTATTTGTTCGTAAATCTTTGTCTAAGGCTCAGCGAGCCGAACGGTCTAGGCTTATTGAAATTTGTAAAACTTTGCATTCCCAAAATCCCAACTCCGATCATGTTATTTATGCTGACCATGTCCTGTCCGCTAAGGACATCCCTTTATTTAAATCAAACCCCAATAATTTTAAATGTGTTTGCCACAATGCATAAGGAGTAAGGGATGGCCACTTTGATACCTACCAGTTGACTAAAAATAAAAATTTTTCAAAAAATAAAATAAAAAGTGGTTTGATAAATATAAGATCAATTAGAAATAAAATGGATGAGTTTTTAATTAGTTTAAGAACACTAGGTTTAGAAATGCTGTTTATTACTGAAACATGGTTGAAAGATGAGGACATAAATTTATTTGAGTTCAAATTTTCAGAATATTATAATATTGTTTATATTAATAGGAAATCCAAACTAGGTGGGGGATGCGCGATACTATTAAGTAAAAATATTACATTTTATGAAAAAGTAAAAATATCCAAATTCAACACAGAAATTATTTGTCTACAAATAAACAATTTTAAGAGATTAAATATAATATTACTTTACCGTCCACCTAACACTAGCTACGCTAGTACACAATCTCTTTTTAAATACATCGAAACTCTTTGTACCGAAAATTGTATAATCCTGGGTGACTATAATTTCGGTCTCAAAGATCTAAGTTGGTTCAATTTCACACCTTATGCTAAATCTAAATTTGGGGAATGTTTTATTGATTTTTTTAATCGAAATGCTTTAACATCAGTCACACCCGAACCTACTAGAAATAATTCATATTTAGATTTAATAATGATTACAAACCATAACTTAGTTTCAGACATTTTAGTTGAAGGAGGAATCTTCTCTTCAGATCATGAAACATTATTATTTGATATTAATTGTCCAATAAGTAAACAAAATGAGAATAGAATAAAAAAAAGATTTTATAATAAGAATAAAATAAGCAATTTAAACCCATATTTGTCCCTATTATTAAAAAATACTATTTATACTGGGTTTCTAATTGGGGACAAATATAATATAATTGCTAAGTCAATATTAAATTCATTTGACATTTTCATCCCTGAACAAATTATAACTAAAAAAGATCGAAGAATAAAATATCCCGCTCACTTAAAAGCTTCTATAGCTGAGAAAAAGAGATTATACAGGTTACAAAAAATTAATAAGGAATATAAATCAAAATATGACAGTATATCTCTATATATTAGAATCGCTATAAAAAATTTTATTAGTAAACAACAAAACAAAATCATTTCAAATAATCCACTTAATGTTTATAAATATGTTAACAAAGTTTATAAAAACAATAGAGATATACCAGTTATATTATATGAGGATAAAGTCTATATAGAGAATTCTGAAAAAGCAGAACTTTTTGCAGAAATTTTTCACAAAAATTTTAACAATTTTAACTCTAATGTTTCTCGCAATGATATTATTGCTAGCAATAATTCCGATACTACTGATGTATTGAATGATATTGATGTTACAAGTATTGAAGTTTATGAAATCCTAAAAGCCCTACCATCAAAAAACAGCGCTAGCCCGGATGGCATAAATTATCTTATGTTAAAAAATATAGGCATAATATTGGCACCTTATTTATCTGAATTATTTAGAGCTTCATTGGATGAAGGCATTATACCTGACATATGGAAAAAATCATTAGTTATTCCCATTTTCAAAAAAGGCGAAAAATCTAATCCATTAAATTATCGTCCAATTTCACTTACTTGCTGTAGTTGCAGAATCATGGAAAAAATACTTGTAAAAAATATAATAAATTTCTTAGAGAATAAAAAGTTCTTTAGTTCGGATCAATTTGGATTTATTCGAAGAAGATCCACTACTCTTCAGCTAGTAAGTAGCTTGGAGGATTGGTACGAAGCCTTATTTGAAAAAAAGAATATAGATTGTATTTATATTGATTTTTGTAAAGCTTTCGATAGTGTTCCTCACAAACTCCTTCTTGACAAATTATATGCTTGTGGAATTAGGGGAAAACTACATAGGTGGATTAGTGAATTTTTATCAGATAGAACATATCAAGTAAAAATTAATGATGTTTTATCAAACCCATATGGAATTACCACGGGTGTTCCCCAAGGATCCATTATTGGCCCACTGATGTTTCTAATCTATATAAATGACTTATCCGACGTTATTCCAAACGGAGTCAAAATTAAACTATTTGCTGATGACGTTAAAATCTATAAAGTTTATAAGACTAAAAATGAAAGATTAGAACTAGCAGTTGCCCTTAAAAACGTCGAGGAATGGTCAAAAAAATGGAATTTAGATATATCAGTTGATAAGACATTCGTACTTCATTTAGGTAAAAATAACCCAAGGGATCAATATAAGATTTTTAATAATACTATAAATGAAGTTCAATCTATTCGCGACCTTGGAATAATCATAGACGACAAGCTTAGGTTTAAAGAACACATTAATATAATTATTCGCAACGCCTATCTAAGGATGAAAACAATATTTAGAGTAATAAAGTCAAGAAAAACATCAACTTGGATACTGATATATAAGAGTTATATTAGGCCTATGCTTGAATACGCACCAGAATCTTGGAACACTCTTTATAAAACAGATATTAATTCTCTTGAAAAATGCCAAAAATTTTTTACTAAAATAGTTTTTAAGAAATGTAATTTACCTGAATTACCTTATGCGAATAGGTTAGAATATCTTAACCTTCAAACACTAGAGAATAGACGTAAAATTTTTGATTTAATGCTTATGTACAAAATAGTTAATGGGTATTCTCACTTGGGACTTGAAACACTCTTTTCTCATCCTATTAGAAAATCTAGTCATTCCTCTCATAGAATTATTTCAAAAAAACAAAATTTCAAAAGTTCTAGGTCATTTATAAATAGAACAACTAAAATGTGGAATATACTAGGTAAAAATACTATTTTAAGTAAATCACCCTTAGATTTTAAAAATAAGCTTAAGTCAATACTTATTGTATAAATAAACTGAGTGTTCTTAAAAAAATTAATTAAACTCATCCAGGCTTTCTAAAAAATCCAAAGTTAAAAACTGTATTTTTCGTTTAAATGGGCTTTGCGTCTAAGTGGCCAAATTAAGTTACCTTATATTTTCAAGTGGGCTTGCGTCTATATGGTCAATTAATTTATTTTTATTTTCGCGTCTAAATGGTCAATTAATTTATTTTTATTTCCCGTCTAAATGTTTAAATTAAATTATTTTATTTTTGCGTCTAAGTGGACAAATTACGATACCTTTTTCGTCAATAGGTCTTGCGTCTAAATGGTCAAATAATTCATTTTTATTTCGCGCCTAAATTGTCAGATTAATACATTTTTATTTTTTTGCGTCTAAATGGGCTTTGTGTCTAAGTGGCCAAATCGATTTATTTCTTATGCAGTTGTGCTTATTTTTTTTTATATATATTTCTTAGTTTTTGATTTTAATTTTAATTTTCTTATTTTTTTTAGACTAAAATAATCTTAAAATCAAATTTTCTATAATTTATTTTTGCTGTTTTTTCAGGTTTATTTTTATATATGCCTTTATTAAATTAATACACAGATACACATCTAGGCTAAATAATCTTACAATCAAATTTTCTATAATTTATTTTTGCTGTTTTTTCAGACTTGCATGCCTGGTGTGAAACGTAACGCAGTTCATTTCTCTCCAGTGCAATTTGACAATTAACTTATTTATGTATCTGTGTATACCAATATCCGTTTTATTATGATTATTTTTGTTGACTATCCAGTTAATTTATTATTATTGACCAAATATCATATATTTTACTAAGACAATGATGTAAGTGTCCATCCCTTTCATTGTCATTTTTATTCTTGAATAAATAAATAAATAAAAAAAAAAAAAAAAAATAAATAAAAAAAAAAAATTATTGTTAAATTTCTTTGGTTAATTTTCTTTAATAAATTATAAAATTGTCAATAAATTATTTTGACATAGTAAATATTAAATTTATGTCGTTATTTTGTTCTTTTTTCATTAACTATGAAAACAAACAATTTCAAATTTTGTTGATCACCAAACCGAATCATAATTGGTTGATATAGCAAAGGCGGATAGGTAGATGGGTTTTTTAATACCTAAAATTGGATCCTTTTCATAGCTAACGGGAATGTTTATTGTCCTTGAAAAAAGTCTTCGACATATTTTATCGGTATATTTCTATTTAATTCTTGTCTTGTACAATTCGAGAATGTGTGTATTTGGCCAGTATATGGTTGAAATTGTATGTTTTAAAAAATGGATGTGAAAATTATTTTTAAGTTGGAATACACGGTACTGGGTGGCTATCGAGCGGTTGCCCACTGTGATGCAACTGCGGCCAATTTTGGCACTGACATTTCTACTTTCTTGTTTGGAATGAATTCTGTTGGTTGTGCCTTGCCAACAGAACCTCCATTAGCTTGTTCTGATGTTGAGGTTTTTAATATTTTATTATTACAAAAATTCTAGTTTTAAATAATTAATAACTTTAACTTTTTTTTAAATATTTTTATTTAAAAGAAGCCTCATTTGAATTCAATAAGTCAGTGTGTTGTGGATTTTGCCGTTGTGTCACGAGGGAATTGTAGTTTTTCTGAAAAGGTTATTTAATATCTTAAAACTTTTTCGATTGTTGAAAATTCGAGAAAAGATTTAGAAATAACCTTTCCATGTTAAGGAGTGATTGGACGGGAATCAAAATATTTTTAGGAATCAAAATAGCCTATAAATTTTTTAGTTTAATATTCTTCTCTCATTTAAAAACAAATTATTTTTAATTAGGCTTATTATGTTCAACAAGCAAAACCTTTTGGCTATCAAGCATTGATTGTATACAACTTTAAGGGTAAAAGTCCCAATCCAATGTCGGGTAGCAAATTTGCTGAACTTATCCAAATTCCTGTTGTTATGGTTAAATTTGAATGTATGCAAAGTTTACTTGGCCATTACAGCGCAGAACACGGGTATTGAGGATCTCCTTTATTTTATTTATTTCAAGGTATACTGTTACAATCAAATCTAATCCTGGCTACTATGATTTAATCAAATATCGCTTTCCATTTATTATTATTGTCGGAATTTGTTTTACTGTTTTGTTAATTTCTTTGGTAAATTTCTATCAAACTTTAAAATTTCTAACATAAAGTTATTCAAATTTTTTCAGTTAATTTATTCTTGGGGTAAAACAGCAATACAGAGAATAAAACGGATACTATTTAAAAATTCAAGGAAGGTTTAAAAAATATGAAAATTTAAAATAAATTTTTAATCGAAGAGACATTAATAATTGTTTTTCTATACAGTAATTTTCAAAATATTCCAACTAAAATGTTGATAAATGTGCAAAAAACACAAGTTGTTTTAATAAATAAAATTCGAGAAAATTTATATAATTTTTATAGGTCGAAATTGACTTTAAAAACCAAAATAATTATGTACAAAAAATTAATTTAAAAAATAGTTAATAATCTAGTATTCAATACTCGTCAATTATTAAATATACCATTTACATAAGGGCAAAGATATGAAGGCAAAAAAGGAAAAAAATTTAGCTTTTAAACTCTGAAATTTTTTAAACCAAAAAAATCCCCCAAAATTATTTTTCAAAAAAATATTTTAATTGCTATATATTTTTTTCGCCTTCTCCTTTTACTACAACAAAACCACCAGAAATTAATGCATCACGTCCAGCATTACAAATATGCCTAAAACGATCTGGTCCAATTTTATTGCCGCCTTTCCAACGACTTGGAAATTTAAATTAAATAAAAATTTTGAAAAAAAATATTTTTACCTAACAACCAAAAGAACGTCTTTAGCGTCCATTTGCATAAGAAGTCGAAGTAATTTGGAAGCTGAGCCAGTCTCTCCATCATCATCTAAAAAAAGATATTTAAATTAAAAGGTTTTAAGATAAAAATAGGTAATAGTTAAGTTTGTGTTACCCATTTTTTCTTATTTCTGGTAAAAAATTGAATAAAATTTAACCCTGTTTGATTGATGTCAACCAGGCCCGTAGCCAGGATTTTTTTTCGGGGGGGGGGGGGGGGGGGGGAATTTTTTTGCGCCAAATTTTTGGCGCCGAAGGCGCCAAAAATTTTTATTTTCAGCGCCGCAGGCGAAAATTTTTTGAATTTTAGAAGGTCGTAGGCCAAAAAAAGGCCAAAAAAAAAAACTAAAATAGGCCAAAAAAAAAAACTAAAATAATCTTAAAATTAAATTTACTATAATTTATTTTGCTGTTTTTTCAGACTTGCATGCCTGGTGTGAAACGTAACGCAGTTCATTTCTCTCCAGTGCAATTTGACAGCCAAAAGCAAAAAATGTCTTCTTCTGACACCTTTACCCAACTTGCTAATCAATTAGCAGCAATTGGTAAACAAATGGAAAGCAACAGTGGAACCGATAATACGACAACAATGCAGCAAATGTTTCAATTTTGCACCACATTATTGACTCAAATGGCTCAACAACAAAATTTAATTATGGAACAACAACAAACGATTCAAAAACTTCAAATGCGTGACACTCTCCTGGAACTCATTGAAGATGAAAAACAACAAAAATCAGTCGTCATCACCAATCTACCCGAAAGTAATTGTGAACATGCTAAGGATCGTGTGGCAGAGGATTTTGAACAAGTCAAAGAAATTCTTGATTTATGCGATGTGGAGTGTAAACCAAGTCAAGTGTACAGAATGGGAACAATTGCTGGAAGGCCGCGACTTTTGAAAGTGGAATTACCAACGAGGTTTTTTGCAAGAAAATTTTTATTAAATAAATCAAAATTGAAAAATTCGAAATTTAATAATTTATTTGTTCGTAAATCTTTGTCTAAGGCTCAGCGAGCCGAACGGTCTAGGCTTATTGAAATTTGTAAAACTTTGCATTCCCAAAATCCCAAATCCGATCATGTTATTTATGCTGACCATGTCCTGTCCGCTAAGGACATCCCTTTATTTAAATCAAACCCCAATAATTTTAAATGTGTTTGCCACAATGCATAAGGAGTAAGGGATGGCCACTTTGATACCTACCAGTTGACTAAAAATAAAAATTTTTCAAAAAATAAAATAAAAAGTGGTTTAATAAATATAAGATCAATTCGAAATAAAATGGATGAGTTTTTAATTAGTTTAAGAACACTAGGTTTAGAAATGGTGTTTATTACTGAAACATGGTTAAAAGACGAAGACATAAATTTATTTGAGTTCAAATTTTCAGAATATTATAATATTGTTTATATTAATAGGAAATCCAAATTAGGTGGGGGATGCGCAATACTATTAAGTAAAAATATTACATTTTATGAAAAAGTAAAAATATCCAAATTCAACACAGAAATTATTTGTCTGCAAATAAACAATTTTAAGAGATTAAATATAATATTGCTTTACCGTCCACCTAACACTAGTTATGCTAGTACCAAATCTCTTTTTAAGTATATCGAAACTCTTTGTACTGAAAATTGTATAATCCTGGGTGACTATAATTTCGGTCTCAAAGATCTAAGTTGGTTCAATTTCACACCTTATGCTAAATCTAAATTTGGGGAATGTTTTATTGATTTTTTTAATCGAAATGCTTTAACATCAGTCACACCCGAACCTACTAGAAATAATTCATATTTAGATTTAATAATGATTACAAACCATAACTTAGTTTCAGACATTTTAGTGGAAGGGGGGATCTTTTCTTCAGATCATGAAACGTTATTATTTAATATTAATTGTCCAATAATTAGACAAAATGAGAATAGAATAAAAAAACGATTTTATAATAAGAATAAAATAACTAATTTAAATTCATATTTGTCCCTATTATTAAAAAATACTATTTATACTGGGTTTCAAATTGGGGACAAATATAATAAAATTGTTAATTCAATATTAGATTCCTTTGACATTTTTATCCCTGAACATATTATAAACAAAAAAGATCGAAGAATAAAATATCCCGCTCACTTAAAAGCTTCTATAGCTGAAAAAAAAGATTATACAGGTTACAAAAAATTAATAAGGAATATAAAGTAAAATATGACAGTATATCTCTCTATATTAAAATAGCAGTAAGGAATTTTATTAGTAAACAACAAAATAAAATTATTTCAAATAATCCACTTAATGTCTATAAATATGTCAATAAGGTTTATAAGAACAATAGAGATATACCAGTTATATTATTTGAGGATAAAGTCTATGTAGAGAATTATGAAAAAGCACAACTTTTTGGAGAAATTTTTCATAAAAATTTTAACTACAACTTTAACTATAATGGTTCTCCCAATGATATTACTGCTAGCGATATTTCAGAAATTACTGATGCATTAAATGATATAGATATAACAAGTATTGAAGTTTATGAAATTCTAAAAGCGTTACCATCAAAAAACAGCGCAAGCCCAGATGGCATAAATTATGTTATGCTAAAAAATATTTGCATTATTTTGGCCCCTTATTTATCTGAATTATTTAGAGTTTCTTTGGATGAAGGCATTATACCACACAATTGGAAAAAATCAATAGTTATTCCTATTTTCAAAAAAGGCGAAAAATCTAATCCGTTAAACTATCGTCCAATTTCACTTACTTGCTGTATCTGCAGAATCATGGAAAAAATAATTGTAAAAAATATAGTAAATTTTTTAGATAATAAAAAGTTTTTTAGTTCGGATCAATTTGGATTTATTCGAAGAAGATCCACTACACTTCAGCTAGTAAGTAGTTTGGAGGATTGGTACGAAGCCTTATTTGAGAAAAAGAATATAGATTGTATTTATATTGATTTTTGTAAAGCTTTCGATAGTGTTCCTCACAAATTCCTTCTTGACAAATTATATGCTTGTGGAATTAGGGGAAAACTACATAGGTGGATTAGGGAATTTTTATCAGATAGAACATATCAAGTAAAAATTAATGATGTTTTATCAAACCCATATGGAATTACCACGGGTGTTCCCCAAGGATCGATTATTGGCCCATTGATGTTTCTAATCTATATAAATGACTTATCCGACGTTATTCCAAATGGAGTCAAAATTAAACTATTTGCTGATGACGTTAAAATTTATAAAGTTTATAAGACTAAAAATGAAAGACTAGAACTAGCAGTTACCCTTAAAAATGTCGAAGAATGGTCAAAAAAATGGAATTTAGATATATCTGTTAATAAGACATTCGTACTTCATTTGGGTAAAAATAACCCAAGGGATCAATATAAGATTTTTAATAATACGATAAATGAAGTTCAATCTATTCGTGACCTTGGAATAATCATAGACGACAAGCTTAGGTTTAAAGAACACATTAATATAATTATTCGCAACGCGTATCTAAGGATGAAAACAATATTTAGAATTATAAAGTCAAGAAAAACATCAACTTGGATACTGATATATAAGAGTTATATTAGGCCTATGCTTGAATACGCACCCGAAACTTGGAACACTCCTTACAAAACAGAAATTAATTCTCTTGAAAAATGCCAAAAATTTTTTACTAAAATAATCTTTAAAAAATGTAATTTACCTGAACTACCCTATGAGAATAGACTGGAATATCTCAACCTTCAAACACTTGAGAATAGACGAAAAATTTTTGATTTAATGCTTATGTACAAAATAGTTAATGGTTATTCTCACTTAGGACTTGAAACACTCTTTTCTCATCCTATTAGAAAATCTAGCCATTCCTCTCATAGAATTATTTCAAAAAAACAAAATTCTAAAAGTTCTAGATCATTTATAAATAGAACAACTAAGATGTGGAATATACTAGGTAAAAATACTATTTTAAGTAAATCACCATTAGATTTTAAAAATAAGCTTAAGTCAATACTTATTGTATAAATAAACTGAATGTTCTTAAAAAAATTAATTAAACTCATCCAGTCTATCAAAATACAAAGCTAAAAACTGTATTTTTCGTTTAAATCGGCTTTGCGTCTAAGTGGCCAAATTAAGTTGCCTTATTTTTCAAGTAGGCTTGCGTCTAAATGGTCAATTAATTTATTTTTATTTTCGCGTCTAAATGGTCAAATTAATTCATTTTTATTTCCCGTCTAAATGTTCAAATTAATTTATTATTTTTTGCCTCTAAGTGGGCTTGGCGTCAAAGTGGCCTAATCGATTTATTCCTTATGCTGTTGTCTGTACTTTTTATACTTAAGCATTTCTTAGTTGTTTGGATTTTTAATTTAAATTTTTTATTTTTTTTTTTTAGACTAAAATAATCTTAAAATTAAATTTACTATAATTTATTTTGCTGTTTTTTCAGGTTTATTTTTTTTATTATTTGCTTTTATTTAAATTAATACACAGACATACATCTAGGCTAATTAATCTTAAAATTAAATTTACTATAATTTATTTTGCTGTTTTTTCAGACTTGCATGCCTGGTGTTAAACGTAACGCAGTTCACTTCTCACCAGTGCAATTTTACAATTAACTTAGTTGTGTATCTGTGTATCAATATCCCTTCCTTATGATTATTTTTGTTGACTATTCAGTTAATTTATTATTATTGACCAAATATCATATATTTTATTTAAGACAATGATGTAAGTGTCCATCCCTTTCATTGTCATTTTTATTCTTGAATAAATAAAATAAAAAAAAAAAAATTTCTGTCAGTATTCCAACAACTGGAAGATTGTTCAAATATCGGGGGATTTTTAAATAACAGCTGGGATGTCGTTGCAGTCAGAAACTTAACTGGCCGCGCGCCCACGCTCGACTAGAACAAGCTTAATCGGTTTCTTTGATAAAATATAAATATACTTATTATCAGTTCATTTGTATAGTATATTTTACCCGAGATTGTAGTTCTTACTGTATTGGATTTGGTTGAACGGGTATTGTTCCAGTTAATCGTAAGTCGAATTTGATTGACTTATCTTTTTTTAGTATTGATTCAATTTTGATAATATTTCTATCATTCGAAAGCCTTTAATAAACAGAATTTTTCTTCAAAAAAGTCAAACATTCCACAAAAAATTAAAATCAAAACAACAAAATGACAAAAACCCTGTTTTGGCGCGTAATGGGAATTCAAACGTGGCTTGTATTTTGATGGCTTGACGAGAAACTTTATACCTATGTATTTTCCCTTTCATTGCTTGATAGTTTATGTTTAATTTTTACTTAATTTTTGTTTATATTTTAAGGCAACAATTTTTTTAAAAATTAATAAAAAATGCCAGATGCAAAAGATGACTCTTTTTGTTATGTCAGAAAGTAAGTATTTATACTATTTAAAAACTGATTAAAAATTTAAGAATGGCAAAAACAATCGAGAACGATGAAAAACGTTTTGTGTTTCTGCGAAGGTTTTTTTAAGTTTTTAAATAAAAACTTCCAATTTTTCAGTCAAGTAAATTCAGTAGAAGATTGTATGAAGGATGGGCCAAAGAAGTGTCAAACAATTAAATCTTTGGTTATTTTGGCTTTGGAAGAATTTATTCCGATAGAAAATTATAAAAGTGATCCTAGAATGCTTGATTTTTGGTACCTGATGGTAAGTAGAATTTTTTAAAAAATATTTTGAGAATAAATTTTGCGGGCAAAAATAACTTTCGGATTCATTGAATATATATAGTAGTACAGACAAAATCGATTTTTATTGAAGATGTCATTCCTTGTAATTTGGCTATATAGAATTACTTCAACTAGAAGTATAGTACCACAAAATCCGCAAAATTTGTCCGCAAAAATTAAGAGAGGGATTTTTATGTGTTGAAGTAAAATATACTTTTTTTATCTGTCCATTTATTCACTAATATATTAAAAATTAATTTTAGGGCAAATACAGCGTTAATATTGGTATGGAGGGTGTTTTAGAAAATGTTCATCGTCTTGGGTATTTTAAAAATGTTCCAGAGTTTTATCTGATGTGGGCAGATTATTTGGGATCACAGCAAAATCGAGAAAATTTTGACAAAATTGTTCAAATTTGTGAAGAAAATTGCAAACTTGGTCCTTTTGAGAAACGCTTTAAGTATTTTTCTTAATTAAAAAATAAATCTTTTTAAAATTTTTCTTTCAAAGGGCTTTACTCCAAAAACATTTTAAAGAAGATTATTATAATGAAGGTAAAACATTGGATGTCATAAAAATGTTGGCAGATAAATCAGAGGTTGTGAGGTCTGATTTAACTTTGTTTCAACGAAATAAAGTTGTTGATACTCCACAAAATATTATTTCTGGCACAACAATAATTAAAGCAAAAAATCAATCAAAATTAGCAAAAAATACTGACAAATTTGAGGAAGAAAAACAAAACTTAAAGGAAATTAATTTATCACCAAAAACTGCTTCAACTTCAGCACCAATTCATGAAAAATTTTCTGTTTATAAGGATGTTACTTATACAAATTCTATAACTGTTCAAAATACTGTTAAAAATAAAAGGATTTCGGTTAGTTAATTTTGGAATTTTTTGGGCACTTAGTGAGAAACGTTAGAACAACATTGAATCCCTTAGCTATTGGGGGGAGGGGGAATGGCTTTTAAAATTTTTATTTTTAGTATTATCCTGAACTTGATGACATAACACTTGCTGGTGCTCATGGAAAGTTCTCAACGGATATGTTTACTTCGACTCCTCGTCGTTCAGTAATGCCTAGCGATTTTGCTCCTTTGGATTTAACTGAAGGAACTCAATTTTTTGATCCGACTGAAAAAGAAGAAAAGGGTGAAGGAGGTGGTCTTTTTGGGTGCCAATTGACTGATAAAATGAAGGGAAATGAGAAAGGTGTCGGTCTAAACATCAAGAAACGTTTAAGTTTTGTGAGTTTTTAAATATAAATTATCGAAAATAATCCAAATGATTTTCTAGGCTGATGAAAATCAACGAGGAATCTCTAAAAATGCAAATCCGATGGCGGAAGCTGTTGTAAATAAAAGAACTTCGGTTAGTAAAGCAAGGGCGTATCCAGGGGTCGGACTGCTGCAATATATTCTAGAATATAATCCACATTTCCGATCATCATTCTCCAAGTATTTTCTCCATTTCTGCGAAGGATTGGATTTCAGCTTCCCCTGTATACGCCAGGGATGTCACGGGTTGAGAAAAATGTCGGGTCGTGTTTCGGATCTCCAAAATTTTTCTCGGATCGGGTTTCGGGTCGAGAAAAAAGTCCGGGTTTCGGGTAACGGGTCATCGGGTCGGGTTAGTTAAAATTTGAACACGAAGCCAATTTTTTGGAGCTGTTGGAGATATCAGATATTTAGCGGGTTAATACATATGTGTGTGTGATCAGATATTTAGAGGATTAATCCTCCAATATCCGTTTAACTTCAAGATATATCCCAAATCCAACTTTATCCCTCAAATTCTCCGATATTTTGGGATTAACTGCTTCAACTTCAGCACCGATCCATGAAGAATTTTCTGTTTATAAGGATGCGACTTTTACTAAATCTCCTACAACCGCTCAAAATACTGCTAAAAACAGGATTTCGGTTAATAAATTTTTGAATTTTTTACAACTTGATCAGTTGGAACGTCTTATAATACCAGAAGCTTGAAATTCCAAGCCCTCCAAAACGCTTGAAACACCAAACCGTGGATTGACCATTGGGCGATGACTTTTAAATATTTAATTTTTAATATTTATAGTATTATCCTGAACTTGATGACATAACGCTTGCTGGTTCGCATGGAAAGTTTTCTACGGATATGTTTACTTCAACTCCTCGTCGTTCAGTAATGCCTAGCAATTTTGATATTTTATTGGAGGATTTAACTCAAGAAAATCAAATCTTTGATCCAACTGAAAAAGAAGAAAAGCGTGAAGGAGGTGGACTTTTTGGCTTTTTGACTGATAAAGCTGTAATAAAGGGAAATGAAAAAGAGTTTGGAGGTTTGAAAATGAAGAAACGTTTAAGTTTTGTGAGTTTTTAAGGAATATTCCTAAGAAAATGTATTAATTTTTTAGGCTGATGAAAATCAACGAGGAATTTCTAAAAATAAGAATCCGATGGCGGAAGCTGTTGAAAATAAAAGGACTTCGGTTAGTAAAGCAAGAGGTAAAATATTTATTTTTAGTATTATCCTGAACTTGATGACATAACACTTGCTGGTGCTCATGGAAAGTTCTCAACGGATATGTTTACTTCGACTCCTCGTCGTTCAGTAATGCCTAGCGATTTTGCTCCTTTAGATTTAACTGAAGGAACTCAATTTTTTGATCCGACTGAAAAAGAAGAAAAGGGTGAAGGAGGTGGACTTTTTGGGTGCCAATTGACTGATAAAATGAAGGGAAATGTGGAAGGTGTCGGTCTAAACATCAAGAAACGTTTAAGTTTTGTGAGTTTTTAAATAAATATAAATTATCGAAAATAATCCAAATGATTTTCTAGGCTGATGAAAATCAACGAGGTGTTTCTAAAAATACGAATCCGATGGCGGAAGCTGTTGTAAATAAAAGAACTTCGGTTAGTAAAGCAAGGGCCAGGGGTCGGACTGCTACAATATATTCTAGAATATAATCCACATTTTCGATCATCATTCTCCAAGTATTTTCCCCATTTCTGGGAAGGAATTTCGGCTAAACTACAGTTTCCGGATCAGGCTCAGAATTGGACGATTCATATGTCATTCGAAAGAGCTTGGCGAGTCGAACGGCACCAAAATTATTCAGCGGAAAAAATTCTGAGCAGAGTTACAGACCCCTAAACCATAGGGGGGACCAAGCTGTTTTCTGGGGTGAAAAATTCGAATATGCAAATTATACCTCATTTGAAAGAGCTCATCGAGCTGAGTCGAATGACACAAAAATCAACGAAATCAGACGTGATTTGACAAAGTTATGATCGTTTGTTTGTACCCCTCACATAGGGTCTACGCGGAAAAATTTTTTGCCGCTGCGGAGGAAGCCGGGCATGTCGAGCGGAACGACGACCGCCGCTTCGCTACGGTCGCCGCGAGCGAAGCGAGCACGACCGCAGCGAAGCACGGCCATCGTGTAGCGAAGACCATGTCCGGCCTACCCTCCGTAGCAGCACAAAAACAGTTTTTCCGGCGAAGATTCTGTTGGACATAATTTTGTTCATAATCATCCAATCGAGCTGATTTTGATGTCATTCGACTCAGCTCGAGAAGCTCTTTCGAATGACATATAAATCGTCCAATTCTGAGCCTGATTCGGAAACTGTAATTAGGCCAGAATTTCAGCTTCCCCTGTGGGGTAAATGAGTTGAGGTAAAATTGAATGTTTAAAAATGGTAATTTGTTAAAAAGTGAGACTAAAAGACGAAATTAAAATAGAAAACGGGTCGGAGAGGATTGATTTTAAATATTTTTAGTATTATCCTGAACTTGATGACATAACACTTGCTGGTGCTCATGGAAAGTTCTCAACGGATATGTTTACTTCGACTCCTCGTCGTTCAGTAATGCCTAGCGATTTTGCTCCTTTAGATTTAACTGAAGGAACTCAATTTTTTGATCCGACTGAAAAAGAAGATAATGGTGAAGGAGGTGGACTTTTTGGGTGCCAAATGACTGATAAAATGAAGGGAAATGAGAAAGGTGTCGGTCTAAACATCAAGAAACGTTTAAGTTTTGTGAGTTTTAAAATAAATATAAATTATTGAAGATAATCTGAATGATTTTTTAGGCTGATGAAAATCAACGAGGAATCTCTAAAAATGCAAATCCTATGGCGGAAGCTGTTGAGCGGTTAAAGAAAATGGGGAAAAGGCGAGATTGAATTTTTTTAAAAATGTAAATTTGTTGAAGAGATTAAATTATTTAATAAAATATATGTAGTTTATTTATGAGCAATTAAAAATTTGAGCAGATCGTACATATTATAAATATATAATTTTTTGACATTTGTTTTTATCATTTGTTGTTTCCAATAAGTGAACATAAATGGTCTATCCCTTTACGTCTGAATAGTTGAATATTCAGAAATTGATTTCCTGTTAATTCTATTTTAAATAAATTCAAGTTATTTATCTTCAGCAGTTGATAAACTATCATCTAGAAAATTTTAAAAATTAATTAACCAAGTTATCTTTCAAGAATTCAAGAGAAAGGGAGTTATATAGGGATTTATTAGAATTGAGTGTACCACAAATATTTCCCTCAACCCACTTGATCCCTCGATATCACACCCAAATCACTCAACATTCCTCTTAAATTGTAACAGATTTTTTCAGAGCACCAGGCAAAAATTTCGAGAATTTTGGAAGGCTAAGGAGCCAGATTTCTTCCTTTTTAGGAACCGAACCTAAAACTCGGTTACCCGGTCTTTTCTAGGTTCCGGATAACCGGAACCGCCAACCTTAACTCACATTCACTTAAGTGTAATTATACAACAAAAATTAGAAAACTCAACTATTTCCACTAATTTTAGGCCAATTTTCAATAAGCAATTTTAATGCAATACTTGCTTGTTGTACACTTAAAGGGTCAACAGAAATTGAACTTAAATATTTTGAAGTATTTTGTTTATCAGAATCTGTTGTTGTTGTTGCTGATGATACTATACCTTGAATTTGGTGAGAAGGGTTTGATGTACAAAATATCTAAAAAATTTAAAGTATTTTTTAAATTCTTTTATTAACACTCGTAGGTATAATAATAAAAACTAAATAGAAAATTTGCGAACAGACTTAAAGAAATTTATTTTAGAGAGTAGTGTGCGTAATAATATCGCTTAGGCAGCACCCAATATAAAATTTTAACTTACTAAAGGTCCAAAAACACTGCATAATCTTTGCATTGTCATTCCATTATGAGGTTCCGATAAAAGTAAATGCTTCAAATGTTCCATAAGAAATACCACAGTTGTCTTTAAAAATGTTAAAAAAATTTAAATTCCCAAAAATTAAGCTCTCCCTCCCTCCCCCTTCCCTTCCCTTCCCTTCCCTTCCCTTCCCTTCCCTTCCCTTCCCTTCCCTTCCCTTCCCTTCCCTTCCACTCCTCCTCCCCACCCCCCCCCCCTCCACAAATTACCTTATTTGGTGTAGGTAAACAATCAACAATTCTCATAATTAATTTTTGATTTCCATCAGAATCATTTGGGGGCATAACACCAGCAGCATCTAACAACATTGCATAAATATTACAAGGTATTAAAGGTTCAGAAAGTTCACGTAAAAAATCCTTTCAAATTAAAAAAAAAATATACATATATATTTACTAGTTAAATTCCTCTCTATGAGTGGATTAACCTCTAAATAATTTATAGTTATTAAGGAATGCTTTATAACCTCTATATAATGTAAACTCGGTTTTATTGACAAAAGGGCCGTTCCCCATAAAAGACAAGGAAATTTATAAATTTAACTTTCAAATTTCTCCATATTCCTCAAAATGATCTCTAGAAATACTCTCCCCTTTTTAAGACAAATTTAAGAAATTTTCTTTATCTAATATATCCTATAAATTACTGGTGGACATAAAACTTACTTTAACAAGACAAGTAAGTAAATTAATATCAGGTACAGGTTGTTCACCAATATCTACTTCATTTGCATTTTCTTCAAGTTGAGCACGTAAATGGTCTTTTCTTTCACTTGCACCACACACTTGAATTTAAATATACCGTTAATAGAACAACATAAATAGTTTTAAGTTTGTGGTATAGGGATTGCGGTGATTCCGAGGATTAATGATTCCGACATTGTTTTAAATACTCGGGTTTTCTAAAGCTTATCAGATTTTACTAAAAGTTTTTCAAAAAATTTCTGAAAAGAGGATAATGGGATTGTAAATAATAATTATGTAGCACAAAAGTTGAAAAATACAAGCGCAGTCCCTAATAGAAGCTCACCCTGCGAGGAAAGTGAATAATATGTACAAGAGTTGTTCTATTAAGGCATTTACATTATATTAATTTTTTAAATTTTAATTTCTAAAATTAAAAATATTTTCCTCTTACAATAATAAATTCCAGAATTATCCAACCCTCTCCTTTCAATTTCAGTAATTAATCTTTGCAAAACAATAGGTACTTCGCTTTGTTCTCGTTGAAGTAATAAATTGAGGGATTGACCGAATTGATTATTGTTTGGCCTTTTATTTATTCTTGAAAAACAAATCTTCATTTCCTCAAAAGCTATCTGAAAAATTGAAAAATAATGAAAGAAAAATTCTTTAAAAGTTAGTAGGTGTTCATTAATAAATTCCTCTTTTCTTTTTAAAAAATTAACCTTTAAAAGTAATTGCCCTCTAGGTTCTAAATTTAAAGAAAAAATTCTATTTCCACAAAATCCATCAACTAACAAAACATCCATTAAACGAATATCTCCTTTATGGCAAAAACGATGCCTTAATTGTGGATGCCAAGCATAAACAAAAAAAGAAGCATCATTTGCACAAACAACGTCGATATCAAAACGTTCTGACCAACTTTAACAAAAAATAAATTTATTTAAAATTTTAATAGAAGCACATATTCCCCATAATAATGATAAAAGTTATCTCTATGGTAGCGTACAGAAAAGCTCTATCATATCCCCGTTTACAAATCATTGTCTTTTATTAATTCTCCATTTAGTTATCTCTAAATATCTCACACTAACTATCCTCAAACGTGGATATACTAAAGCATGTCAGTTATACATACATATCACTCACGATCAAAGAGTGATTCTTAATTGTTGGAATTAAGGTAAAAAATTAACCGAAAATATTGTTCAGGTGTAGATATTCCAGTACGTGCTCTGTGTATTTCATCTATTTCGAGCACACAATATAATTTTTTTGAATGAATTCTGTCTGGAACTTTTAAATTTCTTCCCTCAACAATCTTAAGTTTAAAAAAATTTTCATGGAAATGAGAGAATATTTTTAAAATTTTGAGAGAAATAAATATATATTTATTCAAAAATTCACCGTAACACTTAACATTCCAGTTAAAGAATTCCCCAAACTTCCATTACTCGCCAATTGATCTACATCAAAACCTGGGCCTGCCATACGTAAAGGAACTCTTCTATTCATTAAAGGAGAAACATGCAAACGATCGAGAATATCCTTTTTAATTTAGAAAAATATTTCTTTTAAATTTAAATTTAATTTACAGCTCTCTCTGCAGGACTCATTCCTTCAGCTGTAGTCATCATTATTTGTTGTTGTTGTTGAGGTAATATTTTTGTTTTTCCAAATGTTGAATTTAAATGCTTTAATAAATTTTAAAATTTTAGAAATTTTGAAAAAATATTTGGATATTTATAAATTTATTTTCATGAAATTAGTATTTAAGAATAATTAAATATCAAGATTTATATAATAATTATTCTTCCCTTTCTAAAAATCGAAAAAAATACATATTATTATTCCCCTAGAATGTTTTTTGGTAGCTAAATGAGAGCTCTAGTTACTCCACAATTTCTAACCAACCAACTACTAAAATTAAATTAAAAAGACTGATACTTTTGGGGAACCCCCCCCCCCCCCCCCATCAATCACTTTAATTAAAAATATTTACATTAGCCAATAAAGCTTTAGAAGGTAAAGAATTTGAACGAATTGCATTACCCCCACCACCATCAATTTTATTACAAGTTCCAAAAGTACTCCAACGTGAACGATGTTGTTGTTGATTATTAATTATATCTTCATCTTCACTTGCCCAATTTTTGTATTCTTGAGAGGAAAAAATATCTGCAACAGTTCTGCCATCAGTTACTAAACCCTTTCCTGTTTCTACTGAACCGTTGGACAGTAATGGATGACGAACTGTTTAAAAATATTTTTATTACTTTTTTTTTCGATGCTAGGGAATAAAACATTTGCCAATAGTAAATGACTACGAGGAGGTTCGGATCCTGCCCGGTGACTAAACTTTTGTTGCTAAACTCTTTCTCTAGAATAAAATTAAGAACACCTTTTCTATTATTTCCAAAATCAACATCAGAAAAAGCCCCTCTAAAATTGCTTTTTTGTTGTTGGGGTGAAGAAGGTAAATATTTATTACACCCAATTGTTGTTGAGGGTATTGATGTTGATTGTGGTGAATTATTTGAATAAAATGGAAAGGCAGCATTGAAAGTATAGTCATTACGCCCTTAAAAATTTTTCTAACATTTCAGAAATATTTTTAAAAATTCCAAACATTTTACTGTAGCTCTAGGAAATGGTTGTTGTTGTTGTAGAGGAAGAGGTGCTGCTGTCCACCCTCCACCGCCAAATACTGATTGAATACTTCTTAAAATAAAAAAAATTTTATATTTCCAGTTTTGTAATAGACTACTGGGAATAAAAATGTTCGGAGAAATCCAAAAAACTTAAATTACAAGAAGGAAGGTTATTAAAATTAATTAATCCTACTACTCGCCTTCTAGGAAGTGAATTGCTTTTATAAGAAGTAGGTAATGTTGCTGGTTGTCTAATACAATAAAGTTGAGAAGGAACTCTAAAAATAAATTAAAAAAAAATATTTTTATAATTTAATTAAAAAATAATTATTTTATTTAATTTAAAAATAAGATAGCCAGGAAGAAAATTTTTAAATAAATTAATGAAAATAACGGGAATCAGAAATTCTCTCACTATCAGAGAGAGAGAGAGTGAGAGAATCTAATGATTATGCCGTCACCATGGTCTAAAAGCATTATCTTCATCCCCCTCCACCCCCACAGGGTATTTTAAATTAAAATAACGATCTACAACTAAATAAAATAAATAAATTTATTTACGTATTCTGAAAGGAAGAATGTTGTTTATATAAAGGCAAATTAGAGGAAATAGGTGCTGGAGGTATTATTGGGGGCATTTGTTGTTGACTTAAACTATTTGGTATCATTCCTCCTCCTCCTCCAACATTTTCTCCTCCAAAAACAACAACTCTTTGCCTTCTTTGAATTGGTGCAGAAGACGATGGATGTCTTTGTTGTTGTTGATGTTGTTTTTCTTGCCAACGAGAATCTAATGTTGCTGAAGAATATGCAGGAAGATGAGAAATATATGGAGGTATTGAAGATATATTTGAAGAAGAAAGTAGCGGTGAATTTTGTTTTGAAGACTAAAAAATGTATGAATCTAGTTTTTACCATAAGTATTATTGTGGTTTCAAAATTTCAAGAATACAAATATTTTTAGCGCTCATAACGAAATTTTGAAGTATTTCCCCTTAAAAACGGAAAAATAGACGGCGTCTACCTGGCGGCGCCGAAATGTTCAAATAAAGCCTAAACCTTTGAAAGCCTAAACCTTTTGGATTAAAAGGATAATTAGGCGTTAACAAATTGGCGCCGTGAATATTTTTTCAACCAAAACTTTTAAAGTTGACAAATTATATTAAGAAATCTTATATCATTCGAGAGCTAATAATTTAGAGTTTAGATTTTTTAATAGATAAAATTTAGCAACTAAGAATTTTTAAGACAAAATATTAACGCCAAATTGTCTGCGCCGAATTGTCCAAAACATTCTCCCCATAAAACCTAAACCTTTCTAATTCAAGTTTTAATTAAAAAGTTGAAGCCAAAAGGTTTAGGTTTTATGGGGGGAAGTGAAATTGACAATTCGGCGCAGCTTATTTGGCGTTAAGCAATTTTGAGGTGGGTCGAAATTAAATAACGGAAGAACTTCTATTGGAGATTAGTTTTTTTTGTTGGAAAGAAAATATTTTTTAAATTATTTAAAAGAATTTTTTGCCTGTAATTGTTGTTGTTGTTGTTGCATAATTCTTGGGGGTGGAATTCTTGCTGTTTGTGTAATCCCGTCAGTAATGGAATGTGGGGGAGGTTGTTGTTGTTGAATTATATTGGTAGAAGATGTTGAAGGTTGTTGTTGTTGATAATTGGTAGTTTGTGGATATTGACGATGTCTAATTAATGTTTGTTGTTGTTGGGAAGTTGTTATTTCGTTTTTTTGATTTGCCTAAAAATTAATAAATTTAATTAAAATTTATTCTTTACATACATCTTCATCTTCTTCTTGTTGTTTTTTCTGTTTTTGTTGTTGTCGTACACGTTTACCGAGCCAGCTGGCAGCTGTGCTAGCTGGTTTTGAAAGGATTCCTGCACCTGATGACTTGATAAAAAAAATAATTTTTTTTCAAAATCAGAATTTCTGTTCTGAAATTAATCAGAATTCTCTCCCTTTCTTTCTATTACCTCAGAATCACGTCTGTCAGATTCTGTAGATTTCTGAAAAACAACAACGGGGCGTTGTTCTGTTGCTGCACGTTCAGCTAATAAACGTTGTTGTTGTCTACTTGCAAGTTGTTCTCTTTGAGTATTTAAAAAGCTAGTCCTAAGAAGTAATCGACGAGGGATACTCAACATTAGAACAACTATTTTAAAATAAATTAAATTAATCAGAAATTATTTGGAACAATGTAAAAAAGTTTTTTTTCCTAGAATTATTTTAAGATACCAAAATGTATTTTTAAATAGGGTTTGATATTACGGTGCTGGGCTGAGTTTACGAGGAACGGGGAATTCGAGCCACGGGGAGGGGCTCTAGGGGGAGACCTCCCCCCATTCCCCGGAGATCGAATCCTATTTTTAAATCATAATTAAAAACTTCACAACAAATTAATTCATTTACCATCATCAATTCCCATTTCTTTAACGGGCACATTATTAACTGCAAGTATTTGATCACCAGGCCTACAAATATCTCCACATTTCTCTAATTCAGAATTTTCACCAAAACGAGAAACAAAAACACCCGTAAATTGATCTATTCCTTTAAAATTTTTCTTTAAAAAATTTCCCTTAAATTATCCAACCATTTCCTTCTCTTAAATATAATCCAAGTGATTGGCCCGGTTTTTTAATAATTTCAACAAGTTGGACTACCCTTAAATCATTTGAATAACCACCAGATTTATATTCTGTTCTGAAAAAAGAAGAAGAGTTTTTTTCTTTAAAAAGATTCTTTTGCCTGTCAAGTATTCTCGCAGAAAATCCAATTACCCCTTTCGAGGTTAAAGTACTTTGTTGTTGATCTACTTGCCGAATTTGGCGATAAACTGAATCGGGTAATTCTCGAGAAGCATAAGGCCCAGAAGAGGTGCCAGGCACTTTAAATAATTTTTTTATTTAAATTATCCAAAATCCTTTAATATTTATAGGGGAATTTAATTAGAATTTAAGAGAATTATTTTTTTTAATATTTAAATTGTAATATTTTTGAATAAATTTAAAACAAAAATTTTAATATTAAAATAATTCTAAAATTCTTCAAATATTGTTTTATTCTCTTTTACCAATTTTTAAATCAAAATTTTATTTATAATGGCAAAAATGAAATTATTTTTAAAAAACAAATATTGTACTTTTAAAATAAAAATTAATTAAAAAATGTGAGTGAATAAAAGTAAAAAGTTAATGAATCTTTTTTTAATTAAAAAAAATAAGTAAGCACCTACCGTATATCCTTTAATAACTACCCTGGGTAATTATTGTTTCGACCTTCCGCTGGAGGGAGTAATTAATCGAGGGAGGGTAATTATACGAGGTTTGAAATTTGAACGAGTTTTAGGGCATTTATTGAGGGGTAATTATTGTTTCAATCCATCGCTGGATGGGGTAATTAATGGAAGTGGGGTAATTATTCGAGGGAGGGCAATTAATACAGGTTATACGGTACCTTGTACACACTGATTAGATTTTTGTTGTTCATCTTTTTTATTAATTTGTTGTTGTTGAGCACTCCAAGGCATTTAAGTGATTTTTAAAAAGAAAAGAAAATATATAAATTAATTATTTTCTATTATTTGCTAATAAACTTTTTAAAATAAATTTTAAAAAAATAGTATATTTTTTTGGAAATATATTAATGGTTGAATAGGTAAAGGAAAGACAAAATAATTTTAAAAAATAATTTAATAAAAATTGTGGGGGTGTTGTTTAAAAGTAAAGTTTTAAAATTCTCGAATTTACAAAAAATAATAGACGAAGGGGGGGGGGGCAGTGTTTTTTTCCAAATTTAGTATTTTTAAATAATTTATATTTTTAAATTTTGTAAATCAATATTGAGATAAAAAATTTAAATAATTTTTAAAATTATTTAAAAAAGTTTATTAATTTAATTGTGTAAACCGGTTAAGATAACGGAGGGGGATATAAACAAAATTTAATTATAATTTATTTAATTAATTAATAAAAATGTTAAAAATAATAAAAATTCTTTTTTTTTTAAATAAAAATAAAAATGTTTTATAGGAAAGCCCTCCAAACACTTGACAGCTTTTGGAGAAGATGGGCATTCTGCAAAATTTAAAAGTCAAGAGTTTATAGAAAAAGCAATATATTTTGGGTTAGAAAATGGCAAGAAAAGAGGTGCCAATAAAATAAACCAAAAATGAGAGGAAAGGAAGAGAGAGGATTAAAAATACTTTTTAGAAAAATACTTTAGTTTTTAATACTTTATGAGAAAATATTTTTTGAAAATAAAATTTAAATTTATTTAAATATTCTAAAAAGAATAATTATGTATAAACTTTTAAAAAATTAATCATTAAAGATGGGAGATGGAATAGTAGAACAATCATTGGAATGAAGCACAGACTGTGCCCCCATCCAACTCTGATTATTGGGAAGTTTTATCTTCTGAAAGTGCGAACACAAAATTAATTAAAATATTTATTTTCCTTAAAAATTTTTCAATGATTTTTGGAAATTAAAAGAATTTTAAAGATTCATTTATTTGAAGAAATAAATGAGAAAAAGAAAAGATTGTTATAAATAAAATAAAGAGAAAAATAAGTTAACTTTTTGAAAGAATTTTGAAGAAAAAATTTTTTAGTTAAAATAAATGTGAGGGTGGAGGAGGCTTAACATTTTTATTTCCATTTTTGGAGAGTGATTGATTGGTTTGGACATTTATTTTTCAAGTAAAAGAAGGAGGTATTTATTTGAAAAATATTTAAAGGCTTTTTAAAAATTTTGTTAGAAATTAACAAATTAAATGTTAGACGATAAAAAGATATTGCCAAAAATTTTAATCGAGGTTAAAGACAGTTTTTTAGTAGACTCGGTCAAAACTGATTTAAGACCGTCACTCGGTTTTAAGATTTTTTAAAATCGGTTTTCGGTTTCCAATCAAATAATTAATTTATTATTTAAAGAAATCTTTATTTCAATTTTCTGTTTTTTATTTAAAAAGATTCAATTTTAACAAAAAATCTCAGAATTTTTAATTTTAAAACCAATCTTGCCAATCCGCCTAGTCTTTAACTCACTCCATCGAAATTTAATTAAATTCCAATTTTATATTTAATTTATCCCTCTAAAAAATTTTTTAAACAAATTTAAAGTGCTAAAAATTAAATTTTTTTTTGTTTTTTAAAAGACAAAAAAATTTTCCAAATAAAAAATGTTCTACAACAAATCCTTAGGGAATATATACTTTTATAGTACATAAATATTTTTGATATTTTTTTCTTTAAATAATTCTTATGGGAATATTTGGAATTTATTTTTGTGAATTTTTAAATATTTTTAATAAAAACTTGAAAGAAAAATAAATTTATTTTTTTCTCACCCAGATTTTAAATTTTATTTAATTGGATTTTTAAAGTGTTAAAAATTAAAAATATTGTGTAAATACTGTTAATTACTAAAATAAAACATTTTGATTAGATAATACCTAAATTTATCAAAACATTCAGAAATGTACTAAATACAATCATGAAAGAATAAAATATGTAGAAAAAAAACAAAGGCTTAAAAAATATAATGAAAAAAGAATGGCCATAATTAGAGTTACGGGGCTAAAAAGTAATTGTAGTTACACAAACACTTCTCGATCTATTAGATTTTCTTCTTTAAATTTGAAAATATTTTTATAAAAATTTTGTGAAATATTAAAAATTAATGGAGATTTAATAGAATTTTAATTTTAAAATTAAAAGAAAATTTTTTAATCAAGAAAAATAGAAATAAATTAAATAAAAACATTATATCCATTATATATCGATAAAAAAGCGCGGGTCAATATACATATAATAAAATATTATTTTGCAAAAGTATTTTCACACTTTTCTCGGCTTTTAGCGTTTTTATGGATTAGCCTATAGGGGGAATGGGAGAAGTTTATTTTTAAAAAAAAAGTAAAGGAAAAATTGGAGAAATGTTTAAATTAATAAAATATATTTTTTAAATTTTTTTGTCATTAATCTTTTCAATCGGTAATTAGCACAAAAAGAAATTAAAAAAAATCAAGTTAAATAAACCCCGTTATATGTATGTAATTAGGTACCTATTTTTCTCCGGATATAATAAGTATCCCTAACAAACTCAGAAATTTTGCCAAGAATGGAGAAGAGGGTGAGGCTTTGAAGGAAATTTCAGTCAACTCAAACGTTTGGAGAGAAAATAATATACCTAAATTTTTAAGAATTTTGTTAAATTTTTAAAAAACGAAAAAAAAAATTTAAATTATTTTGGAAGCTAAATAGAAAAATTTTTTAGTTGCATGGAAAATTGGCCAGGCTATTTTATATAAGAAAAAGAGAAAAGTGCGCTTCTATTCTCACACCATTTTTCGCACACTCTTTCTTTTTGTTGTTGTCAACATTTATAATATAAAAAAAATTTTTTTTATAAATTTTTCTCTCTTAACTCATTTTTCTTTCTTTCATTGCGGCAAAAAGCGTATGTGGCCAAGACTGAGACATAAAAGCATTGATTGGCATTACTTGTTTTTAATGGCAAATATAAAAATGCCAAATAGAGAGGGAAAGAAAGGATTTTTTAGTTTTGCTTTGAATATACAAAAAAGCTTTTCTAATTTTGGCACAAATTTACAGGCATTTTATGAATAAAAATATTAAAAAGAAGGGGGGAGGGAGGGGAATTGTTTTGAAAGAATTAAAGGATAACGGTTATCTGTCACAATAAAACTATTTTTGTAATATTTTGTTGCAAACAAAATACCAATAGATACTAATTCCTAATTTTTCTGTTTTTCCAGAATTAATAAAAATAAACAAAGTTCTATTTAATGTTCAAAAATAATTAAAGTGCAAAAATTGTTAAAGTTAAAACAAAACAATAAATTCAAAACAAAATTCTATTATTTAGCAGTAATATCCTTCAATTTAAATATATTACGAAGCCAAGGCATCCAACGATTAATATCTAGTAAAATAAAAAAATATAGAAATTAAAATTTAAGAATGATTAAAATTAAATTTTTGTAATTTTGGAAAGAATAATTCATTTTTCCTTAAAGAAGAGAGAGACTTTCCCAAAAAAAAATTTTTTTTTCCCCAAAAAATATTTTTTCTTCTTATCTTTTCTCCCTGATAACATTTCTCGATTAGCCAAAACAATCATTAATCTAACATGACTTGCATCTAATTCATTTACAATATTTTTAATACGTTCAGCGCCAGTTCTTTTCATCCATTTATGTACTCGATTATGTTGTCCAAATTTAAGTGCTCTAATTAACCGTTTTTGAATTTTATCGGTAGAATAATCTTTAAAAGAAAAAAGATCTGAATAAAAATCATTTTAAAAATACCTTGTGGACAGATATGCTCTCCTTGAGAATAAACATGAAAATTATCCTCATCTTTTACACGTTTGGCCATTATTTTGAATTGACAACGAATTAATTTATATCTAGCCATTTTGCATTTAAGCATAATTGACTTTCTATTGAAAATTTAAAAAAATTATTAAAAATGAAGACATTTTATCCCAAAAATTTAATTTCAAAATTATCACAATTTGTTAAATTAATTCGATTTCAAACCCCCCAATTTCTTGCAATCTCCGAATTAATCCCGAAGATTAATAAGTTAAATTCATTTTAATGTTAAATAATTATATTTTTAACTACCTATTCGAATCCAATTGATAACCAATAAAACTTTGACATTTATTTTGTATTCTAATTTTATCCAATTCAGCAACATCATTAACAGTACATAAATAATGCCAATCTTTTACGCTTGCTGCTGGATTCTAAAAAATATTTATTTAATTTTAATTAAAAACGGTTACTCGACTTTTGAGAATCTTGTAACTTTCTCTAAAATACTCAAAAAAAATTTACCCTCATTTTAAAATAAATAGTCATTAAAATGTTCCCGAACAAATTCCTAGTTTTAGGCAATAGTTTATTGTCATAATTTTCAAACTTTATATCATTTTATTGATAGTTATTATTTAGAACTTGATCTTACATATAAAATTAAATTCCATAAACTTATTCTCAAAAGTCGAATTCTTCAAATACCCCAAACTTCAAAAACTTACTTTAAACAATTCTGGAGGTTTTGTATCGTTTAATTTTAAAGCGTTCAAAGCTCTTGTATTACGTATATCTGTGGGAAGAAAATTTATATTAATAAAAAATTTTTTAGAAATCTTTTTGAAGAACATTTTAGTTCTACCGGTCAAAACTCTAAATAAAATCCAAAAAAAAATATATATTTTTACCAATTTCTCTAAATTCGTGATTGTGATTGCCATGCTCATAAACAAGAATTCCAAAAGATTTTCTAACAGCAAACAATCCATATGGGCATCTTTCTCGAGTAAATCTTAAAGTGCAATTAAGTGTAATTGTTTTGAAGTTTTTATATCTTCTTAAATTTTGTCTGCTGCAATGTAACTGAAAAATAAAAATAACTAAAAAACAAAATTAGATTATTATTAGAAAGGATATTAAACTTCCTCCAAGCGCGTATCCAGGAAAGGGGTGGGGACGATATCGAGGCCATATTTTGGGCCATAATTTTGATTTTTAACTGATTTAAATTGTTATTATATCAATCGAAATCTCTAAAAGTGAGGATTATTTTACCTAAAAGGATTGATTTGATGTGGTTCTAAAAATAATAAACTAAATTATAGCCGTACCAACTTAAGGTTCAAAATGCCTAATACCTAAAATCCGATCCCTGAATATCCTTTGGAACGAAAAAATTGAAAACCTCAAATCTAAGTTCTTCGAGTTCTTCATCATCTTTGACAGTTTTTAACAATTTGTATTCAATTTTATAAAAATTGGTTTGTCGAGTAAATTCTCTAGTAATAGTTTGTGGTATATTTTCACCATCATCCTCACTTTCACAATTATTTAATTTAATTCTTTTAGACGTTACTTGTTGAGGATTTGGAATATTTTCAGTTAATTCTTCTACTTTTGATCTTTTGGGTGGCAACTGTTGTTGTTGTTGTGAAGTTTCCAAAATTTCTTTTTTAATATTTTTCTTTGATTTTTTTAGCACTTTTTGTAGCACTTTAGTAGCACTTCTAGTTTGCATTTTTTACAGAAATATATTTTTCTAATTCTAAAAAAAATATTAAAATTTTAAAAATATTTTAGTTAAATAATTATAAAAAACATTCCTAAATTAATTATTATTTCAACAACTATTTCCCTAAGAAATGCCCCTATACTTTTTTGGAGAAAGCCGTTGATCTAAATTATACAAGAGTTAAAGGACGGTAATATGTAATTGCGGACACAAACTTTTAAAAACAAAATATCTTTCTAAAAATAATTTAAAAAATATAGTTAACGTAATGTTACGTACCATCACAAAAAAATAAAAATTTAAATATTTAACGATTTATATTTATTTAAAATTAAAAAAAATTTTATACAAAAATGAAAACAAATAATAAAAATTATTTCCACAAACAAACAGTTTTTCGTTTATCACCACTTATTAAAACATGACCAGCTGGATGCCAAGCCAAAGAAAGAACGGGAATATTTCTTTAAAAATTAAAAATTGTAACAAAATTCTCCTATCCCCCCTTCCCTGTTTGAATCTCAAAATTAATTTTTAATTTCTTGTCAATCAAAAGGATTGTGTTAGCTTATTTGTTAATATTTCGGCTTCCTTACACCGCAAAAAGGGAAACGATTTTCTAAATTTTTCCAAATCACCACTTTTGATAGACAAAAAATTACCCATGAGAATCAAATAAGAGAGTATTTTAAAGAAAATGTCAAAAAATATTTTTTTAATTTTTAAAAACTCACTCGTGGCCTCCTCTAAAAAGAATTTTTTCAAGCCGAGTACTATGTAAACTCCAAATAAAAATATGTCCATCAGCAGAACCAGCGGCCACATAACTATCACCAGGGCTGATTACAGCAGCGCGGCTATAATCAGATGAAGTTCTGTATTGTTCGGCACTAGAAATAAATTAATTAGGAAAGGATATTTATGTAAAACATCTTAAATTTATGATACAAAAAAATTTAACTACAAACCTATAAATATGTAAAGTATCATTTGTACGTAAATCCAAAAGTGTTAAAGTTTCGTCTCTAGATGAACATAATAAATACATAAAATCTAAAATATAAGAGGGTAAAAATTATTTAAAAAATAAAACTAACCGGATGTGAGGCATAATGAAGTCATTTTGGCATCAAATTTAACCAAATTAGTAGGTGAATCACCCGGAGCTCTAGTATCCCAAAACCGGATCTTTTTGTCAAAATGAGCACTTATCTAGACAATTTTTATAAAATTATTTTTAAAAAATATAATTAACCAAAGGAGCACCATAATGATCATTTGTTACCAAATCACAAATTGTTGATCCAGGAAAAAATGTTTTTTGACCTTAAAAGGTAAAAATTTATTTTAAAAAATATAAAAAATAATTAATTATTCAAAAAAAATTTTTTTTGACAACAAGCCTGGAATATCTCCCTAAAATGATAATGGCACGATCTAAGATAACTTTACAATAAATCCTTTTGGAAAATTGCCTTTTTTCTAAAAATAAGTTGACTCAATGAAAAAGAATTTTTGCCAAAGATTAATTTTAATAATTATTTTAATTAAATCTTACATCTATTAGTTATTGTATCCCAAATCTTTATTGTTCTGTCATTAGATCCTGAAGCTACTTGACGTCCATCACTCATAAACTTTGCAGAGGTTACCTTATCTGTATGGCCAGTAAATGCAACCTTTTAAAAAAAAGAAATAATTTTTACAAAATTAATAATTACCCTCATTCGTTGATCATCTATCGACCACAACCTCACAGCACAATCATTACTTGATCCAAGCAAATGGCCACTTTCTAGATGAATATCAATACGTGTTAAACCTTGAACAGCTCCAGTAAATTCAAGCCTTAAAATTAAATTTGGGTAAAGAAAAAGCTTGAAATAAACATGGCTTTGAAAAAAATAAAAAGTTTAAGAAAAGTAATTTAAAAAGAAAGCCAGTCATTTAAATAATAAAAATAACCTTCATTTTAAGAAAATTCCAACCTTTTTACACAATTATCATTTCTTGGTTCCCACATTTTGATCTTTTTATCAATTCCTGCAGTGAAAAAGAACCTCCCATTTGGATGAAATTTTACATCATTTACATCTCCAATTTCGTTGCATTCCTGTTATAAAAAATGCCTTTAAATAAGTTTTTTAAAAAATCTATACAAATTTAATTCCGCATCTTTCAGGTATAATATCTCCAAAACTTTGAAACCTTTCTTGAGCAAAAGCAGAATCAGACACATCAGAAATGCCTTTTTCGTCAGCAGCAAGTACTTCAAAACTATCGTGGATGTTCAAAACAGAACAAAAACTTTACTCAAATTATTTTTAACAAAAAATAAAAAGTGGCCGAAAAGCAACAAAACCGAAATTAATAAAAAGAAAAAAAATGAGAAAGTGGTGGATAAGAATTCTTTTTTTCCAAAATTTTTTTTGGATATTTTAAAATTATTGTAAAATTAGAAAAACTTACGCCTTTGCATCTAAAACAGGATTTGGTTTTGACGCCTCTGCAAGATCGCATTGAAGTTTTTGTAAATTTAACCTTTAAAATATAAAAAAATAAATTTCAAAAATAAATTTGAACACTAATGGAAGAGGAAGGGTAAATAAATAATCAAATTTTAAAAATAATTTTATTAAATTAAAAACCAACTGTTGTTCCCTTTCATTCATTTCATTAACAAGAGTAATCTCCCTTTCTTTCAATTCCTTCATTCTGTTAATAAGTTCAGCACGTTCCTTGTCTGCTTGACTATATTTCGCTTCAACAGCAGAGTAAGCAGCCTATAAATTAATTTATTTAATTTATCAAAAACAATAAATATAATTTTTACTTGCAAAGCAATATGTTCGTCAAAAAGTGTTCGATTATCTGATTTTAATTGTTCCATTTCCTCCTTTGTCCTCGTCAAATCTTTCTTTAGTTTCTCAATTGTTTCCAGTGCTTTATCACGTCTAAAATATTTAAAAGAAAATTAAAAATTATTTAAAAAACCCCTACTCTATTTGAGTATTTTTTAATTCTTTTTCAACATTTAAAAGTCGATTAGTTGTTTCAATCAATTGTTGATCATTTACACCTTTTTGAAGACAAATTTCTTCGTATTTAGCTTCTAATGCTGCTATTTGTTCTTCATGTTCCAATGAACTTTAAATTTTTAAAAAATTAATTAAAAAAATATTTTTATTAAAGAAACCTTTCCTGAGGCAAAGATGATTGAGATTTACGAACTGAGCGAGAAGAAAATTTTTGTCTTGTCATTAAATGACGCATAGAATCAGCCAAAGATTGGTCTATTTTTAAATAAATTCATAAAAAAATTTAAGAAAAAATTACATGATCGAATAATTCTGTCAAACTGGGCACTCTGTTTATCCCGAGCCTGAAGACGTTGCAAAATTAATGTTCTGCATTCAGTATGATTCATTTCTTTAGAAAAATATATTAAGTTTCAGAGATGCTGGTATGGCACAAAATATAATAGAAAACTAAAAAGTAAAAATATTCAAGGCCCATAAAAATCCAAAAATTTTAAAAATTTTAATTTCTGAAAATTTTAAGACGAGAGAGTTAAGCGAGACTGTTAGAGAAAAAACAGAATGCCAAGAAAATAAAGGCGCTAATGTAAATTTAATCGGCTTTTAAATCAAGCATTAGAAATTCTTAATTAAATTTCCCTGATTTAGAATGACTTTCTTCCATTTTTGTAATTGTCTTATACTTGCTTATGCTCCATATTTTATTGTTTATAAATATTCAGCACTTTCTGAATATTCCAATATTTGGAAATGTGGTCAAGCAGCTCTAGGTATATTTTAACATTTTTTAATTTTTAATATTTTTATTTTTTTAGCTTATTTACTCACTCAATTCATTAAAATGGTATTAAAATAATTTAATCTCTTATTCAATTTTTAATTTTTTTAGCTTACTTTGGCTACATTTTATCCTGTCTTGGATTCTGCAGAGTTTAATCCAACTTATGTATTTATTTTTTAAATATTATTTTTATTAAAATTAATTTGAAGTTTTAAATACATTCCTATTTTTTATGAACATTTAAAAAATTCCACATGATTTATTAGAACTGACTTTTTTTTTGAGAAATTTTAGATAGCCCAGAATTAATCGTAAAAATAATCAATTTCCTTAATTTGTGTCATTTATTTTTTAATTTCTAAAATAATCCAATTCATTAGCATACTTAATCATTGCCAAAAATTTAAAATAATTATTTTAGGAAACAATGAAAAGTGCAGTTGATGTAATGGATATAATTGGTCTTCATTTTACAATGACCTACTCAGGAAAAGGACAAGTTAGAATGCTTAGTGCAGGTCTTGGTTGGGCTGCTGCACATGCTGCTTTGAATTATTTTGTATTTTTATTGGTTGGAGCTAGAGCGGCTGGTTTTTCTTGGCGTTATTTACAAACAGCTTTTGAATCGAATATTTATTTGGTATTTTTTTTTGAAATTTTTTATGAATTTTCCCTTTTTTGGCCTCCATTTATGGTCAATATTTTTATTTACTCCATGTCCAAGGGCATATCCAGAGGAGGGGGGGGGAGACTGAAGCCTCCCCCGATATGAGAGAAATTGAAAAATTTTGAAACCTATTTCACTTCATTTTAAAAATTAAAAAGGCTTTCTATATGTGTTTGGCAACACTTGTTTGGGTATACAATAGACAAAATCAAACTTTATTTTATCGACGATTGGCTTCATTATTGTTGCTTTATTGTATTGGACATTCGCTGATAATACAGTTTTATTTTTTAAATATTATTTAGTTCCTTTTTTATCTTTTTTCTCAAAATTTGATTTATACCCAAATAATTTCTAAATTCCTTAAAAAATCAAAATTAATTGAATTCTTTTCTCATTCTTAATTTTTAAAGGCTTCTTTCAATTAAATTTACTTTATATTCCTGGCATTTATTAGCAACAAAGGCAGCGTTAACTTTTGTTCTTTTTGTTTTTACTTTAATTGTTTATTCAAATGTTGGAATATCAGAAAAATCTTCAACATCAACAAATAGACATTATGAATAAATAAATTGATTTTAATTTTAAAATGAAAATTAATTTTTTGGTTAAAATTTTTTTGTTTATTTACTAATTTATTTATAGTATTTGTATTTTTTTACAATTTTTATTTAATTAAAAATCCTATTTTTTAGATTTCTTTTAAAATTTAAGAAATGAAGCTAAATTTATTTATAAAAGGAATAGCTTATGGTGTTTATACTTTCAGTGCTTTACATGTTTTTGCTGAAAATGTTGGATGTTTTATTCTTTGTCAAGGTTTGTTGGTTGGTTAATTCTCTTTGACGCATCACGAATGAAGAGATGAGTAAATACGGCTTTTGAAAAATAATTACTGCCTGATATGTATAACCCTTAAATTGTATTGGGGCCAAAATATTTTTAATAAATTTTAAAATATTTTCCAAAGGTGATTCAATGTTACCAACGCTTAAGGATGGAGATATTCTTTGGGCAAAAAAATTACAACCTCATCAACTTAGTGAATCAACAAACAAAACTTTTGGATGTTTAAATAAAGGAGATATTGTTTGTTTAAAAAATCCGACAGATGCTGAAGAACAAAGTGTTATTAAACGGATTTACAAGTTTATGTATAATTTATTATTTAAATAATTAAAGTGGGAAAATTAAGTATGTGGGAGAATTTTAGGGTGAAATTTTTAGAACAGAAAAATACCCTTCAATTACTCCCTTTAAAGAAAAATTTCCAAAAAAATTTAAAAAGCCCTCAGATGGTAGTGCATGTGAATACTCTAATCACCTTCTATCAGAGATCTTGGTGGATCACGATCGATCATCGGGCTAGTATCGAACCTACATACTTCTCCCTAGTAGGCAAGGACAGATCCATTAAGCCAAAGTGTACATCGTTGGAAACTTTCCTAATAACACTAATAAACTAAAAAATATTTTTAATTTAAGTCAAAAAGATCGTAATTCTGCTTCAAGTCAAATTGAAATACGTGGGGATAATACTTTTAACTCTACAGATTCACGAGATTATGGGCCTGTGACTATTGGATTAGTTCAATATAAGGCAGTTTATCGGTTATATCCTTTGGAAAGAAGAGGGAGGATAATAGAATAACTAGAAAGGAACTTAAATTTCAAGTAGCCTTGTATAAATAAAATTATGAACATATACTATAATAAATAAAGAGGTTGTCGAAATATATTTTTTGATTTAAAATCGATTCAATTTTAACGTTCTTGTTTAAAAATTAATTATCGACAACCATAAAATACAGGTAGGTATATAGTCAATAATATCGTTGTTAAGATCGTTGGATAGAAAAGTTGTAAATTATCTTTTGAGGAACTAATCTTTCTTTTTAGTTTTTAATAGTATTTATTTCCTCAACCAATTTATTAATCAGCTCTGTCAACAATACCTTCAGCATTACAATCTCGTTTCTTTTTTAATGCAATTTCCAATATTGGTTCAGATTGATCCAACTTAAATAAATTTATAGAAAAAAAAGAATAAAATGAACCTTCAATTCTTCAAAAAGTTCAGCACTGTGTGAAGGCGAAACACTCCAAAGAACTTGTAGGTTTGGATACTCACGTATTAGTATTGCAAATAATGAACGGACATTTCGGCTATATCTACTCATTTCACCCTTAAGAAGAAAAATTATTGAAGATAAAATGTTAGAAAATATTGTATTGCCGCTCATGTACTATTTATCGAAAACAAAAAAGCAATATTCTATCAAAAACAAAAAAACCTGAAAAGGATTATTTTTATTCCTATATTTTTCAGCAGATTCAATCAAAAGAATATAATATTTGTAACATTTCTTCATCTTTAAAATAAAAATTATTTAAAATATTTCTTTTAACAAAACCTGCTCGACTTGTTTGAAAATACGTCCACTAAGCAATGATTGAGTTAAATCATCAGGAGATTTTCTTTCACAACAAATGTCAGGAGATAAAATATAATCACCAACTTCAAGCATTGCTGCCATTAAATCAATTCCACGTCTATATAAAACTGTAGGTAATTCACTGTTGAATTCACGAAGATCGACTATAACCTAAAAAATTTATTTTTGATTATGATGATGTAAAAAGGGGGAGTTAAAAACATATAAAAAATATTCTCTCTAAAAAAATGCCTTTTGTCTATTCTCCAGATTTTCTTCCTCTTCATCTTCACAGAGAAACATTTGGCTAGCTTTTGAAGAGCCTGTTCTTTGATATCTAGTGTCTCTTCTTTGTGGAGTAGTTAAACGTCGTAATTGTGATGTAGAATCTCTACTAACATCAAATTCACGTGGAGCCAAAAGGAGCTAAGAATAAAATAATTAAAAAATTCTAAAGAAACCCACAGATTGTTCCTTTATAAGTGTTTCTATTGCTTCATTTTCGCGTTGTAAAGAAGAAAGATAACGTTCTTCTTCATAACTATCCTCATACATTAGCACATATAATTCAAGTGGATGATCTTCATTAAGACATTTAAAGGTCTTTAAAAGAAAATTTCAAAAAAATTCTTTTAATAAAAATTAACCTCAATAGCCCGTGTAGCAGCCATATCTTGACTATACATAATTATATATAAAGGTTTTAATGTTTCTAAACAATTTAATAATTGATATCTACTTCCAACTTCTAAAAATATGAGCATTGAATTTTGTTGATTTATTTGGTTATTTTGTATTTTTGTTTGTTCATTTTGGTCATCCTTTTTATTTTCTGCCAAATTTTGTTCTTCTTGGGTTTTATTAAATTCATCAATAATATGAATTGACTGGAAAACAAATATTTTTAATTAAATAACAATTTAAACCTTTTCAGCACGAATTCTAGCTGCAACAGCAATTGATTTATCCAAAGGAGGGTCTAATTGTTTTATTTTCCAATCAGCATCATTTTGTGGCTGTTCAAAATTATCATCATTTTGAAATCGTCGTAGAGGTAATCTACTAGATCTATGCGGCTAAAAATGTAAAAATATATATTTTCAAAAATGACAAAATGAAGATCAGGCTTGCAAAGAAATTGCCTAACAAATATATATTATTTCTTTTTTTCCTAAATTAAATTTAAAAAATAAAAAAAGCACACATCTTCAGGAGTTGGCGGGAGTGGCGGGGAATAATGTGAAGTAGATGGACATTCTTCATCCTCTTCTAGGCAAATAATAGAGTTTTGTGAATTTTTCTGTTGTCCAACCTCCCCTTTTTCTTCCTTCGATTTTTCATCTTTTTCGTGTTCATAAAATGAAGTAAATGGATCTTCAGGTAACATTCCCTCAGGGACGACTTCTCGAATTAATGGCAATTTCTTTAAATAAAAAATTATTTTAGCCAAGAAAGCCAAAATATACAAACAATATTCATCATTGGACTACGTTTTTGATTCTTTGAAACACTCTGACCATTTCCATATTTATGTGAAGTTTTAGGAGCGAGTGGAGCAATACCAAAACAATCAAGTCTAGTTTGTTTTAAAGGTTCAGTAGGAACATCAACCAATTTTCCCCGTTTTCTAGACTTTTTAGTTTCCTCTTTCTGGGCAAAACGCAAATCTGCCCGAAGTTCTTGCCTGTCCTGAAAATCAAATTTTTTATCTGCAATTTAAAGTTAAAATTACTTTTTCAAATATTTGTTCATCATAACATGCTATATTTGCTGGATTCCAAAGAGGTTCAATAGGAGGCGCCATTGAAAAACTGTCACGACGCGAAGGTGCCATCTAGGGATTTTTATCAAATTTCAAAATTTCTTGTAAAAATTACAAATCGTCTAATTAGAGTCCAAATGTAATGGCGTTGTCCAAATTTTACCAAATCAATCAATTGACGTGACAAGGACTCATTAGAGACAAGTACAAGCAAAGGCGAATCTATATTTTCAAAAATTTAAAAACTGGCTAAATAAAAAATTTACCAGAATTTTCGGTCTTCAATTTGTCAGTAATTTCTTTAATTAAATTGCAAAAAACATTCCATTTTGAAGGTGCTAAAATTTAGAGTTTCAATAATTTTTAAAAATAAATTAAACCTGTAATTGTTCTATTCCCTTCATTATCATGTAAAGAACACAAATCGTCAATACTTGAGAAAAGAGTTGCAGCAGATTTGGTGAAAAGCCATCCACTATTGTTTTTGATTGTCTAAATTTGAATTTTTTAAAAATAAAACGAATCAAAGTAAATATAAATCTTTTAGTTACTCATTAAAAATTCTGGTTTTTTCAATTCTTATTAAATTCCAAAATTTACCTCTTCATCGTTACGTAACCAAGAAATAAAATTCATAGCATTTGTTGGATCCAAATCCTCAACCTATAAATTTAAAAATTCTTTTTAATTAAAGAAAATAATTTTACTCAATTTTTGATATAAATTCCGTAAAATTTTCAAATCATCAAGAAGACGCCGCTGTCGGTCAGTTAAACAAACATCATTTTTACGCAATTCCAATTCAAGTTTAGTGGGATATAAAGTCGCATATGGTGCTAATGTGTCAGATAAAGTTTCTGGCTAAAAAATGTTTTTAAAATATTTTCTAGTAAAATCTCCCTTACATCGAAACCTTTAGTACTTTGTTTCAATTCTCGAACACAAGTAGCAATTATATCATGAAGAGTTGATTGTGTTTTGCGTTGTAAAGGTTGTAATTTTATAGACATTTGTGTAAGTTTGGGCTAAAAATTTAGATTAAAATCTTAAAAATAATCTAACCGGATTCTTCTCAAAACACGCTTTAACTTCTTCATGAAATCGAGGCACTATAACAACCTTTCGAACATAAAGTAAATTTAATAATCTTTGAAGCTGTCCAATTACTCCTGTACTAACAATGTAAAGAGGACGGTCAGTAAAAGCTCTTAAAATTAATTTTAAATATTAATTTATTTTTAAAAATAAATTACTTAACAATTCCATCTTTCTTTTTCTCTCGAAATAAGCGAAGAATAAAAGATTCCTTAAAACCATGAAGAACACTTAAAATTAAAAATAATCTAAAAAAATAAAAAAACTGCAAACTCATGAGCTCTATATACGAGAATACCAACAACTTTATCGAAAGGAACACGTTCTGCCAATAAATCAACCATTAAAATTCGAGATGTTACAAATTGAACTCCGCCCGATTTGTAGATGATAACACTATAAATAAATAAAATATTTTTGTCTGTCTCATTATTACAAGATTACCGATCTTTGGCAAGCACATCTGCTGTAATCAATTTTGGCGGTGAATCAGGATTTAAGGCTTTCAATTTCTCCAAATAAAAATGCTGAAAATTTAAAAAGTATTTTTGATTTTTACAAAAATACCTCATCTTCAGGTGTAGTGTTAATTATTAAATAAGTATGCCTTTGATCACTATACAAATGCAAATGTGCAAAGAAAAGGCGTTCTAATGCGAGGCCACTAAAATAAAAACGTTCTTTCTCTAACGGTTTTAAATTACTAGAGGTGGCCATTTAAAGATTATTTATGCGGACCAACTCACAAAAATAAAACCACAAATTCCTATTCAATTTCCAAAAAGTTATAGAGTATTTAACCTTGCCATTATATACAAAACATCGCTAATAAAATTCTCAACCATAAGATTCTGCTCAAACGGGATTAATTTAAAACGAGTATCTTCTTCTTCTTCTTCATCCTCCCCATCTATTGTAATGCAAACATCTTCACAATCATTGGACATTTGTTAATTAACTAAAAACTAAAATCTAAAACATTCCATATATAATTTAAAATAAATTTGCAGAATAAAATGCTGTAAAAATTCGACAAAAATATTTTTAAATTTATTTTTATTTGAATTTTCAACAGATCAAAATTTAGAAAAATTTTAAATATTTTTTAAATTTAAATGTCCCAATTTTCAATCCAATTTCAATCCGCGCTTCTTCAATTCTTCTTCTAATTGTTTATGAAACTCAGTCTCAACATCCTCATCATCCCAATTGTCTTCCCAAACGTTAGCGGTAGGCTGACCTGCGGCAGTGTTTGATTGTCCATTTGCTGTGTTTCCAAAATCTAAATATTCGGGAAAATTATTTCAATTCGCACCCCCAAAGCACAAAATTGCCAATCATTAAAACACTATATTCCCCCTCCCTCCCCCCTCTTATCAACAACAAAATTTAACATAAAAATTTCAAAATAACCTTCAGATTCTTTGTAAATTGGAAATTCTTCAAATTCCTCTTCTTCATCTTTTGGCTTTGAAGAAGAAATCAATTCAGATGATTGAGTCGATTCAGTGGTTACTGTCGTAGTTCCTTCACTACTTTGTTCTCCATCCTTTGGATCCACGTCCATTTTATTAATATTCCAGAAAAAATTATTTAATAAATCCTTAAATTACTTTAAGAAAAAATTAAAATTATAAAAAAATAAGTGGTAGGTTTTAACCAAATATCTCAAAAAAGTGTTTTAATTAATACTAACTTTATTTTCTTTGCATTTAAAAAATTAATAAAAAATGAATTTTAAATTCAATATGTAATGATTTTTTAGTTATACAGGGTAAATTTAAAAAATATTAGAAAAATATTAAATTTACAGAAATGCTTTAAAAATATATTTTGAACAGATTAATGTTGAAAATAAATGTTAAAAATATTAGGATTAGAAGCAAATTTCTTAAGCAAAATATGAAATTATTTTTAAAAAACTAAACAATTATAAATTAGAAGGAAGCTTAAAATTAGCAAATAAACGGCTTCCAATTAAGAACAAAAGTTGACAACGTTACAATTAAAAAAATTTTAAAAATTTAAAAAGAAAAATTAAAGAAAAACGTTAAAAATTGCTTTTAGAAATATTAGAAATAGTTCAGAAAAAATGCCTCAAAATTGTAAGTAAACTAACAAGCCTGACAAATTTTTTGAGCCACTGAACCTTCAACAAAGCGATTTCCCTGCATCTTTTGTTCATTTAACCAACATTTAATAAAATTCCAATTAATTACTCCAGAAAAAGACGAATTATTTGTATTTTCAGGCAAAACTTCACAATTAGAAGCTGGCATAAGAAAAAGAAAATAGCAAATACTGCCGCTAGTTTCTATTTGTTGTAATGTTAAAGTAGAATCTGTAGAATCACAAATTTGAATCAAAGCAGTTAATAAAGAAAAAAACATTGTTTGAATTAACTGAAAAAATTTTTTGAATTTTTTTTTGAAAAAGAAAAAAACCCTGGAATCATTTATGACAGAATTTCCAAAATTTGTTGAACGAAGAATTAATAAAAGTTCATCTTTTGATGTGATTTGAGTAAAAAGCGTGCAAAAATCTGTAGCAAATGATTGTACCTATAAAATAAAAAGAGAATCTTTTCTTGTCAATTTTATAAAAATATTTCTCATTAAATGCCTATTTCAGACCCTCCAAAAATATTTTACCGATTCTTCATCAAAAATTTTTTTTCCCCATCTGTCCATCGTTTCTAACACCATGCACAAATATTTAATAAATTTGTCATTATCTCCTTGCTGTCTCCTTTCTTCCTTTGTGCATAAAAATTGTAACCAATCATATACTAATTGACGGCCTTTTTGGATAAGCATTACAATTGGTATTTGATCTGGAACAAAGATGCAAGTATTAATAAATGAAATATTCTCTGCAAAACGCTCGACTCGATCAACTCTGAAAAATTTTAAAATGCTATTTTGAGTAAAATAAAAACAAACATTTCATGTTTATCGATAAATTCAGTTATAGCTGTTTCCTCAAAAAATCTCAATTTTCTTCGAATATCACGACAATCAATAAGAGCTAGAGCGGCCTTTTCTATCTTCATAAGAATGAGACGAAGACGTCTTTGTCTAGTTGCTGCAGTTTGTTTTGTATTCCCAGCAAAATCAACAATTGAATCGTCCTCACCGTCATAATGAACTGAAAGTATCTAGAAAATGATTGAATAATTATGTAGAACTTAATTTATACAGAACCTGTCTTGGTTGACAAGAAGATGAATGAGTAGGTCTTCCTAGAGCGCCTGCAAACGACGGTGCAATATAGTCCCTTGATGGAAAGGTTGCATCGAAAGAATAATATCTCGGTGGTCTGGCATCTTTTTGCCAAGTTTCAGGTGCTTTTTTCAAACTATTTCTTTGCTTCCAAACCTATAATAAAATTAAGGATTATTAAAATGTGTGCCAATCTTTCCCGCCATTCTGTGGGGGAATTTTAAGGAGAGAAACGTACAATTACATAAACTATCGAGATACGACTGTATGTAATGACACCCCCGTTTCCCTGACCATTTTGAGCTTTAAGGAGACTTAAAAAAGTAACCGCATAATAATAATCATCTGTCATTGGATCTCCTGTGCCTAGACATTGAATCAAATGTATTTTAATGAGCCATTCACGTTCTTTAGTAGATAAAAGCCCCGCATATGGATCCAAAGCAAAATCAGCAATCGTTTTTCCCGAAGGAAGTGCTAAACTTGATTTTTTAGTTTGCTTTTCAATGCGAGGATGAAGAGAAGCAGGAACCATTGCTAGCATTGCTGAATGAAAAAAAAATAGTAAATTTCTTGCATTTAAGATATTATTTATTAACCTTGCTGACTATGAATCGTTGGTGAGTTTTGAAGATGATGTAGTGGCGTTTGATTGAAACTTTGGCTAGGAGGACGCTGCAATATAGGTGCACCCACTAAATGAGGTGTAACAACGGACTGACGGCCGGATTGTAAGGTTGCGGTAGTCGAGGCAGCAGCATGTAAAGCCATTCTTCTTGCAATATCAGGAGGCGGTGGATGTTGTAAAAATGCCATTGGATTAAACTAAAAAATCATAAAGATATAAAGAAAAAAATTTAACCACAGAAGGAAATTGAAGTGACGGCATCCCTGGCGGTATCAAGAAAGGTGGAGGCGGCATCCCTGGAGATTGTAGAGGAAATGGATGTTGTAGGTGTTGTTGCCAATTAGGCGGATAATCTGTCCGCGGAGGAAATATTGTTTGGTTCAAATTTTGAGGTGTTCTTTGTTGACTTAAAGGTGATGAAAGTGTACTAGATAATAATATATCTTTTTCTTGTTGGCATTGAATTGACAATTCTTTTTGTTTTTGACCGTGTTCGATCAAAGAATTCCTCATTGACTCTTCAAGTAATTTCCTTTCCAAATCGTTGGCACTAATAGGAGTTGGAGAAGCACATTGTGCGACAACGTCGTCTGAATCGGAAATTGCCTCCCTTAGGAACTTGCTTTCCAAATCAGAGCCAAACATTGCAGGAAATGTTCCTTCATGTGCAAATTGGGGCCAGAGATTAGTTAATGGAGAGGGTGACTTTTTATTTGTTCTTGATGACTTTGATTTGGGTGATATATTAAAATTGGACGATTCATACATTGGATGCGAGAACTAAATATAAAATTTAAATAAGAAAAAATTAATTTAAGAGCACAACTGGAGACCAAGATTCACATTATCGTGGCCTCCAAATAGGAATTTTGAGGAGAGGAAATTAAATTGGAAGTGATGATTAATTTAAAAGATTAAAATAAGGACAAAGAACCCTCAAAATGGGTAACACTTATGACAATAAAATTTACATTGAACGCATGGAAATTAAGTTAGAAAAATACCGTTTGTTGTCCTTTGTAAATATCCAATAGAGAATTTATACCATTAAAAGTTCCAGTTCCCCATATTGAAGGAGATAGATCAATGTCCGCATAAGAACTGTTTGTATTCTTTGATCGATCATAAAACATTCGGTCTTTAACGGGCTAAAATAATTTTAATTATTGGTAAATTATATAAAAAAAACTTTATTAAAATCTGCCCCTCGTTCAGCAGCAGTCGAAGAGACAAAATGCAAACAATGATCACTTCCCATTTGAGGGATAGGTATTAGACTAGGATCAGGCGGTTTTGATGATGTAGTGGGAGAATCATCTAGGGCCAAATTTGCCGTCTTAAAAATTAATTTTAATTAAAAATTTTATTTTAAAATAACCCGAATTGCAAAATCAGCCAAATCACTTTCTTCTGCAGAGATTAATGAAGTTTCAACTCCAAAAGTTTCATCATTAATAGCATCATAAATATCTTCATCCGGTATTGTTCCATCATAACTAAGCTCATCAAGAGGTTGTCCTAATGGATGTTCAGTGTCGGAGTCGAATTGAAATGGAACTAAAGCTGGGTCAGACATTAAAGGTTGATTAAATTTTACATATGAGTAAAGAATAGTTAGGAATAAAATATGAAAATCTAAAAGATTAAATTATTAAAATTGATCAATTTAAAAGGAGGAAGAAAAAGAGACGGATTTCCATCTTTTTTCCCCCATCATTTCCACATTTCTAAATATTGAAAACATTCTACCTTAGTAAAATGTCAGAAAAAATGCCGAATCTCTAGACCTCATTCGAATGACACTAGAATCAGGGGTGAGTGCATTGCGTTTTTTGCGTTGATTTTTCGCCTTGCGTTGCGTTGCGTTTTTCACGATAGCCTCTTGCGCTCACCCCTGATTAGAATTAAAAATCAAGAAAGGGGAGCAGGCCAACTTACCGCGAGCCCAACTTACCGCAGAGTTATAACTTCGTTCAGAATTGTCGAATCCGGGACGCCCTGGTATGGTTTGATGCGCATCGAAGAGCTGAATCGAACCATACCAGGGCGTCCCGGATTTGACAATTCTGAACGAAGTTATAGCTCTGCGGTAAGTTGGGCTCGCGGTAAGTTGGGGTGTACCCTCAAGAAAGTTATGGTCACACTCTAAGAAGTCAGCACTGAATCAACCCATACCAATTTTTAGTCATTTTGTTAATTTATTATTTTGTTAAAAAATGAAAATTTTCTTTTTAGATTTTATTTTTGACTTTCTTTAAATTTTTAGATTTTTTCTTTATTTAAAGATTCTAAAAAACAATGGCCACCGTAAATGTTGCTAAGAATATGTTAGAGCCTGTTAAGTCTTTGCCTAAATATTTTGGAAATTTTAAGAAAAATTTGTTCTATTATGTTAGCGACAAACATGGAGATCGTTGGGGTAAATTTTAAAATAAAGTATTTTTAATACAAAATTTAAAATAATTTTCTTTAATTTAGCCAACCGAAATATGGCTTGGTTTATTATTGCAACTTGGACGACCGTTTATTTTGTTGTTTCGACAAAGCTGGAGAAAAAAGCTTTGCGATTGAAGGTTTATTTTAAATTTTTTTCCTTTTTTCGCGCATCAAATTGTTTGTAGATTTTTTTAGACATTAAACTTTATCGAGTTAGAATTTTATAGCTAAAAAATAGTAGTTCTTTTAGGTGCCTAAAACACTCAGAAATTTATTTTTTCACAATAACGAAGAAATAAGGTTATTGAAGATTTTGCATCTTTTCAATAATTAGAAGTACTAAATAATATGTTTTGCCCCTAATATGTGTTTTTAATTTTCTATCTCGTAAAAATAAGCTACGGATTCAACCTAATTAGAATCTTTTTGGTAATATTTGGGTTAAGGTTCAACTCTCCAACAAAATTCCTTTTATTTTCCTTTTTGCATACCATCAATCAAAAATAGATTTCGATTTTTGGTTGGGAAGCTTTGACATTACACAAATCCTCATTAAAAATCTGAGTAAAGGTAAACTGTTTTTTGTCGGCGGGAAAAGGAAAAATGTTGGGGACTTGGCCAAACAATTACTTTTCTTTAGATTTTGTTTGTTATTTTTGTTTATTGTTTAGGAAGAAAAGAAACGTATGAAGCCAGATTTGGTTCGTGATGCACTTGCGCGAGCAGGAATTTCGACAAACTAAAATAAGCAGATGGGCAGAAATTTAAATGGATTTGTTAGGAATTTATTAGAATATAAAAAGATTTACTTTGTTTTGGACTTTTACTTGCTACAAGTTTCTGTCAATATTTTTGTTTTGGGTAAATCTTTAAATTTTTGTATTTATAAATAGTTAAATTATATAATTATGCATAAGCTTAAGAAATCATAGAATTTTCCTGCTTTGAAGGTTTTTTAACAAATTTTTGTGGGCTAATTTCAGGAAATCGAATCGTTCGTTTCACGGCGTTTCTTTAATTTTGAATCTAATTTTCAAATTAATTTTCTCAACTTTCACATTTTCCATTGAATTTATTGTATGCGTATATACTTACTAATATTAGTAGCCTTTTATAAACGAATTTTTTGTAACTTTTCACCGTTGAATTTTTTGTCTTTTTTATTTCTCTTTATTGACCCTTTTGTGTATTTTGGACTGATGTGAATATAGATATTAACAATTTGTCCTTGAAAATTTCCCACTGTGTAAGTGGGAAATTTCTGTTAGAATGTTTAAAATTGTAAAATTCGCTAGATTAAAATTAAATTATTCTCTCAAATACATACTTGCTAGTATATATCCAGGATCATGCCAACATAAAAAATTTTTTTCTCAATTTTCAAGAATCGGGGGCGGCAGCATCCCTCTGCATAGTACATATAATTTTTTGCCAACATCAAAATTTACCTAATATTTGCACACATTTAACCCAAGTAAATTTATCTATTTTATTTATATAAAATGTTAAATCAAATTTTTTTATTCTCGTTTTTTTTTATTTTTTGTCAGATCGAAAATGAGTCCCTTTTTTAAATAAAATTGTGTGTAAAAGATTTTGTGTAAAATTTTTTTATTTAAGAGTGAATTTCACTTTGAATTTTTTTTATTATTTAATACATAAAAAGACCACCCACCACCCCCACTCTATGTTAATTTTTTATATTTTTTTCTCGCATGTTTTAATTCAAGTTTTTACATATACACGGCATAATTTTCGTAAATAAACCGCCCTCTCTCGATTAATCATCTTTTAGCATTCCTATTCGTGTGTAAGTATTTAATGGAAATAGAGAACCAAAAATAAATCAAAAACAAATTTTTCTCTTTCATTTTTAATGTCAAAATTAAAAGGAGGGCGCGTTTAACGGACAGAAAATCAACAAATTTCTTTCTTTGGAGGAGGGGAAAATTTAGTTGCTTACAAGTTTCCGTTTTTCTCAATAAGGAGGTTTGTAGGTGAATTATCCGTTAGTGAGATGTTCAAGAAATTATTGTCCATACAATAAATTTCTTTCTTTCGTTGCTACATTTTTTGGGTACAGCCCAAATAGGCGCGCAGCCATAATGGCGCAAAGCCATAACTTGCTTTAAGTTTCCGAATCTTTCCAAATTTAGTATTATACGATTCCTCTCATCGGTCTAAAGAGATTGATACCAAAATTGATAAGGGCCGGAAATTTTCCAGCATATTATGGCTTTGCGCCGTTATGGCTGCGCGCCTACTTGGGCGTGTCCAATTTTTTTGATTTTTAAAAAATTGGTGGGGGGAATTCATATTTACATATTTTGACATTTTTAACTGTGGCATTTTGTCCACACATGGTTTAAATTTTAGTCAATTTTGCATTTCTTTTATTTTATTTTTTGCAAATTAATTTTTTTCTTCATTTTTTAGCATAATTTTAAATAGTAGAAGCATAATACAAAAATGGAAGCAGCAACTTTAGAAATTGAATGTCGTTTTCTTGGTGATCAAAAATTGCCTATTGACAACAAAATTGTCGTCAAAAATAATAATTCAAAATTATTTAATGGAAAAATACATTCACAAATACCAAAATTTCCGATACTTCCAAATGACTACGAAATTAGAGAACTTTCAGAAGAAGATTTTGATCAAGGATTTTTAGAATTACTTGAACAATTAACTTCGACTTTGCCTATTACACGCCAACAATTTATTGAAAGATTACATCAAATGAGAAGTCAACAACCGAGGTGTTATCATATTTTCATCATTAGGAAGATAAGGTTTTTATTTTTTTGTTTAAATTATTATGGTTAATTTTTGATTTTTTCGAAATCATTTTTATAATTATTTGGGGCAACTTTTTTTCTAGTCTAATTTACATTTATTTAAATATCCAAAGGGGTTGAGAAATAAGTAATGTTGCTTTTTGTTTATCACATACGTTGATTTATGCTCTAATTTTAAAGTCAAAAACCATTCTCTGAGCTTCCAACCCTTTCGAAAATTGATGTGTTTACTGGTATGATCTCGAAATACCGTGATCTTGAAATACAAAGGCTTGAAATACCAAACATTTATTCAAGCGTTTTTGGGGCTTGGTGTTTCTTGCTCTTACAATTAGTATTATAAAACATTTCGTGTTTACCTACATATTAATTCCGACATGGATTTTATAGAAGCATTCTCTAACACAAATCTTTAAATCATTACAAATTTTTTAATTTAGCACCTGCCGTATCGTCGCAACCGCCGCTCTAGTTTGTGAACTAAAATTTGTCCACAATTGTGGGATGCGTGGTCGCGTTGAAGACGTTGTTGTTGACAGTTCAGAACGTGGCAAACGCTTTGGACAAATTCTCAATGAATATATTGTATGATTTAAATTTTACTGTTGGGAATATTTAATTTTGGGTCACTTGCTAGACATTTAAAAAGGACATATGAATATTTGAGACATCTGATCCCAGAAAATTTTTATTCTTTTTTAAAAATTCTCAAATTTTAGGTACAACTTGCTCATCATATGGGCGTTTACAAATTATCTCTTGAATGTAAAGACCATTTGATTCCATTCTATCAAAAATTTGGTTATCGACATGACGGCAATAATTTCCTGGTGCAACGCTTTATATAAGGAATTATAAGGAATTAATTTTATTTAAAAATTTTTTTTGCCTATATTCATATTTATGCCTTTATTCCTTTACAATTGTTAGAAAATAATGACCCTATGTAGGAAAAAAAGGGGGGAATCTTTAAAATGGGACGTTGTTTCAAATAAGAGGATAGGATGTTTCACTAATCTAACAATAAGTAATTTTCTCCGATCTTTGAAATTTGAGATAAATCTAAAGAGGGAGGGGAGGGGACTATTCCTGTGGGGCATTAATTCCAATTGTTATTAACACAAATTACCCTTCGTTATATAATTCTAAATATATTCTAACATTGTAAATTATTTGGTGTCATATATATGTGCATGGTTTTAAACACCCTTTCTTTCCCTTTTTTTCTCATTTAAATTCTATCCCTAACCTCTTCCGTTAATTTATTTGACGTTGTGATTTTTCTTCACAAATTTTTTATAAGAAAATACACAAAGATTAAAAACAATAAATAATAAAATTTACAAAAAAAAACATTTAAATTTTTAAAAATAAAACGTGATATTAATTTTTAGACTATCTTTTTTAAAAGGGGAAAAGAACATTTTTGTCAAAGACAGAAATGTTCTCTTGTGAAAGAGACTGAAGAATAAACGTTACTGGAATGGTCTACTTTTTTTAACTAAAAAAATTTTTACTGGGAGAAAGTTGATTTTTTTGTTGATTTATTAGTATATTTACTAGGGCATAAAACCCTCGTTATTTTTTTTATAAATTATATTTTTTTAAGTTAATAGAAGCTCAAGTGTTTAGTTTATTTAACTTATATTTATTTGGTACTTTATGGATATGTCACCCCCTCCTATTTTGAGTCTCAGAGTTTTCCTTATACGTAAAAATTGGTCAGAGATTATTTTCTTTTCCGTGTCGTTCATTTTTTACTTCAAGCAAAATAAGTGAAATGTGGAAACAAAATGAGTGAAATGTAAGTACAAATTTCAAAAATATGTATGTGAAAAGGCAAAATAAACAAGAAAATACTTGAAGAAGAAAAAAATGATTGACATGGAGAAAAGAATAATCTCTGACCATTTTCTACGTATAAGGAAAACTCTGAGACTCAAAATAGAAGGGGGGTGACATATCCATAAAGTACCATTTATTTTCGTAAAACCGGAATGGAGCCAGAAATCAAGAAAGGAGGGGAGACTGAAGAACCTAAAGAGGAAGCTAAAAATGAAGATTTTGCCGTTAAAAATGATGAAACTGAAGTTATTAATCAGGGTGAAAATGAAGAAATTGGCAATCGAGATAATACTCCATGGGTGAAGACTCGCGAAGAACATGACAATAATGAATGTGGGGTGGAGAAGATTAATTCGTACGAAAGGAATGATTGGAAGAATTATGATCGAGAAGATTGTCTGGAAAATGACAAAAAAGTTTATGCTTGGAAAAACAAAAATCATAGTAGTCCGCCAAAATTGATGGTTACCTATCGTGAACCTGAAGGTTTGTGTTTAATTTTAGGGTTGGGTAGAAGGTTTGGATTTTTGTATTAGCTGTGGGATTGTCGTCGAAGTTTTCAGAAAATGGTATGATTAGGGAAGGGAAAGGAAAGCTCGTTTTCAGAAATTTGGATCGAAAAGAATTGTCGCTTTTATGTGTCGTTTAATTAAGTTAGAGGAGAAAGACCTTGTTGAAAATATGAGGGGAAATTAGTATTATTAGATTGTTCCATTTTTCGGACTAACTGAACTTTAGTTTTCAATCTTTATTTAGTTTGTTAATTTTAGAGTTGTCTTAATTTCATTAATAACCATTATTATGTATTTTTCAGAATGTCTTGACGAGAACGGTCACCGTTATGTTGGACTGGTTAATCAAGCGAGCACATGTTATTTGAATTCACTTATTCAAACATTGTATATGACACCCGAGTTCCGCAACGCTATTTATAAGTAATTCTTTTTTAGATTAACAAAATTATATTTATTACATTCTTTAGTCCTTACTAGGGGGTTTTAATTTTAGTGGTGGCTTCTTTATTATTTGAATATATTACTTTGAGAAAATTCCTTGAGTTAGTAATATTTTAGTTGTTTTCTCTCCGTGTAACTTTGATTTCTGCTTATAAGACTTGGGAAAATTTCGACAAATAAAATATTTTGACTTATATTTTCCACAATCTTTAAAATATTTCTAGATGGCAATTCAATGGCTCAAATGCTCAAGAACACAAAAATATCCAGTTTCAACTCCAAAAGCTTTTTCTAACTTTGCAAACAAATCAAAAATCGTCGCTTGAAACAAAAGAATTAACTACGAGCTTTGGTTGGGATTCGAATGAGGCCTATGATCAGCATGACGTTCAAGAGTTATGTCGAGTTATGTTTGATGCTCTAGAACGTTTATGGCGTAAAAGTGACAATTCGAAGACTATACAGGATTTATATGAGTTTGTTTATTTTTACTTTAATAAAATAAATTAATTTTTTTATTTTATCGAAAGTTTTTTGTAAGTAATTTTTGAAGAGAATCAGAAAGTAATTTTTCTATCATTTGTCTATAAATCAATTCCTCAATTAAAATTTTTGTGAATTTACACACTAAAACTCTCAACTTTTAGTAACCAGATTTAGCTTTCGACAATAATATTTTTAAATAAAATTTTTCGACTTGATATAAAATGTTTTTAGAGGAACAGTGGAAGACTACGTTAAATGTTTGAACTGTGGAACCGAGAGTATGAAGAAGGACATTTTTCTGGATCTTCCTTTATCTGTTAAGGAATTTGGAGCTATAACTCCTTACAAGAGTGTTGTAAGTTTATATATATAAATTTTCAACTTTTGTTAATTTGAGGAAGAAGCTTTGGATGCATTTATTAAACCAGAAATTCTCAATGAAAATAATCAGTATGATTGCTCAAAATGTTGTAGCAAGCAAGACGCTGAGAAGGTTTATTTTAATTTTTGTTTTTAATTTTACATTAGTATTTTCCCTAGATTGAGGATCTCTGGGATATTTTTCTATATTAATCATTTTTCTTGTTTAGGGTCTTCGCATCACAGAATTTCCTTATTTGTTAACCATTCAATTGAAACGTTTTGACTTTGATTATGAGACTTTGCATCGTATAAAATTAAATGATCGTATTACCTTTCCTGATTTTTTGGATATTAATGGACATATATATCGACCGCCAGTGCCTCCATCTCCATCACCGCCAAAAATTAGTTATGCGGCGGCAGCAGCAAAGTTACAATTTTCTATTTTTATGTTTATTTTTTCTCCTTTTAGGCCCAAGCCCGAACCAACAGACTCTGGTGAGATAACTCCAGAAGATCCATTTTCGTCGGCCGAAGGTAATGGGGTAGGCGAGTTAGAATGTACGGGTGCTCCTCAACTCGATGTGTCTAGTTAGTTGCTTTTAATTTACATTTTGGTTTTTATATTTTTTAGACGAAGAGAAATGTTGGTTAAATGTCCATGCTAAATCAGATCAAGTTTTACAGCTTTTGGAGACTAAAGGCAAATATATTTATGAGCTTTTCTCAATTATGGTACATCAAGGAAGTGCTGCAGCTGGTCATTATTTTGCTTATATTAAGTAGGATTTTTTTAATGTTTTAACATTTTTAGTTTATTTTTAAAGGAATATGGATCAAGATAAATGGTTTTGCTTTAATGATTCTTCAGTTCAAGCTGCCTCAAAACATGACATTTATCGAACTTTTGGTGGCTGGTCTTATGGTTATATGAATAATACTAACGGTTTTTTTTATTCTTTTTTTAACCCGAAAACCAGTACCAGAGTTTTTAATACTACAAATTTTTACACTTTATTATTTCAAAATTTAATCCAATTCTTATCCCCTTACTTTTTAAGCTTATATGTTAATGTACCGTCGCGTAGATCCACAGCGCAATCAAAGCTTTGTTCGTTCTATTGATTCACCTTTACATCTGAAAGAATTACAAACTAAACTTTTAAATGAAGAACGGGAACGTATTCGCTATTTGGAAGAATCTGTTAGGGTATGGAGATTAATTTTTTGGAAATTTTAAAATTAAATTTTCCTGCTTTCTAGATATAATTATTTAAAATTAAGGTAGTTTTTCGTTGTACAGAGGAGCGCTGTAAACAATACTCTCCTATACAAGTTGTATTAAATAAAGACACGACATTGGATTCTGTTTTTGATATTTTACTTTCAAACTGGAATCAATTCTGCGATACACATAATGTTAAAGGAGGTGAAGAAAAGCCAGAATTAGAACATCAACATACTGGTTGTGCTCGTTTAGTTCTGTATGTTTTCATTTTATATGTATACAGTTTCTCTTCTATAAGTATTTTAGTCAATTTTACCTTTAGTCTGTAATTTTGAATCTGGAACAGGGCGTCCGCAATTGAAAAAATTCGCGGTCTCAACCTCAATTTTAAAATCCGTAAACGCAATTCGTAGAGATAAACGAATCCCTGATCGTTGGTGAAGGTTAAAGCGGGATGGGGGGGGGGCTATTTAGAAGCCAGAATTTGGATAGTCTTATTTCTTTTATTCTTCCATACAGTTATGATATCGTTCTAACATTAGTCAGCTTATTACCTTAAAATAAAAAAATATTAAGTTGTTCTATGCAAGAAATATTATCCAAAAAGTATTGGAATATGCAAGAAGTACTAGTTCAATATGATGTCGCCCCACCTACAAAGAACGACGATGGACAAATTGAAGGTGGATATTGTGTTGGAAGCACTGAGGAGTTTAAGGTGTGTAATTTAGCTTAACATATTTTCTGTTTAATTTTTATTTAGCGTCCGCTTTCTTCATTAATTACATCTTATGACCGAGGTAATAATATACCAGAGGTCCTTATGATAATTGACACAAAGGCACCCGATGCCGAGCATTTCTGTGAGTTGGGAACGAAATATTCTGTTAGTGAACAAGAACAAGAAGAGTGAGTTTTTCCATTTAAATAAATATTTGAAATTTATGATTTGGGATTAGCACAAATAATTATTCGGTACTTTTATTTACATTAGCGCACAGTATTTTTATTTTTTCTAAAATAGTTAAGGAGCTTGTTTTTGGGGTTTGTGTACTTCTCTGTTTTTGTCACTTGGTCACCTCTAACGGAGTCAACATCTGAAAGAGTAAGCCAAGACCCCCAATTCTTTGATTCTGAAACATGTGTTTTTTAAATGATTGGCGTTAACGGAAAATTGATGTTTTTTAGGATTCTATTTTTATTTCAAGCAATTATTTGGGGGTTTCTCCGAGACTAATTTTTAATTTAGGAAAAGTGTTCGTGAATATATTCGAAGTGAAAAAGATATTGTTCAGTCGATGATGAAAGGTCGTGAAGCTAATGAATCCGAAGATACTTCTTTAAATGTATGATTTTTATACAGATATAATGTATATTCTTTTTTATTTTATAGAAAGAAAAAGGACAAGAAGACGATCAACATAATAATGAGCGTCGTCCTATTGCTATCGTTCCGCCAACTTTTAAGAGATCTGAAAAGACGTTGACGATTAAGGATGATACTTGTGAGGATTTGTTTTCATTTAAATTTCCTTAAGGTGTTATTTTCGCTAGTTAAATTTAATAGAAAAAGGAATCCACTAAAATAACCAAATTCCCCATTTTCTTTTACTCTTTCTAAAAATTTCGTAAATTTATCATTAAGATGACAATGTACCTTCTACTTCTAACTCGTTTTGTTCTGAAAATTATGGCTATCGTGTTGATGACCCAACACAACCTCCACCTTATACAGTTGCTGATTATCTTCAAAATATTATTTTTTCTTGCCGGGATAATGAAAAGGAAAGAGCTGAAAGAGTTAAAAATGAAATTGATGCTTATGCAAGAGAACAGAAGGGAAAGGACTATTTTAGTGAACATGATAAAGAAGCAAGGAATTCAAGTTCTAAAAGATATTTTCCAGATGATAAATTGGCAGATTTAATTAAAGTTAACAAATTGGAAGAACTTCTACAGCAAGAGGGTGCTGTTGATGCTACGGTAATCTTTTCTAGGGAGTTAAAAATCTCAGAGATATTTAAAAATACATTTAAAAATACTTCGAAGACGTGAGTCAGCATTGAAACTTACGGGGTAGTAGTTTTGGGTACATCAATTATCCAAAATTCAGCCAATAAAACGGCATACTTTATTATTCGTTAACAGAAATCTGTTTCTGGTTCTTCAATGGTTTGTCATCCCGGTGGTCATGTAATACTTGGAGGTGAACAAGAATATGATGTTGAAGATGATGAATGTTGTTATCAAGATGAGGAAATAAAAATTGGCGATGAGGCCGAACAGACACATCTTTCTTGTGGGCCAGATGATGATCCAATGTTATTGTCTTCATCGTTACCTAGCACTCCAATGGTGAGAATAAACGAGTGTTAAAGTCTCTCTTTTAAAAACATTCTTTTCTTTTTATTTAAAATAATTATTTTTAGATTTCTCCAGTAATTTCTGATGCAAGTGGAGATGATAATGCAATGGATCCTAGAGCTGATGCAGATGGTGCCAAAACAAAGGAGAAATTAATGCGGGTTAAAATGTTTTTAAATCGAGATGGTCCGTAAATATTTTTTGCCTTGGAATAATTTTTGTTTTTTATTTTAATTTTTGGCAAAACAAAAGAGAATGTTAAAAAATAGAAAAAATAATTTAATTTTTATTTTTTGTCTACTTGCTGCAAAAAGAAAATATTTATTTTATATATTAAACTTAATTTTATACCAAAGTGTATCCAATTGGTAAAAAAAGAGGGTAAATTTCTATATTGAAAATTCTGAATTTTCCCCATGATTATTTTTAATATTTAGTTGATTAATAAGAAATTTTTAAAAAATTTAAAACTTTTTATTCTCGTAAAAGTAATTTCTCTTTTAACTTTTGTTATACACACTTTGGTATTTTACTATAAAATATATGTTTTAATCTCTTTTTTAAATTTAAGTTTAAACAAAAGAAAATAAAAGAATTTTTGTTTTTAAGTTTTAATAATTTTATTTTGAATATAAAATATACTCAAAAAAATAATAAATAAATTACTTTAAGAAATTTTAATGTTTCTTTCCAAAAACGTGGTCTTAAATAATAAAATTATAAATAAATTTATTTAATTTTCTCAAAAAATATTTTTTTAATTAATTCATTCTTAAATCTAACAGATTTTTTTTAAATTAAATTTTAATTAAATTTAAATTTCTAAATAAATTAAGTAATCTAATAATAATTCTCTCTCTTTTTTAAAACAATCTCCCCTTCCCCTCCCCTTCCCCTTTTCATTTAATTGTCTTGTTTCCATGGCTTTTTAACTGCTAAATGCCGTCAATTACCTAAAGAGAAAAGGGGAATAATTAAACGTTTGCACGTTATTTTATTTAAATAGAGAATATTTTTTGGTGTTTTTTAGTTTAAAAAGTTAATTATTAATTTTTATTTTTATTTAATTTTAAAATTATATAAACAAAAAAAGTTTAAAAATCTTTTTAACATTTAAATAAAAATTAATTTAAAAAATTCGGCAAAAAATTTTACATCCTTCTGATGCTTTAAAGTTTACTCATATATATATTTTCTCTTGTAAATTGCCTAACTTACCGGAGGTTGAGGATTTCTAAAAAAATAAATAATTAATTTTTAATATTTTAAAAATTTTCTTTTTTATATTTTTATACTTTATTTATTTTTTAAAAAAAAATTAAACAAATTTTTTTTTTCATAAAATAATTTTTTAATAATTATTTTTTTTAAAGTCTAGCTTTTTTAATTAGTATATCTAATCTTTTTTTTTTCTAAAAATTAAAAAACCATCATTTGCGTGATTATTAATTTTTTTACATAATTAAACTTGTTAAAGTATGTGTATATAAATTTAAAAAATGTAGGTAAATTTTCTTTTAAATTCAAATCCCAATTGGGACTGTGTAAAGGTAAAATTTGTTAAATCGAGAGCCTTTTTTAAAGAAATTTTAGTCCGGGACCCGAAAGATTATTTTGAGAAGTTCGTTTGCATTTGGGGGTTTAACTGTATTTATTTAAATTAAATTATTGAATAAATACCTAAATTAATTATTCTTTAATTATATACCAAATAAAGCAAAATTAATTAATTACATACTAAAAATAAATAAATAAAAATAATTTCCCAATTAAATAAATAATTTATTTATTATTTTTAATTAAAAATTAATTTACAAATTTTTTATTACCTTAAAAAGAAACAGAGGAAAAAACTCCAATTAAATTTTATTCTTTTTAAACTTACGCCTTAATATCCCAACCAAATTATTTATAATTTAATTAAAAATTTATTAAAAGAAATAAAGCAATGAAATTTTATATGAAAAATTTTTTTACTTCATATTCTTAATTATTTCTTTAATTTTTGATTTTTTAATTAAAAAAATAATTTTTATTTTTTTAATCTTTAAAGTTTTTCTAAAATTTAATGGGATCTTCTCTTTGTGCTCCAAGACAACCAGATAATAATAATAATAATAAATCTAGAATTATTACTTCTTCCTCTTGTCTTTCTAACGAGCAATCTAATCCTTTTGAGGTTTTTAATGAATTAATTTATGCTTTTAAAAAAAATAATCTGAAATTCGGAAAAGGGGTTTTTATTGTATTTTTAAATTAATAATTAATTTCCTTTTAAATAAGAGAGAAAAATTAATTTTTAGACATCATTTTCAAAAAAAGAAAGAAGTTGCCTTAGAACAACTTTCCAACGCCTTTCTGATCCAAAAGAAATTATTGGACAAATATTTGTTGATATTGTTAATGATGTTTGTCCAGAATTTAAAAGGATATTTGGTGTAGAACGGGCCCCTAAAGCTGCAATGCTTAAAATGCCTAAACTTGGGGGACATGCTAGTAGAATGGCTGATTTTATTGAACAAGTAGAGAAAATTTAATTTATTTTAAACAACCAAAAAGTGGAAACTTTTAATAAAGAAATCTTTCTAAATTTTATTTCGATTAAGAATAAATTTTGCTACAAAAAGAAAGAATTAAAAATTGAAGGAGGATGGGGGGGGGGATGAAGTCCAAGCTTAACAAAATTACTTAAATTTAAGAGAAAATCGTTTTGTTTAATAAAAATCACAAAGGCCACACAAAATTTTATTTTTTTTAATTTTATCAAATATTTTTAGATGACTTTAATGATCGGCTTTACAGAAAACCTGGCAGGTGCCTGGCAATTAGTTAGAAAAACAGGTGGATTTTTCAGTGGATGTTCTGACATTTACGGCCCAAGGCTAAACTAGAAAAGGAAAATTTGAAACAAGGAACAAATATTAAATAATATTTTTTCGACTTTCTGAGCTGTTTTTGAGCTCAAATAGAAATTGATAGAGAAAGGTCCGAAATTGTTGAAAATTTCAAAAACAAAAATACCCTTAGTTTAGTAGCTTTTCTAAACGCTCGTTTTCATCGGGCGCGCAAAAAGCTACTTTTATATGGTAGTTTTTACTTTATCTCTCTTTTTGGGATATTCCTTCTTTTTTATTTTTAAAAATTTATTTTAAAGGTCGTTTACATGCAAAAGTGCCATTTCTTGAACAAAACCAAAATCAATTAGAACGTAATTATATAGCTATTGTTAATGAGTATTTTTCTGATCAATTTATTCCTTATTTAAGTGGAGAAAAAGTAAAAAAATTTAAAGAAAAATTAATAAATTCTTAATTAAAATTAAGGTAGAAATTATTGAAAATAAAAATGATCCAGCTAAAAGTGAAGCTGATAGAAGGAAATCAAGAATTCAACAAAATTATAGTCAACAGTTTATTTGTGATGTTTGGAGAAGATTTTTCTCTGTTAGATTTTAAATAATTAGAAATTTATTTCTCAAACATCCCCAATCTTTAATTAATTTCCCAGTTCTTCCAGTCATTTAAATAATCTCTAAGTTATTCCAGATCTGATTATTTATGAATATACAAGTCTGACTATTTAATTAAAACATTGCTTAATAGCCAAAGCATATTCAGAGCTATTTCCACAATATGTTTTACCTCAATCAAGGAGTTCTCCCATATCCTCAAAATTAATTATACTCAAGTGATCACAGATGGGAATCTTACTTATTAACAATCTCTCTTTTATTTATCACAATCTTTTCTCTTAAGGAAATTAAACAATTAATTAAAGGTTTGCACATCCCAAATGAATGAAGCATTCGAATTAGAACGTCAAAAATGCCTCAATGCAGATAATCAAAAAACATTAGCCCCCCATCAACATGTAGAAGAAGCAGAAAGGAAAAAAAGAATTAATGCTGTATTTTATATTTTAATAATAAAAAAATAATTTTTAATTTAAGGAAAGAGCAAATGAATTAGAAGCAAGTTTACCTCAAATACAAAAACAAAAGGAAGAAGAATTATTTGAAGATCCTTTTTAAATTTTTTAAATATTTTTGTATATTTTTGCCGTTTATTTTTTATAAAAAAATTTTTATGAAGAATTTAATTGAATTTTAATTTGTAGGTAACGAGAAGAAGAGAGATTTGAAAAAAAAATTTAAATGCAAAGAATTTAAAGGCAATATAAACTAGTGTTTGGCAATGTACGGTGATACCGCGGTTTTTCGGTAATTACTGTTACCGAAAATATTCCCTTGCCGAATAATATAAAACCAAAATGAAGCAGCTAATGAAGCGACGAACAATCGAAAGAAATGTCAAAAGAATTAACTTTCTGTCTACCGTATTTACATTCTAGTAATACCCTAGGGATCTTATAATATTAAAACATATATGGTAATGTTGGCGTATCCGGATATACGGATCCGAAAAAAGGTCGGATATTCGAAAATTTTCGGTTCGGATCCGGATATCAGAAGATTTCCAACTATCCGTTAACTTTAATACATATATGGGGAATTAATACTAGAATCTTCAAAATATTTTTGTGTTTCAACATATGTATTTTTATATTGTCTATTGTATGTAATATACAAAAAAGAATGCTTTCTAACATGCTAAAAGAATGCTTTCTGACAAAAATATTTATAATTAAATTTATTAAAAATTATTATTTTCCAACATTATTATCAAATTTTTTTAAATATTTATTAGCCAATATTTTCATTATATTATGGCCATTAATCGACCTTTTCTTTTCTTTTATTTTCCCTTACAAATGTTTGCATTATGTGCGCGAAAGAAAATTTTTCTTGAAGACGATGTGAGGACTAGAATAAGGACAGAAAATTTTTATGTTCATCATCTCTCTCGATAAAAAGTAGGTAAAGATTTGAACGAGAGGGGGAAGAGAGAGAGAAGTAAAAAAAGAAATAGGATTGGGTTATAAATAAATATTTACAATGTATATTCTTTTAAATTGCTGCAAAAAAAAGTTTAGTGGCTATTTTTGTTTAAGCTAATATTTTTATAAAATAAATATATAATTAATTTTTAAATATTCAAATTCAAGCTAGTATTTTCTAAATTATTTCATTACATAAGTACATATACTGTATTTTCTCGATTAATTCCCCTCCCTCGAATAATTACCCATATCAATAATAATCAAAACAACAAAATCTGTGCTTAATTCTTATAGCTTTCATGTACATCTCTAAATTCAGGAATGGGTTAAATTAACAACTCCCCGTCATCGACTAATTCCCCAACACATACATAGATGGGTTGAAATATTAAATCTCATCGGAATTAATCAACGGTAGCGAGGAGGATCCTGTCGCTCTGATTCACAAAATCAGGAATTTATTTTTTATTTCGACAGGATCCCTGTTATGAAAGAAAGAACTCTTAAATGACAAAAATTAAAAGAAAAAGTTTTTATTTGAATAAATGCCAATCGTTTCGTTTTACCGATAAGTATCAGAATGATTGTGGTGTTTAGAAACAAATACACACTTAAATAAATATCTAATACTGTCAGGTAATTCGGAATGAAAAGCATTTACTAAATTTGCGCCTACTCGGTCACTTGGGTGTGTTCCGATAAATCTCGGGTAGGGGACGCCGAGTAGGACGACTCAGAGAGAGTGTGTACCTCGTAAATGTAAATACCATAAATTTAATGCAAAGATAAAAACTTTGTTCGTTAATTACATATATCGAGAGTTATTGTAAAATGATTTTTAAATTTAGCCGGAAAATTTTCAATTGAGATAGGGATCTGTTAAATACGGTATGTTGGTTTACTATAAAAGCAAGTGAGAAAAAGCGGAAACCTTTTTCGTCCAAATCATTCGAATGCAGTCTACAATCATTGCCGCTCTGCTTATCTTCATTTCCTGCTCAACAACGATTTTGGTACAATGTCTTAGGGGTAAGAAGTCAGACTCGAAGAAGGAAGCTGCCAGGAAGAAGAAGGGAACAACTGAGGGAAGGAAGAAAAGCGGCAGAAAGAGGGAAAGCAACCAGAAATCTCCTACACGTGAAGAGAAAAAGAAGTCGACTCCAAACAAGAAGTACATCAAGTCCAAGTCTTTCGATCAAAAAGAGCAAAAACCAAATAAATGGTACCATCTGCAGCTGCTCGTTCCAGTTACGACATACGTCCTTTCACCATACGGCAAAAAGAAAAAGAAGAGTGACCAGGCAAAGGACATCACGGAGAAGGGTGTGAAGACAGCTATTGCTATTTCTTCCGACCAACCTCCCGTCAAAGGACAACACAAATTCGAAGCTGTGAAGGCCGACGAGACTAGAAGGAATGAAATACAACAAACAGCTAAAAGTTTGGGGGGTCGTGTTCCAGCAGTCGAAAAAGCCACTTCAGACGGTAATGCTGTTAATTTGGTGGTTGGAGAAGCAATTGGCAACTATAAGGTCACGAGTCGACTTGGAGCGGGTAATAAAAACAATTTTTTAATCATTTTCACATTCCCCCTTCATTTCTAGGTGGTTGCGGAGTTGTCTACCGAGTAGTCTCAAAAGAAGGAAAGGATTATGCAATGAAAGTCGAGCGTACCAACATAGACAGATCTGATCAGCTTCTCCCTCTCGAGGCACACATCCTCAAGCGCTTGCAGTTTTCTCCTTACGCTGCCCAATTTCAACAATATGGGAGTTGTCAAAGTAATATTTTTTGCTTCTTTTTTCTGAATTAAATTGTTCTATTTGCAGCAAAGGAAGGCGGATTTCGTGTCCTCATAATGGGACTTCTTGGCCCTTCATTGAACGAATTACAAAAGCAACAACTCAACGGACGATTCTCAATCGGCACGATACTGAAGATTGGAATACAGGCAGTCCGGGTATGTAAAAATAAATGAATTCATTTTCAACAAAAATTTATTTTTGGTTATAGGCTGTTGCTTTTATGCATTCCACATATTTTGTGCACCGCGATATAAAGCCAAGCAATTTTGCAATTGATGAAGTTAACCACAAACGGTTGTATCTCTTTGACTTTGGACTTGCAAGATCAATTAAAACTCGAGGAGAGATGAGTTTACGCAGGCCTAGACCAGACGTTCCTTTTCGCGGGACCCCAGCTTATTGTAGCTTAAACGGTTAGTCTGATAAATTAAAAACTTGTTCAAAATTCTAATTTCTAGCGCATAAAAGAAATGAGCACGGGAGACACGACGATTTGTGGTCAATTCTCTATATGTTGGTGGAATTAGCTATAGCGCGCCTTCCATGGCAGGGCAAGACTCGAATTCTAACAAAGATACTTAAAGAACAATTAATGGATTCTCATTATATGTTTGTAAGTACAAACTAAAAAGAATTTCCTTTTTAAAATTTGTTTGTTTTTAAGGGATGCCCTGTTGCATTTTCAACAATTTTGATTTATTTACGCTCGTTGGATTACTATAGACGGCCTGATTATGTTGGAATTGAGCACGCATTTTTTGAAATGCTGAGAGCACGCAGATTAAATTGGGGTATACAAATGGATTGGGAGGTTTGAAAAAAAAAGAATAAAATTTTCATAAATTTTTAAACAATTTTAGGATCAACGACCTAAACAATATATGGGAGTCAGCGTACCTAATACCTCAAATAGCAGCGCTAGATAAAGAAGACGTAGATAAAATTAATGTGATAATTGTTCTGTTTGATTACATAAATTAATTTGTTGTTTAAAAATAAATAATTTGTTATTGTAAATAATTTGTTGAAAATAAAAGATTTTGTTTATTTGTTTGATGAAAAATTCTAGGTCAAACTCAAAAAGGAATTATTGAAAACTTTAAGGTCCTGATTTATATGTCTCGCGGTCAATTGTCTTAGTGACCAATAATCACTGCTTTTTTCCCTAAATATTTGTCTGCGTCCCAGTTCGGTCCTCACTTAGTTTGGCCCCCTCAATTCGGGCCACTCCCAGTCCGGCCATCCCCAGTCTTTCGAATGAAACCGTACTCGGTTTGTTTCGACCACGGAGACCTGCGCCTAATCGGTCGCGCCTAGTTGGCTCGCGCCTACATGGGCTGTACCCGTTTTATTTGCGGTAGGGGACCATTGTGTACCGCCGTTTGTGTACGGCCAGTTGTGTACCGCCGGTTGTGTACCAGGCCGTTTGTGTACTGGCCGTTTGTGTACCGCCGGTTGTGTCTCATTTAGAGTAATTAAGGGGAGTAATCAAGAGATTCTGCTGTGATATTGAGTCAATACGACATTCTGGGGCCAAGTTACAGATCTCTGAAAATCCAAAAAAACAAGTAATAGGGAATAGTTCTATGTTTGGCAGTATTCAATAAGTTCCTATAGTTAAGAGATATGTATATATTGATTCTTCCGGTGGGACTATATACGTAATACCTCTAAACTTGGGACTATAAACCTTTCCATGAATATATAAGGAAAACATTAAGGGGTCAAAAACACATCGGATTTCACTGGATTAATCCGTTTCGGCTTTACTCCGTTAAAGACTCGGCAGAAACCAAAAAAAAAACAAAACAATAAAAAATCTAAAAAATAATTCGGGTACACAAACGTCCCCCTTTGGGTGGGTACACAACCGGCGGTACACAAACGGCCAGTACACAAACGGCCTGGTACACAACCGGCGGTACACAACTGGCCGTACACAAACGGCGGTACACAAACGGCGGTACTCAATGGTCCTGTTCCCGTTTTATTTGACATTTTTCAAAAGTTTTTTTTACTTTCTATTTGACACGTATAAATTTTGTTCCTTTTTGATGATAAATTAAATAATTTTAAATTTATTTTAAAAGATTAATGAAAAGCATTGTATGGTTGGGGAACAAAAAAATAAAGGAACGGAACATCTCCGAAGCAATGTCGGTATTGAGTATTCCGCGTCAAAATCGTTTCGCGCATTGGATCCATCTGACATAGCACATTTACAACGTGTTTATCCAGAAATTGTTGATGAATTGAAAGGTTTATTTTTTGTTAAGATTTCTTTAAAAATTTGTTTTTAGATTCCTTTTCTCGTCTTAAAACGGCTGATGTCGACTGGCGTTGTGTCAAAAGCGAAGAACGTCGTTTATTAAGTTGTTTATCTTCATTTATTCCTTTGGTTTCTGTGCGTAACTCCATTTTCTTGGTTTTTTTAAATTTTTTTCCATTTTTATTTTTTTATTTATTTTAGCTGCGTGGATTAAATCCAAGTTTATTTTCTTTGTTATTTGAAATACTTCCAATTGACGATTTGTGGATTGTCAATAATTCGGCCAACACTCATTTTGCTTTATTACGTCTCACGTTTACTTATGCACAAACGTTTGTTTCATTTTTTGATTTTTTCTAAAAATATGTTTGGCTTGTGCTCTTTTTAAATAAATATCTAATCTTCCAAAAATCATTTGCTTATGTTACTCAAAGAAAAATTTTTTTTCAGTCATGATCAGTTTCTTTCGAGTAGTGAACTTTTACAAAATGGGCATTCTGTTGGAGATAATTCTGCTCAAATGGGTGTTGTTTCTTCTCCTTCAAAATCTTCTTCTTCGTCTACTGATCAATTAACAAATAAATATTTTGGTCAAATTTTAGTCAAGATTTCTTCTCTTTTGAATCTTTTTGAATTGTTAGATGCCCGAACACAATCTTTGGTTATTAGTTGGCTTTTGAAATTAACTTCTGGAATTTCTGATCAATTTAGAGCTGTGAAAGAGGTTTTTTTAATTTTTAAATTCTAGGAATTTGTTCCATAAAAAATCATTAAAAATAAATTTCTTATGAAAAAAACTAAAGTTAGCTTTAAATTTTTTAATGTTGCCTGACCTTGTTAATTAATTTACTGACAAGATTTTATTTCTGTTGGTGATGTTTTCATCTAAGTTTTTTAATAGTCCCATTATTCTTTTAATTTTTCTTGACTAAAGTTTGCGGGAAAAACACTCTTTATTAACAAGAATTCTTTTTAAAAATTATTTTTCAGCTTAAAACAGTTTTTACATTACGTTCTTCAATGCTTAATACATTTTTTAAATTACACAAATTTAAATCACCAGAACAACGAAAACTTTTTCTTCGTTGTATGTATAAAATGCAAACTTTTAATTTACTTCAACAAGACGATCAAAGAAGCCGCCAATTACGCAATAATTTTATTAAAGTATTTTTGCAGAATGCTTCAAAATTAAGTTCTGAACATTTTCGAATTTTATGGACAAGGACGCCTTTTACATTTTTGATTAAGTTTGTTTTTTTGAAATATTTATTTCTAGATGGGTAGTGAAAGGAAGAAATATTTTTAAAAATTATTATAAATTATTGATATCATAATTTTTTATTGTTCTTTGATTACTCATTTTAAAACCTTTTTTTACTTTAATTTTGACATCGAAAAATTACTTTAAATCAGAGAGAAGTTCCCGGCGCTCTAATTATTTTTTTCAATTATTTTTAGATTATTTGGTTTAATTGAATATAACCAACAACAATTTTTATTAAATGGACAACCTCAATTAGACAATTTCGAAAATTTAGAAATTCGCCAACAACAAAATTTAGGACAACCATTAATGGAAATATATGAATTTAATTTAATTGCAAATTTTCTTTTTAATCAAAAATGTATTGGAATTGAAATTGAAGAGTTTATTTTTTTATTTTTAAAAATTAATTAATTTTTTTTTAAATAAATAGATTAACAATCTCCAAAGATTGGATTCAATCTTCATCTGAATTTTTGCGTGAAAATTTGATTCAATCAACTAAAAATTCAAAAAATGTTTTGTCTTTGTCATCTGAACAGTCTAAAGTATGACAAGAAATTTTTAAAAATTAAAAAATTGTTTTTAGCAACCGTCACCTTCAATATTAAAAGATTGGAATTTTATAATTGGGCATTTTGCACTTTATTGTATTGCAAATAGAATGCGCACTCCTGTTGGTAGCAATCCTCTAGAAACTTTTACAAAATTTGAAAGTAATTTCAAATAATTATAAACTTTTTTAAAATTAATTTTTATTTCTAGATGAGTTGCGTTCTCTTTTTGCTTCAATATTGCTTCGTAAACCACAAGACTTTAATAAAAAGCAATCACCAGGAGTTGATGAAAATTGGAGAAATGATGCGAAACCTTCTGAAAATACCGAAAAAAGAGGTTTTCCCATTTTTCCTAATTTTTTCATTTCTAAATTTCTTTTAATAGTTCTGCGTTCAGTAGAAGATTGGTTCCGCGTTCGAATGCTTCAATATTCAATAGAATGTATTGATAAATTGATGTGTTTTGCGATACGCGGTTCAGTTTTGGAAATTGCGGAAAATTTAGCTTTGGTATATTTTTAATTGTTTTTCTAATTGTGATGTTTTCTTTTATTTTTTAATAGAATTCCCGACAATTTTTTCTTGTAAATGAAAGTAGTTGTACAGATTGGTTTACTCGTACAACACTTCCACTTATGGGTGTCGCGTTTTCTAACGGAAATTTTTCTCAAATTGTACGTCTTGCTGTACCGATTTTTAATGAAGTTGAAAAGAAATATTCTTTATCTGGTTAGTAATTGTTATTTTAAAAATGTTTATTTAATTTGTTTCTTGTTAGGCTCTCGAGTTCGATTAGACTCTTCAACTGCTTTTGTCATTTGTTGGCTTATTCGTTCTTTTGTTGAGTTGGGTTGTCCTCAGGCAATATACGGAGTTAAACGTTTTGCGGAAAAAATGTTTTTATCAGATGAACTGTCTTTTGAATGGTGTAAATCGGCTGCTTTAATGGCTGAGGCGAGGTTGGGAATTTTTTTTCTATTTAATTATCAAAAAATTGAATGCTTTTTATTTGGCTTAATTTTTATAATTTTCTGAATTTGAAGGTTTTTAGGTGAATAAACTAACCCCTGTCTATAAAATCTTCTAATGTGAGATTAATAACTTTCTTTTTTTAGAATTGAAGAAGCATTAGAAGGCTTTTCGGCTTTTCATAAATTACAAATAAGTCAAAAAGAAAATAAAAAAGATGATAATGACGAATCTAAAATTGGCATAAAAAGTCAAGTACATATACTTCGGGCCGTTGAGGAAATGGCATTAAGAGCTGCTTCAATTTTGCGAATGCCAAAAATTTCTAAAAGGTTGTTTGTGATAATATTTGCTTTTTTATATTTGAATTTTTTAAGAATTTTTGATGCGTTTACTTGTCAACCCAGTTTAGCTATTATTGAAGATGATAAGGCAACAAAATTACAAAAACAATTTTATGACGTACAATGGAAGCGGTTTGTTTATAATTTTTAATATTCCGAGAAAAGAATGAATGTATATGTTTTTTGGTTAATATTAAAATTTGCAGTTTTTCTTATTTTATAATTTTCAGTTTGGTTGCTCTCTCATCATGGGATCAACTTGACCAGACCAGCATTGGTGAAAATCATAATCTTCAAAAACACAAATTCCTTGCGTGGGAGAATCGTGGTCGTTTAATCGACGCAGAGATTGAGGCCCTTCGTCTTTTTAAATTACGAAAGATGCGAATGTGTGGAGATTTGTATGAAGATGATGGGACTAATATAAGTGACAATCTCTTTGCATTACAAGTTTTAATAAATTTAAAAAGATTTATTTAAATTTTTTAAAGGATGATTTAAGTGATTCTGCTCACTTTATTCTTCTTTCCGGTACTGAACACACCGATGGTTTAGAACATTCACGTTACGCTCTTTTACATGCTATCTGCACTGGTATTCAACATTTACAGAAAGGTGGTGGGCAACAATTTGTTTATTCAAATAGGCAATCAATGCGTAGTCCAAGTAAACAACAACAAAGCCAGAATGGGGGAATACCGGTTTTCTTAAAATTATTTTTGCAAAATTTATTTACTTTTCTTTTAAAGTTTTTATTGGAATTTGATTTTGCTGAATTTTTACGTGAATGGAAATCAGAAACGTTTCATCGACTAGAACTAGGTCAGATGTATTGTAGTTGGATGGAACGTTTGTATGGTGGTCAACAAAAAGAGCACAGCTATTTACTTCGAAAAATGCATCGAGATATGGCACAACTTGTAAGTTTTATTTTAAAATTTTTTAATTTCTTATTGGTTTTGTTAAATTAAAAAAAAACTTTATTTTAGGCAATAGAATCAGGCAATTCTCAACTTGCTGCAATGCATTCGTGGATGACAACTTCTACTTCTCCATCACCGCAGCAACAATATATTAATGATTTTGATCCTATTATTGCTAATGGTGTTAATTCGAGTATTAATTTTGCTGCTATGGTGCCTCAAATGCTGGTATTTGTTTTACAAATATTTTTAAATTTATATCTTATTCTTAACTATTGTTATTTAAATATAAAATCTAAAAACTATTTGACTTTGTACCTTTCAGCAACAACAAACATTTACTCCTGCTATGTTTTCACCAGGACTTGATCAACAGCAGCATTACTTTGCGCCTCAGATTGTTCCAATGGTTTAAAATTAATATTTATATATTATACTATTTAAATTATAGATTCAACAACAACCATTTGACAATAAAACGTTTTCGACTATTCCTCCAAATACAAACCAAGTACTTTTATCAGAAGAATTTGATGGGGATTCTGTTAGATTATTGCCTACTGAAGTTTCCATCCTTCAACAATTTGGAATTGATACTTCCTCTGTTAATGGACATCGATTTGAGCAATTGCTTGGTGAGCAACCGTTATTTGAGGAATTCTGTAAAGAAGTCCGACGAGAATTTTTCTCTTCTAATAAAGAAAATGACGTCTCCTCTTTGGAAATATTTTTATGGTGAATTTCTGATTCTTATTTTTATGCGCATTTTTTTAAAATTTTAGCCAACTTGAACAATCTGCTTTCAAAGATTTTTGGCTTTCAGTAAAACATCGTCAATATCGTTTATTTGAATTGGCACTTCATTCACATTTACTTTTCCTTGAAAATCTCTTTCCTGGAAAGAGTCATGTTCAGACAATGGAAGTACTTTTACGTTTTCTTAAAATGCTTACTAAACAACCAGAATGGTTTGTAAGAATAATGAATATTTCTGGTGGTGGTGAAATGAATTTTTGGATGGAAAGAATTGCTGTAGATGTTTGGACAGGTTTTTAATATTGTTTATAGAGCTGTCCGAGACTCTTGGTCTTGGAACCAAGACTTTTCTTGGTTTTTTTTCGGTCTTGGTCTTGGTCTTGGGGTGTTTGTCTTGGTCTTGTCTTGGTTTTATTTTTTGGTCTTGGTTTTTTGGCCTTTTTGGACCTAGTGCTTGGCCATCCAAATTCCTCAAAATTTTCGCCTGCGGCGCAGAAAATGGAAGAAATCTGGCTTCTTGAGTCCCAAAATTCAAAAAATTTTCGCCTGCGGCGCTGAAAAAGTGAATTTCTTTTGGCATACGGCCTTCCAAAATTGTCAAAATTTTTGCCTGCGGCGCAGGAAAAGATGATTTTTGGCTTCTCGGCCTTCATAATTCCCAAAATTTTCGCCTGCGGCGCTGGAAAATGAAGAATTCTGGCTTCTTGGCCTTCCAAAATTGTACAAATTTTCGCATGCGCGCAAAAAGATAGGGATAAAATAAAGGATGATATCAGCAGCCACCATCACCTAATCACCCAGGCCCCCCAACTTCATACTATTCTCATAATCCACTTAAATTCCCCTTTAAACCTCGATATCCTCCTTAATCCAAGGGCGTAGCCAGGGGGTCGATTTCGAATGGGGGGGCTAACGTTGGGTATCGCCAAAATTTTGGCTTTACTTTGGCGTTCCAGACGTAAAATCCCACGACATCCCTCATAATTCAATAAATCCCACGGCAATCCCTCTTAATCCTTTGATATCACTAATATCCCGTTAATCCACCCAAATCCTCTGAAATAATAACCTATTTTATTGATTTTCTAGACGAATAAATTCCCCGAAATTCTTTGAATTTCGCATAAATTTTTCGAAATTATAGATAATTGTGCTGAAGTTGACTGATCGTATCAAAATAACAAAAAATAAACCAAAAATTTGACCTATGGGATTTAAAAATTTGGTCTTGATTTTTGGTCTTGAGTCTTGGAGTTTTGGTCTTGGTCTTGTGTCTTGGTCTTGGAAAAATTTTTGTCTTGGGTCTTGAGTCTTGGAAAAATTTCGGTCTCGGACAGCTCTAATTGTTTAAACAAATTTCCATTTTTTTTTAATTTTAAGATGTCATTCCACAATTATTTTCTTATTTGAACCATTCTAACTCAATTGTTCGTAGTATTATAAGTCTATTACTTGACACAATTGGGTTTCATTTACCACATGCAATATGTTATCAAGCAGTCGTTATTGCTGAACAATTGGGTTTTTTAAATAATTCTTGAAAATTTTCTGAAATTTTTTTAGATGATTTTGACATTTTTATGAACATAAAAAGAAAGCAAAGTACAATAAAAACGCTTGACAATAAGGACTGTAATGAGGAAGTTAATTCAAATGTTGATACAAATGAAGCAACAGAAGAATTATTGGATAATCAAGTAATTGTTGGGAATTTTTAGTTTTATTAATCATAATCTAATTTTCTTTTAAAGGAATCTTCATTAAAATGTCAACAAACTAATCTCGTTGAGTGTTGTCGCGCATTAGTCAATTCACTCTCTGGAAGTCATCCACTTTTGGTTGGTGAAACACGAACATTTTGGTTTGTTTTACAATGAATGAGAAAAATAATACATAGTATTAAGTAAAATCTTTGTAAATTAATCTATTTTAAATCAGATTTTTAAAACTATTTTCTAATAAATTTAAAAACATATTTTTATTGTTAAGCAATGCTCTTAAAAGAATTGCTCTTTTGAGTGATGAACACTGGCTCTATGTTCTATCTCAATTCGATCAGCAATTGAATCGTCTTTTTAGAACTCTTGCTTCTCTACCAGCAGTAATGCAAACACAACAACATTTAAAGCAAAAACAAAATATTTGTTCTTATTTAGAAAAGGTGATATTAATATTTTAATTATTTTTTTTAAATTTATTTTTAAGGTTCATTTTTCTTTAAATGCACTTTTCAATAAAACTTGTCTTGATTGTGATGAGTTTACACAAAGTGAAAATGATCTTCAATTTATTGCTGATTTTGCTGAACAAATACGTGAATCTTTGGATATTCTAATTGAACAAAATTCTGTTGGAAATTATCGAAAGGCTTGGGAACCTTTTAGAAAAGTATTTTACTTCTTTATATTTTAATATTTTTTGTTTTAGATTCTCTCTGATTTAAATAAAAGAGCATTAAAGCGTGCTTCATTGTGCCTCAATGTTGCAAAAATTTCTCCAATTCTAAGCGAAATGAACTCTACCGCTATTCCTTTACCTGGGCAAGAACATTGTCCATTTAATGAAATTGTTACTTTACAAAAAATGTCTCCTATAGCTTATGTCCTTCCGACGAAAACGCGTCCAAAGAAAATTTCTTTTATTGGAAATGATGGAAAAACGTAAAAATATATTATTTTTCTCAGCTAATTTAAAATATCTTTGCAGTTACACATTTCTCTTCAAAGGACAAGAAAATTTATATATTGATGCTCGATTGATGCAATTACTTCGGATGTGCAATACAATCTTCGCTGATCCAAAAAATCAACGTCAAATGGACACACGTCCTCCTTATCATACTGCAGCTACTTATTCTGTTACACCACTAGGTGCACGATGTGGATTGATTCAATGGGTTGAAGGTTCTACACCACTTTTTCAGCTTTATTGGAAATGGCGTGTCCGACGAGTGAGAATATTTTGAAAATAAAAAAATATTTACATTTGACAATTTGAGTTAATTTTATTTGGATTGATGAAATTATCAGAAATTATTTTCTGAAATTATTTTTTCAGAGACGATTTTTTAAATATACTTTCTAGACTAACATCAATTCCTACTTTTCATCTTTCCCTTTTTAATTTAAATTTATTAGTAAATATTTAGGCAAAATTTTTGGCTGAACTAGAAGAAAATAAACTAAATAAACAACAAGGAATTCCAAATAATGTACTAAAACGTGGCGGTCAAATTGATATTTCTCAGAAACAAAAAATTAATTTAACGGACAAATCAGCTATTACAACTTCAACTGAACCAGAGCGACCAATTGAGCATTTCTTTAATAAATTGAGGGCTGTGTTTGCTGAAAATGTTTTTTTATGTTTTTCTTTTTTTATGTTTTTTTATCAATTTTAAAGGATATTGCTAAAGAACGTGTGGCAGATCGACGTCGATGGCCCCCTAAACTTGTGATGCGTGTACTTCACGAATTGATTGATGAAACACCAAGAGATATACTTGCAAAGTAAAAAAATCTTGAATTGTAGTTTTTCTTATAAATTTTTAGAGAGATTTGGATGCATTCTTCTACTTCAGCTGCATGGTGGGAACGAACTCATAATTTTGCGCGTACTACTGCTGTTGCTTCAATGATTGGAGCTTTATTCGGCAATTCTTTTAAAATTATTTTTACGCACATTTTTATTTTTAGGACTTGGTGATCGTCATCTTGACAATGTTTTGATTAATTTAAATACTGGACAAGTGGTTCACGTTGATTGGAATGTTTGTTTTGGGAAAGGAAAACATTTGCGTGTACCCGAGATTGTTGAATTCAGACTTACAGGGAATATTGTGCACGCTTTAGGTCCAACAAAAGTTGAAGTTAGTTTATACTTTTTATGGAAATTTTTATAAAAAATTTTTGTTAGGGAATTTTCCGTCTCTCTTGCGAACGTGTTCTTGAAATGTTAAGAGAAGATAAACAAGTTCTTTTGTTGTTGTTGGAAACATTCAAATTTGATTCAATGTTGGACCTGAGTTCTTTACAGGCTGATATTTACTCCTAAAAATTATAATTTTTTTATATTTTTAGAGTACTTCCACAACTCGAAAAACTCACGAGGAAATGGCTTCAGACGTTATAAATCGAATTGAACAAAAACTTTTGGGATATGAATTAATTTATAATCGAAGCAATGCTCATTCCAAAGATATGGAAGGAATTAATAATAACAATATAATGGCGTCAGGAATGTTAAGATTGCCAAAAGTGAATACAGGAGAAGAAAATACAAATGATGAAGGAGAAGAATTAAATGAGGAGGATTTGAGTAAAGCAAGAGATCTCAAAAAAGAACCGACACCCTCTTCTGAATGGAAAGAAAGTGGACAATTGAGTGTTTCAGAGCAGGTAAAAAGAAGCATTTTACGATTATTTATCCTAATATTTGATTTAATTTAGGTTGATTTATTAATAAACGAATCAACTGATCTAAGCAATTTGTCGTTAATGTATGAGGGTTGGACTTCTTGGGTGTGAAAAAAATAAAATCAAAATTCCAATGTGTTATATGAATTGGGAGAGAACAGCTTTAAATTTGCTTTTAGGTAATTTATTATAAATATTTTAGTTAAGTGACAAATCATTTTTAGGAAGAAAAAAGCAGAACAGTTTCTCTCTCTCTTTCATTTTAATTAAAATCATGATGCGTCCACCATAATGAACGCTAAAATCCCAACAAATTTGTACAAGAGAAGTCATAGCACAAAAATGAGAATTTAACTGAATATATTTTTATTACTGGAATTTTTTATGGATTTGGTTTATTTATCTTCAAAATAATATGCTTACTCCCTCTACATAAAATACATCAAGAATCCCCAATTTATTAAAAATATCCTATTTTTTCCAATTTATTATGATATAATCAAACAAAAAATTATACATTTCAATTGCTGCTAAATTTATTTTTTTTTTAATTTTCTAAATCGAGATAAGGGTTATTCGAAAATAATTAACAGCAATTTAATATATTTGATTTACTCGAAACACTTTTTTCTTGAAAATAAATATTTTGATTTCATTAAAAAATAAAGTAAATATTATTTTGTAAAGATCATATAAAAATATTTAATAAAAATAGGATTTGGTTTCTAAATTCTTTTCACGGAACAAAATTTGAAAAAAAAATTAAATTGAAAAATGTCTTCCGAGAAGGACAAGTATAAACTTCCAGAATGGATTGGTTGCCCTCCAAAAGGAACACATTTGGATGTTACTAAAGGGCCAAAACTTATACAGGTTCATTTTCTAAAAATTTATTTGTTCGCTAATAGATCTGTTGCATGCGAATGTTTTTGTGTTAGATTAATCTAATTACAATTAATTTTTTCAGAAATTGCTGATTGATGAAAAAGGCTATTACTATTTTGGGCGTAATCCAACTGATTGTGATTTTGTAAGTTTATCTAATATTAAATTATTTTAAGTGTTTTGTTAAAGGTTTGTGAACATGCTTCGTGCTCTCGTGTCCATGCTTTACTTTTATTTCATAAATTGATAAAAAGAGTTGCTATTGTTGATCTTGAAAGCAGTAAATATTTTTCGTTTATTTTTTAATTGATCTTTTCCCTAATACACATTTTTTGAAAAAATGTTATTTTGGGTATCTTCTTGTCATATTATATTTTCTTATTCTATCTAATTTTATTTTTTCCCTTTTCCTTGAAAATTTTCCTGACTTTTCGGAAAACATTCACACTTTCCAGGTCATGGAACTTTTGTAAACAACATTAGAATTTCTTCACTTTCACCAGTGTTTTTAGACCCTGACCAGTGTTTTCATTTTGGAGCTTCAACGAGGCGTTATTTTCTGAGAGAAAAGGTAATTTTAATATTTTTAAGTAGAAATTCTTTTTTAGTTGATCAATAGAGATGCAGACAACGGGGAGGATGATGTCGAAATTGAAACTGGGTTTTCTGCGAATCAGTCAGAATTGGATGTAAGTTTAAATTTTTATTAAAGGAATTTGATAGGGAACACAAACATTTTATCCTTTTTTTGATAAATGCAAAGAATTATTATTTTTCTTTAAAGACCGTCACAGAATCGAATACAGCCCAAAATCGTCGAATCCCATTAATTCCACAAACAACAGATGACGCTAGGCGAAAATTGCGTCCACGACCACGACTGCAATTTAATGAAGAAGAAGAAATTATTAACCCAGGTTTTTTTGTTTTCTAATTTTTAAACTTTTTTATTTGAAGAGGATGTAGATCCATTGGTTGGACGTTTTCGAAATATGGTTAGAACTGCGGTTATTCCAACTTCTGGACGTAAAAGAGAAGCTGTCGATGATGAAAATGAATTATTTGATTTTTATTTGCCAAGTCAACAAATGAAGAAGACGAGAAAAGTTTTTTATTTTTTATTATCTAAAAGTTGAAGGGAAGGAAACCGGGGAATCATTTCAGGAGGGGAAGGGCTAAAATGGAGGGTGTGCGGATGGTGAGGGTTAAGATGGTTATGTGTGTTTTTTTAATTTTAAATTTCGTAAGCGAAAAAATTTCACTTTTGCGATCATCCTTCTTTTGTTTTTTTTCTTTCTTCCATTTTGGGAGGATGGAAGGGGGCCCCTGGATACGCCTTTGATAGAAGTGAGGGGATTTATCAAATCTGTTTTCGAGTGGTAGTAAATACATACTTCAACGTTTCTCGGTTACCTAAACTCCTATGACGGTTTTTAAGGTCCCAGTCCCTTCTAGTATATTTGTTACCGAATTTGATGATTTCTATTTTTATTTAGTTTATAAATTTTTAAAGATTGCTTCTCCAGCAACAACTCCAAAATCTGGTGACAAAATGTTTTCAATTGGTTCATTATCATTAAACGCTGCACCTGATTTGGATTTGTAAGAAAATGTTTTTTTAAATATCTAAAAATTTAAATTTAGATATTCGCCTATTTTGCCTCCTCCAAAAATTTCTTCTGCTGGAAATACTCCAGCAGCAAAAGGAAAATATGGGCCTTTAATGCCGTCAAAAGATGCGAGTAAATTGCTTGGATTTGCAACACGTAATTTTTTAATTATTAAAAATTTTTTAATATTTATTTTCAGCCGATTCAGAAGTATGTCAAAAGAAGAAATATGCAAAAGAAGCATGGCCTCTCGAAACAAGACCTCGTTCTCATTCTGGGGTTATTTAAAAATAAAAATATTTGTTTTTGATTTTTCTTTAACTGTTATACAGTTGAAAATTTTGTTTTCAAAATTTTTAAAATTTAAATTGCCAAATGTGTTTTCTTTTAAGGAAGTTTTTTAGGTTTAATTTCACCTCCAATTTTTTTTAAACTTTACAGATTTTTTTCCATTTATATAAAAACTTTGAAACGGAAAAATATTCGATTTTAGTAAAACACTCTTGGTAATTTAAGCAATAATAATTTTTTTGTTTTTTTTTTTTTTGAATTTTCATTTAAATTATTGTATTTTTAGTCTCATAAATTTTTTTGTTTAAAATTAGTTTTTTATTAAAAATATTTTTTTAAAATATATATATATATTTATTTAAAAATTATTCAAATTTATAAAATAATAGAAGTTTAAGAAAAAATGACTGATTTAGCTGAAGAAAATGTTGAGGGAGAGGAACAACCTTTAAATGATGAAGAACTTATTAAAGGACATTGTGTTGAACTTTTTTCGAGTAATTTAAAAATTTCTTTAAATTATTTTTTGTTTAAATAGCAAAAGATTTTGTAATGGAACCACAAGTGATTACTACTTTATTGGCTTTCTTTCAGGCTGGTGGGCAGCCCGAAAAGGTGGGTGAATAATTGGATTTGTAAAAATTTTTGAAAGAATTTTATACAAAAAAAGATTAAAAAATTAATGTTTATTCTGCTTATATTAAAAGAAAATTTTAGAATTAAATTTAAGGCTACATTTATACTTTAAAGTTTATTTTACTCTTTTCATTTAAATAATTATTTTAAGGTTATTGAACTTTTATCAAATAATTATAATGGATTGGGACAATATGCAAATTTATTTGGTTTTGGTTCTGTTAAATTTAAAATTAATTTTTAAAAAAGGTTGTTGGCTATCAGATTTAGAAATGGATGGGGATTTTATTGAAACAATTAATAATGAACAAGAAATTGTTGCCTCAACCTCCTCTAATTCGGTATTATTAATGGGGGCTGATGTTCAACAACAAATTGAGTAAATATTTTTAATTTTTTTTAATTTAAAATTTTTAAAAGAAGTCTAAAAAACTATATCTGAATTTGTAGAAAGAATATTAATGAATTAATAAAAATAACCAAAGATTCGGTCTAGTCTCATTCCATGCTTTTTCTCCTATTTAGACACCCCCAAACAACCATTACTCATTTAACATTTACTGTAAATTTTTTGACTTTCCAACTACTTGTAGTCTTGCACTATAGATTTTACTTTTTGAGATAATAATATTTAGATTAAATTTTTAATTTTAAAATTCTACAAAATTTTTTAAAGACGTTGTCCTTCTGTTCGTGATTGTTTTGAACAAACAATTAGTCAAATGATTAAAAAACAATTTTCACCGGACGCGGCGGATAAAATATTTGAAAATGACGATGGAACAGAAGGAATTGATTGGCTACCTGAATTAATTTGGTAAAAGAAAAGAGATTTTGAAGAAATTTTAAATTAAAGTCATCGTTCCTGGCGTCGATTAATTTATGAATTAGCTGAACATTTTCCAAATTGTTTAATGCTTAATTTTGCTGTTAAATTAATTAGCGATGCTGGATTTCAACATGAAATAAGTAATGTAAATACTGCTGCACAACAAGTAAAAATTTATCAGAATTTTTATTAAAAAATAAAATTTTGTTTTAATCCTGATTCCATAAATCGCGAATTTATTTTTTAAGTCAGGCACTTTCCCTGATATGAGTTGGTTCTGGGAGTACATTAATTAATAATATGTATAACTCTCCAGAAAAACATTTTTTGGTGTTGAATAAAAATTTATTTTAAAAACTTACTGTAAACTGTTAATCAATTCCCTCCTTTTGAAATTTAATTAGAATTTTTTTTCAAATTTTTAATTTTAAAAAATTACTCTTTTAGTTAGATATATTTTCTCGTGTATTTCTTTCAACATTAGAACAATTACTTGAAGAATGGAAAAATTGTTTGGGTGATTGTCAAGTTTTAGCTTATCGGAGACATTTTGCTGAACTTAAAAGAGTTGCTTGTCATTCAGAACAAACATTTATGTACACACAAATGTTGTTAAATAATGTTGGATGGAAGGTAGGGAATTGGGGGGGGGGTGGGGAGGGTTTTAAATTTTTATTTAATGTTCCTGTTATTTTAAATAAATTTTTTAAACAAAAAATAATTTCCTAATTATTTTTAACTTTACAAACAAAAACTTTTTAATTATCGAGGAAACCTTTTATTTTTATTTAATTTACAATCCACAAATTTACCCTTAATTAATTTAATTTTAAAGTGTAAAAATCAAAAACAATCGGAAATTTGTTCAAGTTTAGCCCAACAATTAAGACTTGCTTTTGAAGGGAAAAAAGAAGATATTGAAGGTGTACATATTGGGATTATACAATCTTGTATAGACAAAATACCCTTACATATAATTCAAGTATATTTTAAGTAAAAGAAGGATAACTTTTAATTTTTTAGGCAATGCAAACAATGTTTGCCAAAGGTTTAAACCCTGCAGATATTACCCAACTTTATCAAGTACTTTCTTTAAATTAAAATTCAAAATTTCATTTCAGGCATATTCAAATCCAAATCCGCCCCCAGTTGTTTTAATTAGAGATCCTTTTTTCACAGAAATGCTTATTGATGGACTTTTCTCTGCTGTTGGAGCTAAAATACATTTAGAACACAGACCTAAATATATTTTTTTGGTGATTATTTATTTAAAATTAAAAAAAAATAATTTAAAATTTAGTTGTCTTATTCAAGTTGTGTAATTGAAACAATTAATTCGGAAGGAATTTTGCCTAAAAGAAAGGTAAAATATTTTAAATAAATTGAAAAAAATTATTTTTTTTTAAAAGCAAAATAAATTAGAATTAAATTCTACTAGAGAGAAAATGCAACAACTTGTTGATATTTTATATTCTTATGAAGTAAATTTTTAAATTTAAAATAAATAAATAAATAATTACCTAAAACAAATACAGGGTGAGGCAAATTAACCTTTTCTTTTTTTCATAACTTTCTTCGAACTTAATGAATAGCCTACGTTATATATTTTAAAAGCAATTTTGATATAAACAAGTTTGCTAAAGTGTTGAGAATAGAACATAAAAAGAATTATCAATTTCTATTAGTTTCGAAGAAAGTTATGGCAAAAAGAAAAAGTGCCTTAATTTGCCGCACCCGTTAAATAAATTTAAATCTTTTTTCTTTTTCTCCCATAAAAAGGATTTATTGTTGTCATTAGAACAATTATTAGAATTAATTAAATTGCCCGTTTTGTCTGCTGCTATTCTTCATTATCTACGGACATATCTAATTCGTGAAGACGGTGTTTTGACAGAACCAATACCTTTACATTATGTTTTGATTGACAAAATTGCTGAAAACCATTTTAATTTACATGAAAGGTATCAGAATATAAATCAGAATTTTTATTTTAAAATTCTGATTGTTTTATTTATTTAAAAATTTTATTAAAAAAACCAGAAATTCTGAAACAATTTTCCGGAAGTAATTAAAGTTTTCCGGAAATTAGAGATAAAAATATACATAGAAAATAGAGAAAAATAATTTTTTGTTTGAAAATTGTTTGTCTAATTTATTTTATTTTAAAAAGAGTCTTTAAATTACTCTGTGCTCTCTACGATCATTTATCTGGTCAGAATGAAGTTGCAGAAATTATAATGGAAAGACAAAGACAAATTGTTGACCGTTTTGTAAATCTATTATTTTTCGGAATGGCTATACCTGTTTTGGTAGTTTTTGAAAAAAAATTTTTTAAATTATTTTTTAAGGAAAAAATTGTTGGAATGTTTAAATCTGGGTATATTGACGTTTCTCTTGTTAGATATTTTGGTATTGAAGTACTTGAATTAGTTGAACAGCCATACTCCCCTCAATTTATATCTGCTTTACTTCCAATTGTGACAAATAAAGAAGTGGGTAGTTTTAGTTTGAAAAAGGGGGAAAACTAAGAGAATTTTTATATTTAATAAGAAGAACAAAATTTCAAACAAAAATCCCTTATTTTAATTTTACAAGTACTTAAATGGGGATATAAGAATGATATTTTTTTAACAAATACTTGAAAAATATTTTAGTAAATTAAACAGACATTTTATAAGAATTAAAGAATTTATTAAGTATAAAAATATATTTTTAAGTTAATCTAAACATTGTGTAAATCCGGATTAATTTAAATTTTATTTTTAATTTTAAAAGTTTTGTAAGAAACTGATGGCTTTGACTTTTCGAAATAATTTTATTAAATTAATAATATTTTGGGAATTAATATAATATAATAAAAATAAGATTTAATTTAAAAAATTTCTTTAAAGGTATTTGATAGAGCAACATTTGAAAAACATCCAATCGCAAAAGAATTTATGTTATTAAATTGTGGTAATAGTAAATAATAAGTTCTTTTGTTTTTTGTTTGTAAAAATTATTTTTGAATTAAATTTTGAAAAATTTAAAATAAGTTTTGTGCATACATATAACTTTTTATATTATTGTTTGAACTACTCATTTTCATGAATTTCAGGTTTCCGGTTTTTAAAATTTCGTAAAAACTGTTAATTTTTGTGGCAAAAATTATTAAATATCTATTAAATATTGAATTATTAAAAATTTTAATATTAGACTGATTTTAAAAGACAAAAATCTAAACTGTCACTTTATTAATAAAATAAAAATTATTAATTTTTTTTCTAAATTAAAAATTAATTTTTTGGTAATAAAATATAAACTATAAATTTTAAAATTAATCCTGTGAGGCAAAATTCTAAAATTATATTGTGTACGTATATATTAACACATCTGCTTTAAATTTATTTTAAAATTTAAATTTTATTTAAAAAAGGAGGGCCTTTAAGGCGCTGACTTTTAAAGTTTTAAAATATTTTGATTAAATTTTTGATATTTTAAGCATCTTTAAAAATTCAAAAAAATATTTTTTAATTAAAAATGAAAATGTAAAGTTTAAAAAAATAACAGAAAATATTTTTAAAATGTAAAAATCTAAGAAGAAGGACCTCCTAGTAAATTTATGAAAATATGTATATTAATTATCTAAATAAAAAATTAAAATTTTAAAAATTTAATTTTTATTTAAAAAAGGTGGGCTTCAAATTTTTTTAATTTTCTCCACTGCGCCAAAACGTTCCCTAATAATTAAAATTAATTCTCAATTAATTCAGAATTCAAATTAAAAATATTTTACACGATGGCAATTTTTAATTTTAATATTTATTCATTTGTTATATTTACATACAAACTACAAATAAATTAATTTATTTAAAGTAATTTTAATCCCCATAATTTTCATTTTAATTATCAAAATTTAAAAAAATGTCCTCCTCCTCCTCCCTCCTTTACTCCTCTCTTTTATTAATTACCTCAACGTTAATTGCTTCTCAAAAGATTGGAACAATTCAAATGAATTTACACCAATTTGCTCGTTGGGGAAGTATTAAAATGGGGGATCAAAGTAAATTAAATTGGAAATAAATTAAATTTTAATTTTAAATAAATTGGGGGAGTTTATTTGGTATTTTTGAAAATTTTTAAGGAAATTCTCCAAAGAATTTCTGCTAGTGGTCTCTCTAAATATGTATCTCTCATTTATATTTTTTAAAGCTTTCCAAGTTGCATTCAATATTGGCTCTCCAAATTCTTGGCTTATAGCTAAAAATGCTTCATTTAATTGGAACGAGCAAGGGTTACAACGTAAAAAAGTTAGATATAATGGAAGGTAAGTATTGAAATAATAATTATTTTACAAAATATTTTCAAGTTCAAAAACATCAAAACCTTTGGAAAAGAAATTTGATTTTGGTGGCCCTGTTGGGAATTTGTATACTGACACATTGACGGTAATTTTAAATAAAAATAATTTAATTTTAAGGAATTAACTATAATAATTCATTTTAATTAAAAAACTATTCAATTATTATAAATTCTTTTCATTCTCCATTCCCTCTCTTTTTCCAATTTAGATAGACTCCGTCCAAATACCTCAATTTCCTTTTGGAGCAGTTACTTCAGGAATTCCCAGTCAATATCAAGACCCCTCTGGATATGATGCTTTGTGCCCCATCGATGGAGAATTTGGACTTTCCCCCGCCACTGGAACTTCATCTTTAAATTCATTAACTAAATCTTTGGACAAACCAATTGTTTCTATATTTACAACAAAGTAATTAAATTAGAGGATATATTTTTTGAGAATACAAGTTCCCTCCCTTGCCAGGTTCAAACTAGAAAAATATGTACTTTTTCAGTAACTCCCCCTTCTTTGAATATTTTTATTTAAATTCAAAGTTTTTTAGTCAACGGGCGGGATTGAACCTGCGACCTCCTTGCAGTTATTGCTAGGTACCACTGAGCTACCGGGGCATCAACTCCTTTTTTTCTTTTTAGATCGTTTAACCCCCGCTTAATCGTTTTAGATGCTGCTAGGTGAATCATCCTTACAATATCCAAAATTAAAAGGAAAAATTAATAAAATAAATTTTAAAATTAATTATTTATTTTTAAGAGTCGGTACTGGTGATGATAATGCTGGTTCAATAACTTTTGGTTCAGAAAATGTTAAAAACTGTAAACCAAAATATAGCTATGTTCCTTTAGCAGAACGTTCAAATTGGGTTATTGGAGTCCAATCAATTAACGTTAATGGACAACCTTCATTAAACCCTTTAGGCCCAACAAAATTAAAAATTACAAATTCCGGTCTTTACATGTATGGACCAAAAAAGCAATTAGACATTTTGGCAAAACAATTAGGATTTAATATTCCAAAAGATTCTGGAACATTTTACACAAAAGGATCGTGTAACGGAATGGAAAAAATGCCAAATATAAATATAAATGTTGGAGATAATAAAAAGCAGGCACAAATTATTTTGAAACCAAAACAATATATGGAAGTGGTTAGCTGCTTTAATTTTTGAAAAAATATTTTTTAATTTCCCATTTTTTAGTCCCCAATAGGAGAATGCCGTTTTCTGTTTATGACAAGTGAAGGTTATTCCCCTTCTGAAGACAACAATTATTGGAGTATGGGAGCTCAATTTTTATTAGGGCGTTGTGTTGCCGTTAATTGGGTTGATGGAACTATGGGATTTTCTGATGCTAATTAATTAAAAGAAATTGATGAAAGGAAAGGAAATAAAAGAATAAATAAAGAAATAAATTAAATAATTGTAATAAATTATAATTATGTAAATGATTTAATATAAAGAATTAATTCGATTATTTATTAATAGACACAAAAAACTGCAGCAAATCCTTCAATAAATTCTCTCCTCTCTAAAAGGCAATTTGGAGAGTAAAAAAGCATCTGGCTAATAAAATCTTTTCTAAAAAATTAATTTTGGCAATTTTATAACAAATTTCAAGAGCTTTCGAAAATGTTAAAAATAAAAATTTTGTAAAGCATATAGCTATTAATTTCCTAAGGCTGAGCAGTAGGCGGCGTGGTGTAATGGTTAACACATCAGTCCGGTCTACTGAAGATGCTGGTTCGCTCCCAGCCGCCGAATAACCTTTTGCTCTAGCCAAAGGAGAGAAATAGCTATAGCCCAGCTGCTTTACTATTTAAAACAATTCATAAATGGTCGAAAATATTTTTTGTATTTGAAAATAATGTTTTACATTGATTTTCAGAGCATCGAGATCTCGACATAAATATGTGATTCATTTAAAAGTAAAAAGGTTTTTTTTTCTTTTAAACATTTTATATTTAAACATTTCATCAATTAAATGATAAAGACATTTTTAATGCGAAAATATTATGTTATAAGGTTTTAAAAATCTCCAAAAATCCAATTTAGCGTTACAACCCAAAAATCCAATTTAGCGTTACAACCCCTATTTTTTCATTTTTCCATGTAATTATTTTGCTTAGGATAATTAATGATAAGTAGTTGATTACTCAATCTACAGTATTCTCAACTTACCTTTTCCATTTTCATGATCTTGGCGTTTTGCCCTTTTAATTTTTTCTTTTGTTTTATTTTTTTGTTTTGTTTTTTCTTTTTTTCAGTTTAATGGTTCAAGCTAGTGTTTCTCCACCAGTTCCTCATTGGGAACTTGGAATTGGCTCTATTGCTTGCCATGCATGGAATAAAGATAGAACACGTTTGTCCTTTAAATTTGTTTAATTCAGGCACTAACATTTTGGTGTAGTTGGGAAATTTTAAATTTTTCTGGTTCGAGGTTTGAATCCCCTCAATGTAAAACAATTTTTATTTTTAATTTAATTTTCCTATAATTTTTTAGAAATATTTCTAATCATTTTAACATTTTTTAAAATATTTTAATTATTTTATAATTTTTAGAAATTGCTGTTTCCCCATCAAATAATGAAATACACATTTTTGAAAAGTCTGGTGATTGTTGGCGTTCAATACATATTCTTTCTGAACATGATTTGCTTATAACTGGAATTGATTGGTTAAATTTATTTTGTTTTTTGGGTTATTTTTTAAATTCAAGGGCGCCAGACACAAATAGAATAGTTTCTTGTTCTCACGATAAAAATGCTTTTGTTTGGACATTTGATCCCAAACAAGGACAATGGAAACCGGAATTAGTTTGGATTCGAACAAATCGGGCAGCAACTTGTGTAAAGTGGTCACCAAAAGGTTTTTTTAAATTTTTGTAATTTTAAATTAAATATTTTTAGAAAATAAATTTGCTATTGGGACTGGGGAACGTTTAATTGCTGTTTGTTATTATGAGGTATTTTTTAAATTAAAAATAGTTATGAGAAACATTCCTGAGGGTGAGGGGTAACTCAAGTCAAGGGACAGACAAATCAACAAACGACCAACTCATTGAACGACCAAATCAAGGAATATTTTAAAAATCAGAATATTTTTAAAAAATCAATTAAAAAAATCTGAAAAATTCTGATTTTTAAAATATTCCTTGATTTGGTCGTTCAATGAGTTGGTCGTTCTTTGATTTGTCTTTTCCTTTAGTTGGTATGGTTCGTGAGTTAGCCCGACACGATTCCCGATTTGTTTATCAAAACAGAAATTGGTTTTCTTATTTTACTTTTTTTTCTTTGTCTTCCTCAATTAAAATATATTTGTTTAAAAATATTTTAACAAAATTTTCTTTTCTTTTATAGCGTGAGAATAATTGGTGGATATCTAGACAAATTAAAAAACCAATTCGTTCAACTGTTATTTCCCTCAATTGGCATCCAAATAATGTTGTTAGTTAATTTCTTTTAAATTATTTTTTTAAATTAAAATTATTTTTTCAGCTTTTGGCAACTGGCTCTTGTGATTTTACAACTCGAGTATTTTCTGCTTATGTTAAAGAGGTTTTCCTTTATTTTGAAAATCAAAATATTTTTTTAATTAAAGGTTGATGATAAACCTTCACCAAATCCTTGGGGAACTAAAATGCCTTTTGGTGAATTATTGAAAGAATATAAAACTGGTGGTTGGGTAAATGATGTAGCATTTTCTCCTTCTGGATGTCGATTAACTTGGGTAGAGATTTTTAAATTTTGAAAATAAATATTTTGATGAGTTTAAAGGGGGAGGGTTTACAAAGTTTTTAAGTATTTTTTTACGTTTTCTTTTAATTTTAAAAATAATTAATTAAGATATTCTTACATTAAATTAGAAATCTTTTTAAATTTTCTTTTCTTTAATTTTTGTTTAAAAAGGTTTGTCATGATTCAACAATTTCAATTTTTGATTCAACTCACAATCAACAACTACCAATTACACAAAAAACACCCTTCTTGCCTTTTACATCAATTAAATGGATTAATGAATCTGAAATATTGACTGCTGTCGGTTTTTAATTAATTTAAATTTTATAAATTCGAGGGAAACGTAATTTTAGAAAAACAAAGCAAAAAATATATTAATTTAAATTCTCTTAGGGCGATTATAATTACCCCCTAATTATGATCGCAGCCAATAATTTTTCTTTTTAATAAATCCATTTTTAATTAAAATTTCTGTATTTTCAGGGTTTTGATTGTTCGCCAATTCTTTATAATTTTGACGGTTTTACAATTAAATTTATTTGTAAATTGGTAAAAGAATTAATTAAATACTTCAAAAATTTAATTTTAAAGGACGTTCCTTCTGAAAATAAAAATAATCAAGCAAATGTTAATAGTGCCTTTGCAATGTTTCGGAATTTTGATAAAAGGGCAGCTGTGGCAAATGGTGGAGGGGGAAGTGAATTTGGAGTAAATAATTCTTTGAATAATTCTTTTGCAAAGACTTTACATCAAAACACTATTTTGTAAGTATTTTTTAAAAGTTATTTTTAGATTTAAAAAATGGGCATTTTAATGACATTTATTTTTAATTAAATTATTAACCTTAAATTTACATACATATAAAACAATTTAAAGAGAATTTCCAAATTTTTTAATATATTTACAAACAATTCTATATTTATTTTCACAACATTTTATGTATATATATCATCATCATTTTCATCTTTATTTCCAGTCTCTCCCTCCTTATCATCTTCCTTCATTTCCGTATTTTTAGTTTCGGCTTCTGTCTCCACTGTCCAGTCTTTTTCTTTCTTCTTGTAACTTCCTTCGTCTTCTTCAAAATCTTTCAATTCCTCATATTTATCATTTTCCTTCTCATTTTTTCCTTCTTTATCTTCCTCGCCTTCCTTCTTTTCATCATCATCTTTAATGTTTGTAGCCTCTACTTCAGTAATTCCTTTCATTCCTTCATTTTCTTCAACATTTTCTTCCTTTCCTTCAGAACTCTTCTTTATAACCAAAAAATAAACAGCAATTCCAACGCCAATAATTATCAAAATACCAACAATCACAATAATTAAGGTGTTACTAGAAGAGCTTTTTGTAGTTGTTTCTGTGTTTATTGTTGTATTGACGTTTGTAGTTGTTGTAGTAGTCACCAAATGGATGTTGGAAATTGAAGTTATTAAAGGTCCGGTTAAATTTGTTTTTGTAGTTTCTTTGGAAGTTGAGATTGTTGAATCATCTTTTTTGGTTCCAGACGTTGTAGAGGGTTGTACAGGCTTTGTTGGATTATTTGTTGTTGTTGATGTTGTTTTGGGTGGTGGTGGTGGGGGAGGAGATTCTTTTGTTGTTGTGGAAGAAATGGAGGTCATCGAATAAGTAGTTGAAGTTGTGGAAGAAGTTGTGGTTGTTGAAGAATTGGAATCTGTTGAAGTGTTTGTAGTTATTGGAGAGTGATATTTGATCAATTTGTAGTCGCCCCCGATCTAAGTATTGAAAATGATAAATGTACTATTATTTTATCCCTTCACTTACAAATTTTATTGTCAAATCATCACATTTAGGTCCGCTCGGCAGTCCACTTTGTTCCTCATATTTACGGTTCTTACTTTTAATCCGGTTAAAATTTCGCGATGCCCTTTGAGGGAGAAGATGGAAAACCAGCAAACGCTTCTTTTCAAAATCTGGACTTGTACCGACGATTTCCCATGTTGAAGGCGAAAGAATGCTCTCAAATCCATCCTCCATGCAGAAAGCTGTTTTTTGATAAAGCTGTCCAACTTCCTTCATAAGTTGAATGTGATACTTTTGTTCTTTCTGATTGATTACCACTTGCACATCACCTTTTAATTTCTGCGGCAAAGGCTGTTTAATGACGTAAATAAATGTTGTACCAACTAAAATAAAAATTAGCTAAGAAACAAAAGAAAACAATTTACTTGGATTTGCATATAACCCCATACGGTCTTCGTCTTTGGTGTTTTTAGAATACTTCCATCTAATTTCTAGACCTGTTTTATTGACACACATGCCTTCTCCGCAACCTGCATTACACCCATCACCACCAAATTGTGGACCGTTGTTGAAATCCTTGATTTCTTCATTTGTCAAGCTGTAGGCAAAGGGTAATCTAAAAAATATTTGAATATTTTTTTCACATGCTAAACTTACATATTATCATTAATGTCATTGATACTCTTATTTGTACAATCAATAAGTGCCGTAAAATGGTTCAATCCAGCTAAGAAAATAATTTCGTCTACTTTATTCGTGAGAAGGTCCACCGTACATCCTTTGTCTTTTATTGTCCCCTGACTTTTGTAATGGAGAATACTTAAACAAAAAAAGTAATTTACATAAACTGTAAATTAAACTTACATATTCCCGACAGGGTCAAAGTCGACATCGCATGCATCAGCGAAACTCTTCTTGTATTCTTCTAGATCTTCTTTGGTTGTAACAACCTTTGAACCAGTTGCAAGAGTCACTTTTCCTTCCTCTAGAATGTGATTCCCTAAACCGACGCTTTCCGCTTTCGTGTTAAATTGACTAACCAACATTAGAACAGAAATGGAGAGACCCACGATATATGACGACATTTTTTTTGATGAAGATTTGTGAAGAAGTGTGATTTAATAGCCAAGGCTTATTTTCGGCTTTTATAGTACTTATATGGCCGCATAAGTAACCTACTAAAACATCAATCTTTTTTAGAAAATAAAATTTTTTCAAAAATTAAAACTCATCTTAAAAGCAATATCCACAATTTAATTTTCTCTATATAATTCTCAAAATATTTTTAAAAATAAAAAATTATTTTCTAAAATTTTTTTTAATCTTCAGAGAATTAAAACTACATAGCGTTACAAATACTTCGAGTAAATTCTCTACTTGTAGTGCTGATGGAATTATTGCTGTTTGGGACGTTAATGTTTGTGTGAAAATTTTTTTAATTTAAAAATTTAATTAATGAGATGATTTAAAAATAAATAATGAATTTTTAGGGGAAGGGGAATAATTTATTAAGTTTTTTGGTGAAGTGGCTACTTTTGTAGAATTTACCTCATAAATGACTAGAAAAAATTATAACAGTTTTTAGACTTTTAAAAGCATTTTTGATCTATTTTAAATATTTTTGACTAATTTTTCGAGAAAAGTATTTAATAATTTAGGAAGTTTTGCAATATTGTCAGGTTGGGAAAAAAAGAATATTTTTGTGTGTTTTTTTTGTTTGAAAAATATTTTAAGTTGGGGATTTTTTAATTGCTGTTTTTATTAATTTTTGAATTAACAAAAAGAGTTTTTTAATTTAATAAAAAATATTTACAAGTTTTTTGAAAACTAACCTAAAACTTTTATTTAAAAATAAATTTAATATTTCTTTTTTTTAAAGAATCTTCAACAGAAAAAATGAAGCAGCTTGTGTTTATTTAAAGAAAAAGGGGAAATTATTTTGCTTAATTAAAAGTTTTTAAGTATTTTAATTGAAAGGATTAATTTTGATTTTGAATTTTTTTAAATTAAATTTTGTGATAAAAATCACTAGTAATTTTTACTTTTAGGAATATTTTAAATTCTCCATTTTTATGTAAAGTCATTGGATTTTAAATATTTTCCGAGTTTAAATTTTAAAAGATTTTTCTTTTAAAAATCGAATGGCCCAACTTTTTAATATTTTTTCCTAAAAATTTAAATTTTAACTGAAAGATTAAAAACACACAAAAAACATTAACACAACATTTACTTAAAATTACAATAAAATCTTTTTATTTAAACAACACAAACACCTAATTATTATTTATTTTCCTCTTTTTCTACCCATTCTTCTTCGTGTTTGGTTCAACAGTTGTTGCATTCTTATTAATTTTTGAATCGGCAGAATCATCCTCACAAGGAATACAAATACCCAATTTTGTAGTTTTACCTTCACCTTCCTAAAAAATTAAAAAAATTTTCTCTTTTTTTCTTTTAAATTAACTTTTATCTTAATTGAGATAAATTCTTTATTGAATTTCTTAGCCTCACAATGAGATTCAATTTTTGCTCCATTTTTGTATTTATCACATTGGCAGGGTCTCTAAAAAAGATTTTTTAATTTTTATTTTTTTTTCTAAAAAACTTACAAGAACAACATAATAGGGACATTTAGCATCCTTATTAGCATCCATAGCTTTAGATTCATTTGGTTTAATAATTCTATACATACTTAAAATATATTTAATTATTTAATTTTAATTAAAATATATGTAATTTACAATTCCATATGTTCATTCTTATTACAATAACGATTGCAATACGACTAAAAAATTAAAAAAAATTTAAATTAAAAATTAATTTTATAATTGGTTTTAGTCATTGAGTATGGAAAGAGAAAGATACCCTCAATAATGAATACACTTAATTTCTATTACGATTTCTAATTTTAAAGGTTTGGATTTTACTCTTAATCAATCGAAAATAAAAATTTGGTTACAGCAGAGCCAAAATTGGCACTTTTCTGCTCTTTCTAATAATATGTACTAGTAGTAGAGAAATCCTAGACCTAATAAATGTGACTTCAAAAACATTCACAATTCTATCCTAATTTAGTTAATTAGATTACACAAAAATTTAAATTCCAAAAATTAAAATTTCTTCACATAATCAAATTCAGGCATAGAACCATTAGCAAACGGATAGATTGGACAAACACTTTGAAAATATGCCTCAAATTTGCTTCGTCCAGACAATAAACTCTTGCGCTGTTTAGCATTGGAGATTGCCCTCTACAATTAAATTTTCTTTAATTTTTTAAAAAAATATTTTCTTACATTATACCAAGACACATTCAAACCCATGAAAAAGATGAGGATAAATCCAGCTATAACCAAACAAACCTTGAAAGGAAATTTTTTTCCAATTTAAAAAAAACTAAAGCTTACCCCACATCCACAATAACCATAGCAATATTTACGGACAACAAATTTGTTAAGAAAATGTTTTTTCTTCCCACGTGAAGCCGTTTGTCCACTCGTTGCAGTCATTATTTAAATATATATTTTGAAGAGAAACTTAAAAAATATTTAATAAATTAAAATAAACTTTCCGGAAAACTTTTATCCGGAAATAAAAGGAGTGAGAGAGAAAAAGGATAAATAATTTGGAAATGTGATGTTGGCTTTTATACCAAGAAAAAGTACTCAAATAATCTTCACTAAAAAATCTTGAATGCCAATTAATTTAAAGAATTCGAGATATAAAATGGTAATTCTTCGGTTTAGACCCCCCCCCCCCCAACATTTTCCTGAATCCCTATTTTGAGCTTTATTGCTTGACCTATAATTTAGCAAATATCATCCGAAAGAGCTCTTCGAGCTGGGTAAAATGATACCAATATCGGGTAGATTTGATAAATCTTAAAATTAAGAAGCTGGATTCTCTCTGTGAAAGCTTTTTGTTCCTCCGCTATACTGATTCTAAATTGAAATAAAGAAAAAGTATTTAAAGGAGGGAATTTGTTAAAAAAGATTCTTTTAAAATTTTCAATAAAAAATCCAAAACAAATTTGAAAATTTATTTAAAAAACAATTTTTAATTTAAAAATAATAATTTTATATAAAAAATATATTTATTTATTTATTAAAAAAATATTTATTTCTCTAAAAAAGTCTTTTTATTAAATTTATTTTTTCTTTCCAAAACCCCTTCCATTTAATTTATTGAAATGCTTGAATCCCAGTTATCGCCTTCCCCAAAATCAATGCATGGATATCATGAGTACCTAAATTTTTTTTTAAAATCTTTAGGAAAAAATCAACATTTTCTACCTTCATAAGTATTTACTGACTCCAAATTAACCATATGGCGCATTATCTTAAATTTAAAAAAATTTAAATTAAAAAGGATTTATTTACATTATATTCATCCACAATTCCATTACCGCCAAGTATATCCCTCGCCTTTCGTGCAATATCCAAAGCTTTACCACAAGAATTTCGTTTAATTAAAGAAATTTGTTCTGGTGCAACTCTAAATTTAAATTAAAATATTTTTTTCAAGCAAAATTAAAGGAAATAATTCTGTATTTAGAGTTTTAGGGAGGAGAATGAGGAAAAATCATAGGAAACTAATTATTAGTAAATTTAAGAGAATCTTCTTTAAATAATTTTCGGGAAAAACACAATAAACATACTTTCCTTCATCCTTAAGTCGAGATACACGCAAACAAGCTTGTAATCCAATACTTATTTCACTTAACATATCAGCAAGTTTAAGCTGGACAAGTTGAGTTCCAGCAATTGGTTTGTTGAATTGGGTTCTTAAAAGAAATATTTTTTATATCCCTTTGTTAAAATAAAAATAAACAAATAAATTATTTAAAAAGTTGTCATGGAAACACTCTCAAAATTTTTATTTTAAAAAATATTTTTTGTGTAAAAATTAAAAACATTTAATATAAAGTCTTTAGTAGAAATGTCTAAATACTTTTTAAAATTTACTTTAATTATTTTAATTTTAATAAAATTAACAAAACAACAAAGAGAAGATACAAAAATAATTAAATGGCAAGATTCTGAAGAATGTAGATGGGTAATTTAAATAATTTATAAAGATTAGGGGGAGGGGGGGGGGGGTAAAACGAAAAGTTGGAGTTGGGGAAAAAGACGATAATTAATTAATGGCAAATAAGGATGATAGTCGATTAAAGGAACACTTAAGCTCTCTCTTAACATAAAATTTTTAAAAATAAATTATCTCAATTTCCAAAAGAACAAAACAATATTTAATCCAAATTTGATGGAATGTACATCTTGTAATGGATTAACAACATTAAATAATGAAGATGAATGTGTTTGTCAATTGGGAACAATTAATAAAGGAGATGAAATTGAGGGGATATGTGAAAAATGTGAAAATGGTTATTTAAATATTTTTAAATATTTAAAATAAATTCTTTCGAAAAATCAGGCAAAGCAATAAACAAAAACAACGAATTTTGTGTTTATTGTTTAAGCATTAATGGAACGTTATTACAACCAGATAACAACGGAAAATGCCCAAATTGTGGGAAAGATGAAATATTGCAAATAACGGGAGAGAAAAATGGAAGTTAGTTAATTTTGATAAAAATATTTTAAAATTCTTTTTTAAAGTCCCAACAGAACAATGTATTAAATGTCCAAAAGGAACAATATCAGATGGGGAATATTGTATTTTGTGTAAAAATGATTTTGAATGTTTTTGTAATAATTCTGGAGTAATTTGGAGAATAAAAAATAAAAATAAATTAAATTTATTAATTTAGAATTCAGCTATTTGTAGTCAAATAACTTCAATTGAAGCGCTTTCTACAATTCCTTTATTGCCTGAAATTATTGGGGGAACAGAAAATTCTTATGGAGAAAAAGTAAAATTTAAATAAAATTATGTGGATTTAAAAATTATTATTTTTTCTTTGAAAAGCAATTTATTTCTGAGACAATTTCCCAAAAAGTCCAAAACACAGCTTTTTTCTGTCAACAACAAAAAAGTACAAAACACTGCCAACAACTTGCAAACTTTTGTACATTACAAGATTATCCTAGAAGAATGGACGGAAACGGGGAAAATTGTTGTGCTTTGTTGGAACAAATAAAAAAACAATTTAAATCAGAAATGTATTTTTAAATTATTTTTAAAGAAATTTGTATTTTTAGAGCAAAACAATTAATTCCCCAACTTTTCTATACAAATATCGAAGCATCTGCAGAAATATTTCGAGAGGGGGCAATTAATGGAATTTTCACATTTAGCGAAGAAAATGAAAAAAATACAAAATTAGAAATAATTGCAATGACATTTAATGAGAACGGAAAATTTCTTGGTGAATGGACAGTGTCTAATGGAGAATACCCAATATTACAAATTTGTAATTTAGGTATGTGAAATTAAAAAAAAATATTTTTTTTTAATTTAAAGAACAAAAAAGAGAAGAAGCATTTAAATTTGGAAGGTATTTTCAACAAAAATGTCAGCTTTCTTTGTTGGATATATTACGTTGGAATAAAATTTGGGAGGAGGAAACAACACAGGATTACAAAAATGAGAAGTTTATTTTTGGGACAAAAACAATATTTTTTGAATTGTATTTACGTTATAGAAATGAAGAAGGAATGATTGTGGTTAGTTTAGATAAAGTGTTTGGAAAGTAAAAAATTTTTTTCGTATTCGTATCTGAGCATTTCTCCACTCCCCCCCTATTCATATCGTTCACAGGTATGAGTAGGAGTACAAATCTTGATACGAGTTTCCAAACACTGGTAGAAATATATCAAAAATTAAGAAAGAAAAAAAAATACAAAAATTAAAATTTCTCTATAAAATAAAAATATCTAAGAGATATTATAAGAGAAAAGCACAAATTTAATAAAATTAAATATAAATTCCATAAAATCCCTTCCTTTTTACAAAAAATAGCTCACACAAATTCCAATACTCAACGAAGACTTAAAAGGTGACCAATATATTGGCTTATATGGAAATCGTTTAGGAGATAATATTTTAAAAAGTAATGCTCGTTTATTGTTAACTAAACGTTTTTATTTGGTTGATATTCAAAAAAATATAAAAATAATAAAAGAAGGAGATAATAATGACCAACAACAACAACAACTACTACTAATTCGAGTACCTAAAAGAATTAGTTTACACATTCATTTTGATCAAACTTTTGATGGCCATATTTACACTCCATATTTACAACTCTCTCATTTTCAATATTTATTTAAATTAGAAAAAAATATTTCAACCAAAAATAATACTCAATTACTATCAAAAACAATTTTAACAACAAAATTTAGTATTGAATATCACACAGAAAGTTATACTTATGATAAATGTATTGAAGTAATTATGGCTACATTATGCTCGTTAGCAGCTGTCTGGGCAGCATTACAAACATATAGGTAAGTAAACAATTAACAAAATTTTGGGATTAGAATATTTGATTGCGAGAAGAGTATTGACAATGAAAAGAATCAAGAGAGGAGATTCGTAAAAAAATTTCAGAATTTAAAAAGTAGGGGAGAGAGAGAAATTGAGAGTAATTTAATTTAACGAATTTAAAGAATCTTTAATATTCCAGTTGGAGTCGCCGTTCAGGAAAATTAATTTTAATAGATGCTTCAACAATAATAAAATTATTATTTTTTGGTGCTGATTATATTGGAAATATATTTATTGGGGTAATGGGTTCTGCTTGTATTTGGTTAATTTATGCATATAAATTACAAACAAATATTCATTATATTCCTTTAAATGGAAATCAAGTTTGTTGTTAATTAGAGGATTATAATTAGTGTAATTAGAGTAAAAAAGGTCTTTGGTAGAGAATTAAATTTGTTATTAAATCTTAAAATTAAAGAAAAAAAATTTAAAAAATGAGCGATTTTTGGAAGTTTTCGACAAAAATTTTTTTGTTAACAAGAAATTGAGATAAATTTTTCAAAGGAAAATTCATTTGTTGCTTATATGATTTCTGCTTTGGCATTAAAAGGAATTGCTTTATTACACACAATGTTGACGTTAATTTTGGTAAAAACATTTTTTATTGACTGGGAACGTCCACGTTTATTTTTAAATAATTTTGATGATTTTGGAAAGAAAAAATTATTTGAAGAAAATAAAGGAAATGAAATTGAAATTGAAAAAGAAGAACAAAAAGAAAGAGGAGATCTAAATAAAGTTGTTATTTGGTAAGTAGAGAGAGTTTAAATTAGGGTAGTACCCCGAGCCTTCATGGGCGGAAGTGTCGTGTTTCGGAGTTTGTCGGGGTAGAGTCTTCGGGGTTCGGGTTGGGGTTTCGGGGGACGGGGTGCTACGCTTGTTTAAATAGTTAAAAGAATAAAAATTATTTTGAAGGAGAACATATTTAATTGCAAATGAATGGAATGAATTACAATTATATAGAAAAACAAATATTGGAATACAATTAATTTTAATGCTTTTTGTAATGGAATATTTAAATTTTGGGGAATGGGCAAAAGTTCAGCCAGGTTTTGGAAGATGTAAGGAATCGGAATTGATAAAATTAATTAAAATTGGAATTGAAAAAGGAAAGGAAATTATAGAAAATAAAGAAACGGAAATAGTAGAGTGGGAATATAAAAATAGAAATTGAATATTGAAGAATTTAAATGTTGAAAAATACAAAAATTCTTAAAATAAAGCAATCAGAATTTTTAGTTTAATGAAAATGAGTAAATTCTTTGTCTCTAAAAAATGTTTAAGAAAATATTTTTTAAAAATTCCCAAAAAATAGATAATCAACCTATCGGAGTTATTGAAACTAAAATGAGTCGTTTTGCAATAAATTTATCATTTTATTTAATTATTGGAATTACTCAATGGATTATACAAGTTATTGTAATTGAACGTTTAGCTGATCCATTCCGTAATTTTATGGATTTATGTTCAGTGGCTAATATAAGTGTTTTGGCATTAACACATCCTTTGGTAGAGTTAGTTTTTATTTAAAAATTAAAAAAAATATTTTTTTTTCACAAAAAAAGAGAGGCTATTACATCCATGGACGTTCAGTACATGGATATGCTGATACAGATATGTTACAAATGAATACTTTTCTTCAACGAGAAAAGGTAAAATAATGAGAATGAGATGAGAAATGAGAAAAATGAGAAATGAAAAAAATGAGAAAAAAATAGATTAGTAATGTGTGTGTGAAATAAGAAAAAAAACCCCGGACAACTTTGATAATCTGCCCGTAGGGAAAAAACATGTCCCAAAAATTTAAGGATTTTGTGTTTTCAAAGAATTATTAATTTTAAAGAGAATCCTAGCTATATAAAATTTTAATTAAAAAGAGAAAAGTGTTTAATAATTTAAATATTTTTTTAGGAAAATGTTTGTGCACTTAGAGGTCTTGAAAGTGGCGCTGATTTACAAACATTTGTTTGTAATTTACCTTATATATTTAATGAAAGAATAAATCAAATATTGGAAGGAATGAATTTAAAAGGAATTGGGGATTTTAATGGAAGATTGCAACAAAAAAGTATTTAAAATTAATATTTAGTGGAGATATACATTTAATGTTAAATTGTGGAACTTCTTAAAGTATTTAAAGTTTAGTGTAAAAAAATAGTTAAAAATATGTGAGTAACATGAGAATTGACGGACAAACTCTAGGAAAAACTTAAATATTCTTTAATTAATCAAATCCAAAAAAAATTTAAAGGTGGACAATTCGAAAGAACAACAATAAAAATGCAACAACAAACAAAAATATATAAAGAATTAAATAATTTTTTAAAAGATTTTATTAATCGAGTAGATCCAAAATGTGGAGAGTATAAATGTATTGATGAAAATTTTATTGAAGAAATGTTAAATATGGAATTAATTGATACTGGAAAAATTGGGACATTTAGAAGGTAAAAAGAAGAAATTGAATGGAGGGGGAGGGGGGGGGGAAGAGGAGTGTAAAAGATTTAAATGAAATGAGATAAATAGAAGGGGAAACGTGAAAGTTTAAAAATAACTGGAATTGGATAATAATCTCAAATCCTCTCTCAAAATTAAATTACTTTAAAGAGATAAATCAGAAATGGCATATAGTTCAGCATTTATTTATGGAAATGAATGGGCATTAATGTCTTTTGAATTACTATTATTTTGTGTTGTAGACATGTTTTGGCTAAACAGAATATTTGCTTCTGTTTTTGTTTATTTAATTTCAAAATTAATTTTATTAATTACAAAAATATATTTTACTAATCAATTGGCTAAAAGTTGTTTAATTGACAGTAGATTTTTGATTTGAAAGTGATTATATGTAATTAATTTAATAAAAGAGAGAATAAAAGAGATAATTTAAATATAAATTAAGTGTTTTTGATTAACTTAAAACATTTAAAAATAAAAAAAGAATGTTTTAGTTGGCCCAAGGGTGTATAAGATATTTTTCGTGTTAATTTCTGTCCGCTTTGGCCAGAAATTCCACGATTTTGTGGTACCTCAAAATAGCGCCGGATATAAGGATACAAAGATATCAAATGGTATAATAAACGGAACCAGTGTTTAAAGTTTTAAATAAATTTTTAAACTTAATTTTTAAGCTTAACAAAATATATTTGTTCAAAAAATAAATTTTACGAAAAAATATTTGTTTGCCAAATTCCCAATTATATTTTTAAATTTAATTTTCCACCCACCTATCCATAGCATAATCCCTGGCAGCCTGAAAACAAGCTTCAGCTGCTCCAAGCGCTCCCCAACTAATTCCAAGTCTTGCATTATTTAAACAACCAAAAGGCCCGCTAAGTCCGGTTGCTCCTTTTAATTTAAATTTTTAAAAAGTTAATCTTAAATTTCCTTTCTACCAGGCAATAAATTCTCTTCAGGTACAGCAACTTCATCCATTAAAATTTGTCCAGTAATTGAAGTTCTTAAAGATATTTTCCCTTCAATTTTGGGTGTTTCCAAGCCAGGCATTCCTTTTTCCAAAATAAAACCCTTACAAATTTTTAAAAATAATTTTTTTATTTTTTGATTGAGAAAACACACTTTAACAGCATTTTCGTGTTTATCACTCCGAGCCCAAATGATAAAAATATCGGCAACTGGTGAATTTGAAATCCAGGATTTTGCACCGCTTAGTCTGTTTAAAAATTACGTAAAGAACTAAACTTGACCAAGACTCGGAAAAACAAAAAAAAATTTCCCTCACTTGTAAACTTTTTCTTTTTCATCCCAAACAGCCTTAGTTTCCATCCCTGCAGGGTTAGACCCATGATTAGGCTCTGTAATGCCAAAAGCTCCAATTTTCTCACCACTAGCCAATGAAGAAATGTATTTTTGTTTTTGTTCTTCACTACCTTTATTAAAGAATTTTAAAATGAAAATTTAAGTTCTAGAGCCTATTAATGTTTAGCAACAAGCCTATTTATTTCAGAATAAACAATAGTGTCTTGACAATCTTCCTTAAGGATCAAACTTGAAACATTTACTATAAAACTTTCTCAACTTCCAATTAAAAAATTCCCACCATATTGAAATAAAGGCCCAATAACTAAAGATGTTTGTACACTCATAATTGAACGATATCCACTATCAACACGTTCCAATTCTCTTGTAAGTAATCCATAACCGACAGAAGAAACACCCGCACATCCATAACCCTTTTATGGTTTAATTATTTCCTTTTTAAATTTATTTTTTATTAAACTTTATAAGGCGCGCCAAGAAAACCCATTTTACCAAGTTCTGGAATCAATGTTGGATCAAATTCTAAAAATTGAGAAGTTTTTAAGTAAAAACAGATTTCTAATTAATTCTTTTTAATTCAAAATAATCAAAAAATAATTAGATAATCCGAAAGGAATGTGCATTGAGAAATTTTTCAAAAAAGTCTAGATTTCGGAAGAGTTGGAAATACCCCAATAAAATGGGAAATCCCAATTTTTGTTAAAAAAAAAGAAATTAAGAGGAATTTCGAGATCCTCTCAAACCGACCAATAACGACATTTAATACTAAAATCTTTATTTTCAATTTTTTCCGGACATTTAAAAAATTTAAAAATAAAAGTTAGTATTTCCTCCTTACTTTCTTCTCTAAAAGCTTGTGTAACTCTAGGCATTAATCTTTCAGTACAATAAATTCTAGCTTGATCTCTAAGTGTTCGCTCATCTTCAGTTAATTGATCATTCAAACAAAGAGCATCCAAATAATCAAAATTACTTTGATAAGGCATTTGGGTTGTTTGATTTTTTAAAGAATTTATAAAAATATTTAATGGAGTGAGAAGAGAAGAAGAATTTTTTGAGAATAAAGTTGTTGCTAAAATAAAAAAAAGAAGAAAAAATGTTGAGAAAAGAGAGGGGGAGAGGGGGGTATATTTTTAAAAATATACAACTCAACTATTAAAGAATTAAAAAAATTTTTTTAAATATTTTAAAAAAATTTATGTACATTTAGAGGAAAAATAAAAATAAAATTTATTTTTACTTCCAAATAGAGCAGAGATTGATTTTATTACAATTTTTAAGATTATAATCTCTAAATAAATATAAAAAATAAAAACAGAAAAGGTGATTATTAGAAGCAAGAAAAGTGGGTTGGTTTTTAATTAGTATTAGCTATTTTAGAGTCTTAAAATAATTAAAATATTTTAATTGGGCAGAGATTAATTTGAAATTGAAGGAGGGAAGGGAGGGAACTTTTGAAAAAACATACTCCCCCCCCCCTCTCGTTTTTTTCAAGTTCAACGGGATACGAAATAATAAATTCAAAATCTGTAGAGAAATTAATAAATTTAAATCACCCAACTCCTTACCCAATTAATTAAACGGAAACCTCACGCCATTAAACAAAATTTTAAATCAAAAATTAACTAAACCCACCTTCCCTCTGTCTGCTAAAAGAATTTTGTCTTATTTGCAAAAATGAATAAAATAATTTTTGTTGTTTGAATAAAAATAAGGATTGATAATAATACATAACTTTTTAAATTACTAAAAATTTTAATTAAAAAAAGAAAAGTTCAAGTCACACCACAATTTAACAAATCACAAGTAAATAATCAATATTTAATTATTTTTTTTCTTAAATTTCTGAGAATTTTTTATTTTCCTTTTTATTTCTGGGAAATTCATAAAAATAATTTCATAGACATTTTTAAAAATTAAAAATAAGAAAATATTTTATTTCTATGCAAAAAATTGTTTAAAAATAAATGAAGAAAAATCATATTTATCCAAATAACAAAAAAATTCTATGTACAAAATGGACAGACAAACCAAAACAAAAAATAAATTTAGAGAATTATTTTTTACAAACATTAAAATTTATTTAAAAAATTGTTTGTCCATTATTTAAAAACAAATAAATTTAATTTTAATTACAGAAATTGAGTATTTTTTGAGCGAAAGTAAAAACAACTAAATGGCTTTCCAAATATTTAAAAAAATATAAAGGTTAAAGTTAGAATAAAAAATTGTTAGAAAAAAGTTCCTGATTAATTTTAAAAATTAAAAGAAATAACCACAATTATTCATTACTGGAACTTTCTGGTGAATCAGGTAAATCAGCATCTGCATCAACTGTATCTGAAATCTGTGACAATAAACGACAAAACTCGACTGGGGCATCTGCATAAACATGGTGACCGGCACAGGAAACAATCTGAAAGTTTTTTTGAAATTTTTATAATAAATTAGAATATTAAAATAATCCGGATAGGAGAATAATAAAATACTGACTCAAAAATAATTTAGAATAATATTTTAAATAAAATTTCAAAAACCTGAACATCTACATAAGAAGTGTCCTGTCGGCGTGCTTGTATTTCATATGACGGATCAGGATCCATCCAAGACTTTCCTCCCCAAATAAAAGTGACAGGAACTGACGGATCGATGCCATTAAATCTTTAAATTTAAAAATTTGGAGATTAAAAAATTAAAGAAAACCTATTAATCATTGGCCGACGAGCCCAACCATAGTGTTTAGTCATTGAAGAGAAAGCAATTTCCCCTTTAATTTTATTTAAAAAATAATTAAATAAAAATTAAAAAACCTGTTGGATTCAAAGCATTACATTGATAAATATATTCAAAAATAGCATCCGGATCCTGATTAGAATATCGAATACCCAAATCTGAACGTAATGTTCGAACCAAACGAGAACCTTTTTGATTAGAAAATTATTTTAAATTTTTTATTTACCAAAAGGTCCTGCCGCCCTTAAAATAAATAAAAATAAAGAAAGAAATAAACAAGAAAACCTCAGTGTAGCCAAAGGATTAAATGTGGAGAGAACTTTGCCAAATGCACGCATCCAAACAGGAATATGACGCTTTAATTAATAAATTTTAAAATAAATTAGAATTCTGATTTTATATTTAAATCTTTAAAAACTTTGACGATAAAAAATTAAAAAAATAAAAATTATAAATAATCGAAAAATAAATTTAAAAAAATTTTTTTAAGTAAATAAAGAAACCTGTTCAACATGAGGGCGTTCAGGAAATCCCCATGGATCAACCAATACCAAATGACGAATTCTTGAAGGATGTTCCAATGCATATGATGAAGCTAAATACCCACCTAAAAAATTTTTCAAACTGATTTTTTAAGCAAAAATACCAAAAGAGTGTCCAACAAGTATCATCTTTTCAATTCCCATTGCTCTACGCCAATCCTCTATTGATTGGACAAATTCTAATTCCGCCAAAGTTGGGTCCTCACTAAACATAGGACGGCTAGAGCGTGCAAAGCCTTTAAAAGAATTAATAAAAATTAAAAAAAAATTAAAACTAACCCAAAATATCAAAAGCATGGACGGTTCTTTTTTTACATAATTCATCCAAACAGGCAGCCCAAATACCAATACCAGCGGCAAATCCATGAACAAGCACAAATGGACATTTACTTTCTGAAGCCTCAGCTGTTAATTTTGCTGTAAGTGTGGCGACAGAACTATGCCAAAGACGAACCTAAAAATTAAATTCAAAACAGTAGAAAATCGAAAAATTTTGGTTAAAAAATTATTTTTATCGTTTAAACTATTTTTAATTAAAATTTAGGCTGGGAAAATTAAAAATAAGGAATTAAAAAAAATAATGCTCCGGGAGAGGCTCGAACTCTCGACCTTCAGATTATGAGACTGACGCGCTGCCGACTGCGCCACCGAAGCACTGAAAGGGAAAACAAAAATATTGACCATAAATTAAAGAAAATTGAATAGTTAATTTTAATAACGAAAGGAGAGACTTATTCCACAAATTAAATTAATAATTTACTTAAAATATTTTTTTTAATTTTAATTTAAAATAAGAACATTAAATAAATATTCTATTTTAAAATAACAAAAAAAAATAAAAAAATTTACCGGCACAAATTTTCTCGTAACGAAGGAAGTAACCCCTCCAAGTAAACGAGTTTCAGCCCCTTCCAATTTTCTGGTTGATGCTCTACTCCATCGAAGCCAAGAACTTTAAATTAAAAATTAATTTAAAATTTGTTTAAAATAAAACAATCAAAAAAAAGAAATTTTAAAATTAAAAATAAAATTTTCTTACAAAAACCCTTCCCCAACAGGCTCAGGTCCAGTAGCAATATGTAAAGGTAATCCACCTGTTGATTGATATTCATTATTTAATGTTTCTATAATATTAAATGAAGCTGAAGAATTTTCTTGTTGAGGAGATAAATTTGATGAATCTTGTGTGTTGCCTTCATTAAAGATTGCCATTTATTTTATTTTTTACTAAAAATTTTTTAAATATTAAACAATGGAAGAATTTCAAAAAAAATTTTTTTAAATAAAAAATCAGCTGACTAAACAAAAAAAGAACAAAGTTACAAACCCCAAACTCTATTTACTGAAAATTATTTATTTTTGAGACTCATTTGTAATTAAAAAACACAACGCCAATTTCATATTATTTTTAAGATTTGAATATTGTACCATAAATATTTTCTGAATCCTTAAATCACATATAATGGAGATCGAATCGAGACGAGATCTCGAACAAAAATATTGGTTATCGAGAATCACTATTTTTCGAAATAGCGAGATCGATTCTTGTATGTCCCTCCAAGCCTCCAAATCCTATCTTTAATCATCATAACTCTATCTTGGTTATATTTAAAAATGCCACTTTGGAAGTTAGTTGAAAAATAAAGCCTTGTGTGGAATTATTTCAGAAAAAAAAATATTTTTATTTTTTTTTGAAAAATATTTTTTTCAATTTATTTTTTAATCGTTTTCTTAAATTTAAAACGGCTTTTCACACTTCTCACATTTGTCCTAGAAAATTTATGGAGCCGAACATCAAAACAAATATTTATTTTTCTTTATTGTCACCACTTCCTTTAATAAACGCGAGAGAGAATATAAATAAATAAATAAAAATATTCTAAAAAATGAGAGAAAATTTTAAATAAATTGGATGGATTTTAAATTGTTTTATAAAAATATATTAATAAAACTCTAAATTCCATTCATTTTAAAGACGTTTTTTCTCTAGAAATCGACACATTCCCTAGTTAAACCATTTCTAGTGTCTTTGCCAAAATTGTATAAGAAATTAATTAAAAATTTTTTTAAATTCATTATCTTCCATTTATGGCTTGTCTACTCACGTGATTCTCAGAAATTCGAGAATCAGTTACCAAGTAAACCCCCTCACCCCCCCCCCCCTAACTCTCCAATTTGGAAGTTAGATGAAGAATAAAGTTACATATCTACATGCTCTCTAGTTTTTTTCAACATTACTAAAGAATTGTTATAATAAATATTTTTATACTTCAAGCTTTGTTGTTGCCGCTGTCATAACAACAAATAGTCCGAAATTAGAAATGAAATAAAAAAAAACAAAAAAAGTATGTCTACTACAAGAAATTAAAATATAAATTTTTTTATTTATTCTGCGCAAATTGGATATTTTTTGAAAATAAAATATTTTTGTTTAGATAAATTTGTTTGTATTTATTTTGCTTTAATAAAGCTTGGCAAGAGTTGCATTAATTATTTTAAAAATTATTAAATCATTTTATAAAACATTTAAAAGTCTTTTAATTAAGTAATATTTTTCCAAAAGTTTTGTTTCCTATAGCAGTTTACAAAACATTTTAATTTCAAGAAATATCATACAAAATATTTAAATTTTCCTTCCGGAAAACTTTATTTTCTTTTCTTCACTTTCTACCTTCTCCCAAAAATATTTAATAATAATTTATTTATAAATATAATCAAAAAATACCAACAAACTTTCTCAAGTACCTTTCCTCGGCCTCAAATAACTTCCCAAAAATATTTTTTTATTTATCGTGTTTTTTCCTCCTTCTTTCAGTTTTTTTCCTTCCTTCCTTTTAATTTTTAAGCACCAAATGACCGTCGCGCGTAGAAATCACCGTCTGCGGCCTATAATTTTAATAATATGGAGGCATAGGTTTTCTTCTCAATTTTCTTTTTTCTTCAGGACAGGAAAGAATTAAACAATTGTGGAGGTCGCGAAAAAAAACAAAACAAGCTTTTCTTATGCAACACATAAACCTGGGAAAAATATTGGAATTTTAATGATATTAAATAAAAGTTACAAGGACAAGGCAGAAAATTGGGGGAGAGAAAGAAAAGAATTATAATTTAGGTATATTTTAGATTTTTAGGTTACTTATAATTTATTAGTAAAATTACAAGTTTATTAAATTTTTACAATTTGACTTTAATTTAAATTTAAGTCTTTATAAAAATCAAAGCTTTACTAAAAATAAATAAAACTTTCCGGAACTGTTTATGTAATTAAATTAAAACCTTAAACTTTGAACTTATTAGTAAAAGTTTGAAGTTTAAATAAACTTTCCATAAACCAATTTTTTATTTTATTCAACAATTAAAAATTATGTTTATACATATGTATGATTTATTAGAAATTAATTCCTAAAAAACATTTTTATTTTAATTTTTTAAATTTCGTTTCTTGCCTTTGTTCCTCCACAAAACCAAAAAACATTTTTAATTTTTATGCTCTAATTCTTTTTTTTCCTATTTTTAATTAAAAGATTTTAAAAATTTAAAATGAGTCATAAAATTAAAAAAATATTTTTTTATATCCAATTAAAGGTAACAAAAAAGTTTATGTGTCAGTAAGCAGCAAACAAGGGGCGGTGAAAGCCTTTTTCGCGGTTCTTTTCCCCAAATCTTTTTTAATGTTTTCATCCATTTCATAAACACATAAACGGATTAGACAATTTTGAATGATTAAAAAATATTTTTATGTGAAAGGTCCGGATTTTAAAAATTTTGATAGTATTTTATCTTTTACTGAATTACCTTTGCGAAAAAATCCTTTTAATTAATTAATTAAAAACATTTTTTATATTTATCTTAGAGTGCTTTTCTCTCTCAAAAAAATAAAGGAGAGAATATTTTGGCGGCATGAATTTTTGATCAATGTCACCAATTGATAATGATGGAGAAAAAATATCAAAAGGAACTTAAGGAAATCCGGAATTAGACGAATATCTACTTTTTCTTTTCTCTCCTTTCTCTCTCAAATTATAGAAAAAATTAACAGAAAATATTTGATAGAATTAAAATACTGAAACCCATTCGGAAAAGTATTTCTGAAACTTTAAAAAATAAGAACCTTTAGAAACCTTTTAGGAAATTATTTAAAAATTTCCCAAAAGCTTTTTTATCAAAACTTTTATTTTTTTAAAAATATTAGGTATTATTGATTATTCGAAATTTATTCGAACAAATCATTAGTGTATTTTCATAATTATTATTGTGAAAAAAAAGATACCGTAAATACTGTAATTAAAGCCCTGGGCGTCTATTTTTCGATAGGTCTTCTTGGGTGGGCTAATAGAGACGGGCTTTAATTAGAGCATTTACGGTAAATAAATTTGCCAGAAACATATTAATTTTTATTTCTGTTTGGTTGTAGGTTTTTACCAGCAGAATGTTACTCAATTCAAACAACAACAAAAACTTCAACATAATAATTAATTTATTATTAAAATTCTTTCAATTTTTATTTTTTAATTTTAATTTTTCAATTTTATTTAATTTATTTTCTTTTAATTTAATACAATTAACAACAACAATTAATTCATCTTCTCCTAATTTTTCTCCAATTGTTTTCCCTCCCCCTCCTCCTCCACCACAAAATTTTTTAAGTTCAAATTGTGGCTTCCATTCAAAAAATTATACAATAAAATGGGCATATGAGCCAAAAACCAGAAATGTAGTTTTTGTAATGAAAACAAAACTTCCCCCAATTAATACTCGTGAAAAAAACATTTCCTTTGATTCTAAACAACAAAAAACACAAAAAATGCTTACAGGGATTGCTTTTGGAGATAAAGTTAAAACGAAGAAATTTATTTTAGTCTTTAAATTCATTTAAAGGATCAATTAGACTTTATTGGAATATCCTCAATAAATGATCAATTAGATTTAGTTAGTGGTCATGGTGAATGGCAACTTAGACAAGAAGATGTTGGCCACACATTTTTTGATGGAGAAAATAAAAAAAATCGTCCTCCATTAATTCGAATGCGGGGACCTCTTCACGTAATAATTAACAACACTGGAGGGGAAAATGGACATAATAATCAAAGTGGTGCTTTACCTATTCGAGCAATTTCGTTGAAAAAGCAACCAACAGATGGAAGTGTTATTGCTGTAAGGAATGAGAGAAAAAAAATAAAATTTTGAAATTTTAAATCTGAAAATAATTTTTCTGAAATATATAAATTTAGGGAGAAATACTTTAAATATAACAAAAACGTTTAAGGAATTTGCTCGTCTATTAGCAGGTGATGGAGAACAATTAAAAACTGATCTTTCAAAATGCACGGTATTTAAAAATAATTTTTTATAAAATAATTATTTTTTTTTCACAGAATTTTTTTCTGATTACAAGATGGATTAGTTATAATACATCTGATGAAAATGAAGGGAATTCAGGCAATAATGGAGAACTTCCTTCGATATTGACTACATCCTCTGTAAGTGTTCGCCGTACAGTTTGTGCATTAGTAGATGAATGTACACTTGACACAAACCAAATAATTGGTAAAAATAAATAAAAAAATGTAAAAATAAATAATATTTTTTAAAAGAACAACAATTAAATGAAAAGAAAATGAAAGATTTACCACCGGCGGCATCCTCTCCAGAATTAGCCCAATCAGTTGATGTTAGTGGTAAAGGGGATCCTTGCCGATTTACAGGTCCAACTTATTCAATTGAATGGTGGATTGAAGTAAATGAAAAAGAGGAAGAAATTGTTAATTTTTTGATGAAACAAAAAGCGAGAAAAGGGCGTTGGTGGAGTGCTATTGGAATTGGGGATAATATGAGTGTAGGTTTTTGTTGTTTATTTTTTATATGTGAAAGGATTTAAGTAATTTAAAATTAATAAGTTGGTGTAATTAGTAGATTAGTAGTTTCAAATGAGCTATCATTTTTTAATGTTTTTGAAGGCAAAGTGTGAAAAAGGAGAGTTTTTTCATACATAAATAACAAAAATATTAATTTAAAAAATTTTAGGATATGGATATTGGAACAATATTTTTAGAAAATGGAGAGCCAAAAGCAATGATTGACTATTTCTCCAATAGTTACAATTTACCTGTAAAAGATACTAAACAAGATTGGAAATTAAATAAAAAATTGAGTAAATGGCCAAAGAAATTATTTGTTGAGGATAATAATTCTGAAGATGAACAAATTGTTGAATTGTATTTTTCGAGGAAAATAACAACAGAAGATGAAAATGTAATAGAATTATAATTAATGATTTTTAATTTTTAAATTAAAAGGACCGTTCAATGGATGATTGTGTTTTATTTCAATTTGGAGCAAACCTTGGAATATATGGGCCCCCAGGCTTTCGTTTACATAAACACCAAGATTGGCCTGATTTGTACAAAGCTTGTAAACTTAAAAATCATTGCATGCGTCATAAAAGACAAAACGGAAGAAATGATAGAAACAATTTTGGTGAATAAAAGTAAATAAAAATAAAATTTAGAAAAGAGAGGAGAGAGGAGAGGAAGAGAGAGATTATTTCATTTAAAATTAAAAAATAAATATTTATTTTTTATATTAAAAAAATAATTTTAACAAATTAGTTAATATTCCAACACTAAGCCATTCAATTGATGAAAACCAAACAAATAATTCAATTAATGTAACTGATAAAGCTATAGAACTTTTAATGAAATCGCTTGGACCTAAAATTGTTCAGACAGGTAAAGTAAATATTGCTTAGATTTAATTTAAAAATAATTATTTTTAGTATCAGAATCAGACAAAAACGAAACAGAAAATACAAAAGTTAAAACAAAATTAATTCAGAAAACAGGTCAAAAAGAAGAAATAAATGAAGAAGATAATAATGAAATAATTAAAGGGAAGGCAACAATTATTCCTTTATTAATTAATTCAAAACAACAAAGTAACAACGGTATGCAAATAAGTGAAGGGAATGATGTTGGAAATGAAAAGAAAAATGAAAACAAACAAAATGTTTGTTTAGATTTAAATTAAAAAACATTAAAACAAACAAGTTTTATAATTATTCGAACAAACTTGTTTTTGGGAAACATAAGTCTAAACATGTTTTGGGGAAACTTTTAGCTAAACATGTTTAGACAAACATTCTATACATATTTAAAATATTTTTACAAATTAAAACAAACAAAAACAGGAAAACAACAAAACATCAATTATTATATCAAAACGTCAAGAACAACAACAAACACAACAAAACATTCCCAATGAAAATCTAAACAACAAAAACAATTCTGTTCAGTCTAATGAAACAAATACTTCAGGCAAACAAGTTTTTGATTTTTTTTAAATTAATTTTGTTTAGGATTATCAACTTCTCCGTTCTCATTGAGTGCATTTCTTGGTGGCGGAGAACAACAACAACAGCCATTACAACAACAATTGAATTTAAACAATGAAACTGTGAATAATTTAGGGGAAAATGGAAGTAATCATCAATAAATTTTGAATAAAAAATTCTTTAATTTCCAGATTCTTCAACCGCTTCTGTAATTCGACAAAGCGGAGAGGGAGGAGTATCTGCAGAAAATGGAGGTTTACCTTTAGAAGGTGCTACAAATGTTACATTACCTTCTCCTCCGCGTTTTGGAATTAGTCAAATGCTTCAAGAAGAAAATGAAATAAGCAATTCTTCTTCTTCCTCCTCTACTACAACATTATCTACAACAAACAATTTAAATGAAACTAATTTATCCACTACAATTTCACAAGAAAACATTAGCAATACTTCAAATGAAATTCAAACAACAATAATTCCAACAAACATTTCTAATAATGAAGCAGAATCTCCAACAACAATTTCAACAACACAAACAACTAACAACACTGACGAACATCCACAAACAACAATTGTAATAACAACATCTGAACAACAGACAAACATTTCCTCAACAAACATTATTACACCAACAGAACTTTCCGGAAATTCTTTGTTTCCGGAAAATGAGACAAACAATTTAAATAGTTCTAGCCAACAACAAAATTCTGAAACTTTTACATCTACCACTATATTACCTACAACTGTTGAAATACAGCAATCAACTTCTTTAAATAATAAAATAGAAGAAACATTAGAGAATTCAACAACAGCAATACTTACAAATTCACCCACAACATTAACTGTAAATTTAGAATCAACAAACACAACAACTTTAATTAATAATGAAACATCTACAGGTGAAAGGTCAAAAAAAATTATTTTTTTTCTAAAAAAAACAAGAAAAATTCCTTTTAAGCAATATTTCAACCAACACAACAGCAGAAATAACTACACAACCTACAACAATTATATCAACTGAGAAAACAAACAAACCAACAAATGTTTATTTAACAACAAAAACAACAACAGAAAAACATCAAATGGAAACCTCAAACACTAAAAACATTTCAACAAACTCACCAGAAACAACAAAAACAACATTAAACAAAACAAATTTTTCTAATTTACCTGGATCAAATGAACAACCAGAAGAACGCGGAATTAAATTACCTATTGCAACAAGTTCTGAAATTCTGATTTCTTTTTGTATTAAAAATTCTCTATTTTTAAAAGGTAAATGTGACGCCCTTCGACCAGATTTGCCTATTTGTCGTTCATATATGGATACTTATATTGAAAGAGTTAAGGATTGGTCAGAAAGGCATGGTGAACCTTTGGAAAGACAATTTCCTAAAGTAAAAAATGAATTAAAAAAAATTATTTTTTAAAAATAATTTATTTAAGGCTTGTCGATTACTCAATTCTGTTCCCCATGTACCGACATTGTGTTGCCAATTATTTAATGATAGATGTAATGATTTTATTTAAAAAATGTTTTTTTATTGTTAAATACATATATATTCCCTAGTTATAATTTTTTATTTTCTCAATTTTATAAGTATGTAGATCGCCATAAAAATTATTTTTAATAAAAATTTTATTGAAAGTACATATATGTATGTAGTATATCCGCCATATAATTATAACACCTCCTAAATCCCACACTTCTAATTTAAGTACCAATTTTTAACCTGAATATGTTTTAAAAATCGGCTAACTCTATTTAGAAATAAAAAAAATCGAAAAATTGTTTAAAGGTAAAATTTTTTTAATAAAATTATTTAACTAATGAACTTTATTTTAATTGATTTTTTAAATAAAAGTTAGAAGGAGATATTAAATTTCAAAAAAAAATTGACGAAAATATTTTAAAATTTGTAAAATTTTTAAGGAATTTTTAAAACCTGTTTTTCACATTTAACAGGATTCCAAAAAAGATTCTATTGACTTTTAAAAATATATATTTATAGAATAAAATTACAATAAAAAATTAACGAAGATTAAAACTTTTACAGAGACTTTTTACAAGTTTTAATTTTAAAACAGTTTTAAAAAATAAACATTTGTTCTCAAAAAGAGTTTAATTTTCTTCAATTAATTTCTCAGCTATAAAACAATCATTCATTAAATAATATTTATCATTAAATAAAAACCATTTTTGTCTTTTTCCAATTAATTCTTCAAATTTATTTTTACAAACTTTTTTAATTTCTCTTAATTTTAAATTATTTATTAAATTATTTTTTGTATCTTTTATTTTTCCTTTCTCAATTTCAAAAAAATAATTTCCATCATCAATTAAAGGTTCTAATTTTAAATTAAAATAATTTGTGTTTTCTAAAATATTTTTAGACAACATTTCTCTTTTAAAAACAAACTCTTCCTCCTCTTCATTTAAATTTTTCTTAATTTTTTTAACACAAATTTCAATCCCCAATTTACATAAATTTAATATTTTAATTTCTTTTAATGTTATATTCTCGAATATTTTTGAAACACATTTTTCTTTTTTATTTTCCAATACTTTAACAAAAAATCCAAAATATTTTCTATTATTTAAAGATTTTAATTTAATTAAATAATTCCCCTTTTCTTTAAATTTTATACAAATTTCAATTAAATTTTCTTTTTGTTTATTTAAAAACATATTTAATTTAGTTAATTTTGTTTCTTCTCTATTGTTATTTTTAATTTCTTTTTTTGGTTCAAAATATAGAGGATAACGAAATAAAGGCTCAATTGTAAGCAATACCTATAGAAAAACAAAATTATTTTATTTAATAAAAACAAACATTTCCATAATCAAATTCTATATATTTTTTTAATCTACAAATTACAATTCCCTTTCTGTAATTATTATTTAAATTTTCAATAAATTTTAATTTAATTATTTCATCGTTAACATTTGCATTATTTTCCAACAAATACATTTTTGTATTTTCATTTTTATTGCAATAATCATTTAATGGGGTTATATAAAATTGTTTAGGTTTATTTAATATCCTTGGATCAACTTCAATTAAAATTTCTAACATTTCTTGATCATTATTTTCGTTTATAAAAATATTTTTTAAATTAATATATTTACTAAATTCTCTGATAATAAAATTTTGATCGCTTAATTTTTGAATATTTTCAAAAGAAAAATTTAAAAATAAAAGTAATAAAAGAATTAATTGAATAATCATTTGTTTTGTTGAATATATTTAAATAAAATTAATTAATTTAAAATTATTTAATATGCCCTTTTAAATGTAAAGACCAAATAGGTAAATAGCTACGTGAAGAGCTATTTCAAAAATAATTAAGAAATAAGGTAGACTATTAATTGACTCTTTTTTCGCAATTAAAAGTGGAGAGGCGATGTTTTAAAAAATTTATTTAAATTTTAAATAACAAGTTTTGAAAAATTTTTGAAATAAGTTTCTTTTAATTTAAAAAGGATTCCAAAAAATTTCTTTTTAAAAAATTATTTTTAATCATTTTTAATAAAGTTAAGCAATAATATGTATATGTATTAAGGGATTGCGCCGACCCGATTCCCAAAAATTACCGACGATTTTTGTCTAGTAAAAATTTCTTCTTGAAAATTAATTCAGCTCGTGAAAATTTCCTACAATTTCTGGCTCGTGAATTCCCGAAAATCGTGAATTTGGTTTTTTGTCGGCGCGACCCTGGATATGTATAAGAAAATTTAAAAAAATACTGAAAATTAATTTTAAAAACAAAAATGCTGTCAAAAATATTTTTAAATAGTTAACAAAAATTAGAAAAATAATTTGATTAAATTTTTTTGAGAATTTTCTGTTCACAATAAAAAAAGATTTTATCACAAAATATTAATTATTAACAACAAAAGTACCAAAATGCTTCGTCAATTCTTGTGCCAACATCGAAGCAAAAGTAATATTTTCACAATTAAGTTGCAAACAAAAAGTTGAATAATTTGAAGTATTTTGCTCTAATTTCGAAGTTTCCGGAAAGAATGAAATTAATACAAGTGTTTTGTTTGACACAGTTTGAGCAGCAAAAGATAACTAAAAAGTGTGAAAAGTTTAAAAAACAAAAAAAAATATTAGGGGGAAGGGAAACATAGAGAAGGAAAACATTTGTATTTTTCTAAAAATAATTTTAAAAAAGATTCACAAGCACCAAAAATATATTTTCCTTCTATTCCTTTCACAAACAATTTTAAGAAATTTTCTTACATTTTTTCCCAATTCAATTTCATCTTCGCCAACAACTTGTTTACAATTACAAATTTTATATAATTCTCGAACCAAAATTAAATCAGAAGGTAATTTTAAATTGTTTATTTTAATTTGATTCATTCCACTAAGAAGACTGCGTTGTTTAAGAAAATCATTTTGAGATATTTGAACAGATTCAATTTGTTCTCCATATGGAGCCTTTAAAAAATATTAATTAATTAATCAAATAAAAACTCTTTCTTTTTTTCTTCACCTTCACTTCAAACCGAACAAATCTTTCTCCATCAGGCCCCCATTTCACCGTCCATTCCGACGCTTGTGCAGTATCACCAAAATCTATTCCAATCGTTACACGTCGACGTTCACCTTCCCCAAGTCCATTAAGAGTAAATGGGCCGCTTGTTTGTAGCAAACACTAAAAAGAGAATTAAAATTAAAATATCAAAAATGTTTCAAACATTCGAAGCCGGTGCCAAAAGGACATTACTTGAATTTATTTGCGTATTTTTAAAACATATTTGCAATTCAATACACACCATAGAACCTGAATAAAGACATGGAGAACGACAAAAACGGCCAAAAATTGAAAGACCACCAGAAACAACTGGAGCAACAAAATTAAACTAAAAAAGAGAAAAAAAATTAAGAAATTTTATTATTTTATTAATATTCAATTAAATATTTCAACCCAAGTTTGAATTGTATGTCAGAAATCCGGCTTTTGAGTAGCCAAAATTTCTCCCTTTGACTGAGTTAATCTCAAAAATTTACTGTAAATTCCTCATTTGCCCATTGTGCCGAAGCACGCAGCCATGCAGAGCGTCGAACAGGCAAATCCACATTCGGCATAACAAAGTCGGTGGATGTTGTATTAATTGAAGACGTTCCAAAATCAATTCCCAATAATAACAAATCATCATTTGACTCTTTTTCATCCGTTTTTAAAGATTTTAAAACTTGTTTGGTTTCATCTTTTTTCGGCGATGTTTTTATTTCTTTTTGAGGTTCGTCCACTTCTGATTCATCTAAAAATGATTATAAAAGAATAATTAAGACATTAGTAACCCTCTTCATCTTCTTCATCCTCCTCCTCGTCCTCATACTCTTCTTCATCCTCATCTTCCTCTTCATCAGAGCCAGATTCAACACTTGTATATTCATCTTCCACACTTAACTTTTTAGTTTTTACAAGTTGATTAGCAGCTTCAAGCGAATCAGAAGGTAAAGGATATGCATCTCGACGAATAGTAGGGTCAGGTTGAACAGTTGGAAAGTCAGGTAAATGCTCATAACCCGAACATTTCTAAAATATTTATTTTCTCTCTTTTATTTTTCTTTTTTTATTTACCTGATTTAAAAGATGAGAAAGTGTTCCAAGTTGGAAATGCTCAACTCTGTCAGCAAAAGGATTTTGCATTAATGGAGCTGGACGATCACTTAAAAATATTTCCAAAGGGAATTTAACTATTCCTTCATCATCTTTTTGAAAGTTTGTTTCTCCATTTAAAATATTTTTTTCAATTGAGGAATTATTATTTGTTAATTCTTCATTATTCAATTCCTCAGATTTATTGTTAGTTATAGAAGAGCTCGAAAAATTATCATCAAATATTTTTTGTTCAACAATAGCAGAGGAAGTTGAGGAACCTAAAAATAAATAATTCTTATTTATGTAAGTACTAGTAAGAACAACTCAAAATCCCCCGGTATATACTAAACTTTCAAGATATATATTGGACTTACAATTAGAAAACAGCATATTCCGTAGGAAACGGCAACGATCACGAATATCATAAGAGCGATCATAACGTGCCAATTGGAAAATATAGTCAATAAGTAAATTTATTCTAGTGTTCTTATTGTCTTTTAAAGTTTCGATTATATATATTCTAACCGCCAAATTAAGTGCTTGAAGCTGAAAATTATTTTTAAATAGTAAAATATATTTAATAATTTACCTTAACACAATCGGCTTCATCAGTAAACGTTTTAGCCACTTTTCTCAACAAATCAGGAGCTATATTAGGTACTTTATTAATATGCATGCCAATTAACCAAAGAATACAAGCACGTGCTAATGGGGCCTTAAAAATTATAAGAATTTTTGAGAGACAAAGCAAGGACAATAATTAGAAGAAAAATTGCTAACAAATAGATAAATTTTTTAACGAAACCAAATTCACATAATTGTCAAGTTTCCAATTACCTCGGGATAGGAAAAATGGCTCTAGAGAATGGAGTTTCACAATTTTCTAAAATTTCGTTTATTAATTTACAAACCTTCACATTTTCCATAAGTCGAGAAACTCTCTTTAACAAATTCAAAGGAGCATCAGAATGTAATAAACGTTTCAACACAACAACAGCAACACAAACAATCTCTTCCCGAGCATTTGGATCAGATATAATTCTAACTAATGTTGCTAAACAAGTTTCAGATGCAGCTGAGGGGACAGCTAAAGCACAACGACCTATAGCTTCTACAGCTTCTTCAGCCAAATCAGTCATTTGCATATAAGCCTTTTTAAATAAAAGTATATAAAATTTATTGGAGGATGTGGTAAATCAGAAAAAAATAATTTTAAAATATTTATAAACAAACCTGTAATTCTCTAATAACAAGTTGAACATTAGATTCATCCACTAAACAAGTCAAAACATTTAATTTTAATTTCTTAACTTGCATAGCATCAGAAGATCGAACAAAGAAACTTTTTAGAAAAGGTGAAAATAAAGTCTAAAAATTTAATTAAAATTTTATTTTTAAAAAATTTCAAAAACCTTATTAATTGACAAAATTGTTTCTTTTATATTTTTTCCTTCTTTTTCATTTTCTTCTTTAATTTTTTCATTTTCCCATCTAGAATTATTTGAACATATCATACTTGCAATATTAACCAAAATAATATAGGAAACTTCATTTGTTCCACGCAAAAGACGAACGAGAGCACGTGGGACCGCAGAAAGTTGGGCAAATGGGGCAATATAATAAAGTAATTGGGATACTGCCTAAAAAGGAAATTAATTTTTTAACAAAATAAAACTCTCATTTATCAAAAATTGGAGGAAGACATTAGTAAGTCACAAGAGCGTATCCAAAGGAGTCTGTTTTGGGGGCCTTCAGTCCCTTCCCGCTGGATACGCTCTTGGTAAGGCATCCAACTTTTAGAAACAAAAAACTAACCATAACAACAGCTGGATTTCTACTTTGCAATAATGGGCGCACAGCAACTAGTAGAAGATTGTGATCGGGATCTAGCGTTTGAGGTGATTTCTTATGAAGAAAAATAAAAATTATAATTAAAGAATTAAAAAACTGTTTTATTTAATTGATTATCCTCGCTTCCATCGCTATCAAAACTTTTAGTTTTACTAAAACTTTGTCGATTTGTTGTAAGATTATTGTCTGGGGGTGCTAAAAATTGTGTACGTGCATAACGTGTTAATAATCCAATCATAACAATTTGCCCCCTAAATTTTATTTTTAAATAAAAAATTAAACTTTAAAAAAACCATTCATCAATATCAGCTAATGCCCGACAAAGTAATCGAAAATGTCTATGTAATAAATCTAAACGTTCAGGGCATGTCTTTTCAAATGCATATACAGCAGACCCAAGAACAAGTGTTCGTTTATCTCCTATAAAATAAAGAAAGAATAATTTTTTAATTAATTTAGGTAAATAATTGAAAGTTAAAATAATACAAAAAATAATCTTCAAGGTTGGGAATTTCTAAGTAGTTAAAAAAATACCAAGTAAAAAATCAATGCATTCAATTAATTGATTTTGCAATTCCGGATCAAGCGCATACAATTTTGGAATGGCATGAGCGGCAACTTTGCGGACATAAGGACTCATATCGCGTACAGAATCTCGAATAGCCAACATCATTACAGGGGCAATCATTTGCACTCTAATTGAAGAAAGAACACGAAGAGCACTTGCCTATAGTAATTATGAGGAAATATTTTAAAAAAAGAGTATATTTACCCTAATTAATTGATTTGGATCTTTTAATCCTCGTTGAAAAGTACTGATTGATAAAAGTGCCAAATCTTGTTGTTCTTCAGCATAACGAACCAAATATACATAAACTAACTTTTTTAGCTATTAAAAATTTAAAAATAAATTTTCTAAAAAAAGATTAACCTCCAAATTTTTTGCCGCAACATTTTTTACAACAGCAGGAAATAAATCAGAAACATCTTTACCCCTTGCAACCATCTGTTAAAATTAAATTTAAAAAATTATTTTTAATTTTATACATTAATTATCCGTCTCATTGCATCCATTTTAACATTTTCTTTATTGCTGTCAAGCATTGCCTTCAAATCAGTGAATTTTCTTTAAAAAATTATTTTAAATGTTTAAAGATAATTAAAAATAACAAACCCTTTATTGTCCAAAATTGTCCCACTTTCAGCAATCTCTATTTCAGGAGTAGTGGCCATAGATGGATAAGACATTCGCATTTGTTATTTAAATTTAATTCTAAATTTATTTTTTTACAAAAATGGATTTTACTTTTTAGGACTTGAAAATATTACAAAATGAAATTTTTTGGAGTTTTTTTTTAAATTAAGGGGCTTTTGAGTCAAATTTTTATTGAATATTTTGTATGTTTCTTGAAATTTAGGTAGGGGACGGCTCAGAGTCGCCGATTCAGAATTCAGAGTGCCACAAAATAATTTATAATAAAAATTTAAAATTTTTAAAATTTTCTTTAATTTTTCGGTTTTGTTTAGTAAAATGATGAAATGGTGTTGTTATGTTATAATGGCATAAATAATCTGTAAAAAACATGAAAACAATTAAATGACTTGAATTACATATGTCAAAAAGTCAGCAAGACTCTTTTGTCTTTACATTTATTTTCAGTCTCAGCACAAACCTAAACCTTTAGGCTTGCTTGTCAATAGAGTCTCGGCGACTTAGCATCGAAACGCCTTTTTCTATGCAATAACTTTTTTTTATTTCGATCATTTCCAGAAATTTTCTTTATCAATTAGAATCTATGTTTGTTTTTATTCTTTTTATTAACTTTATGAAAGGATCCGATCATTTCTTAGAAAGTTACACCCGCCTAAGTATGTTAAATCACGATTATTCGCAGTTAACGGCTCCTAACTTTTTTGAAAAACGGTAAAACTAAACAATTTCTATGAAAAAATAACCAGCACATCCAGAGCTTTTAATTAAAGCAAAAATTATTTGGATTGATTTAAAAACAAAAAAGTTATATCCCAAAAACTTTCGGTTTGATGCCATATTTTAAGACTCTTTCGTTACCTGGTTACTTTTAGTCTAAACCTTTTGAAGCCTAAACCTTTAGGTTTTTAAACATTTGAGTCTCATCACGTCTTCAATTTTTTTAATTCTAGCTTTTTTAATCGTTTGTTCTTCTTAATTAGTGTATAAAGATGAACCAGAACTGATATTCTGGTAATAGAAATCCTATAAATTAAGAATCACATAGATAATTTTTGAACTTATTTATGAATTCCTTGGAGAATTTCATTCCTGGATGGAATAGAAGCGATGTTGGAATTTCGTCAACAACAGCCTCAACCCAAACGGCCCTCTTTAGGGCCACAAATTTAATAAGTGAGATGAGGACAATGACTTTTATTTTTTGATAAATTTGTTTATTTGACTCATTTCGAGACCAAGACCTCACCCTAAGACCGAAAAACCTCAAGAAAAGTCTAGAGTCAAAACTCGGCAACTTTTTAGAATGTTCATCAGATCGTAGGAACTGGGAAAAACCACAAAAATCGCAAGAAAAACTGATTTTCTAGGTCCGAAAATTTATGTACTCTGAATCGTCTCCTTTTAGCCGTACTCTGAATTGGCTACTCTGTATCGGCGGACTCTGAATTGCCGACTCTGAATCGACCTTTTCCCTTTAAGGGGCTTTTGAGTCTACATTTTTATTGAATCTTTTTCTTGAAATTTATAAGGTAATTTTATTGTTTTTTCCTTCTTTTATTTTTTTAATTTTTCAGGTATAACATTAATTAGTGAAAATGTCTTGTTCAGCAATATTTATTTTAGATCAGAAGGGAAATGTTTGTTAAAATATTTTCTTTAAATAATCTTTAAATGATTTAGGTAATTATGTCGCGAAATTTTCGTGGGGATATAGATGTTTCTGTTATAGAGAAATTTATGCCGTTACTCGTTGAGCAAGAGGATGAAGGGCGAGCTTCACCAATTATACAAAATGGAGAACTTAGCTATGTTTTTATTAAACATATGAACATTTATTGTTAGTTTATTTTTAATTTAAATAAGAAAAGGGCTAGAGTTCGGAAAGGTTGTCTGAATTTAAAACTTTAATTTTCCTTATTAGATTCAGAAGAAAAGAATTAAATATTTATTTTGTGAAAAATGTAAAATTAACCTTAATAATTTATATTTTTATTGCAAAGTTTTTTTTTATGATTTTTCAGTTTTCTCTTTTTCGCTTTTTTTAAATTCTGATCTCTAAATAAGGAAATTGAGGTTTTTAATGATTAGGGTGTCAAAAATATTTTTTTAATTTTTTTCATTAAATTTTTTAACTTTAAAAAATTGCAGTAGTTGCACTTTCTCAAAGAAATCCAAATGTGGCAATGGTTCTTTCATTTCTTTACAAATGTGTTGAAACTTTTGTTTGTTATTTTAAAGATTTGGAAGAGGAATCAGTTCGTGACAATTTTGTTGTTATTTATGAATTATTGGATGAAATGCTTGATTTTGGGTTTTGATTTTCTTTTAAATATTTTTTTGAATCATTAATTTAATTTTTAAAGTTATCCACAAACAACAGAACCTCGAATTCTTCAAGAATATATAACACAAGAAACTCAACGACTGGAGTTTGCACCTCGTCCACCTATGGCTGTTACAAATGCCGTTTCTTGGCGTTCAGAGGGTATTAAATATAGAAAGAATGAAGTGTTTTTGGATGTTATTGAATCTGTTAATTTATTGGTAAATTTAAAAATTTTGTTTTAAAAAATTAAAAATTTAAAGGCAAATGCTAATGGAACTGTCCTTCGAAGTGAAATTGTTGGGTCAATTCGAATGAGGGTTATACTCTCTGGAATGCCTGAATTACGTCTTGGACTGAACGATAAAGTTTTGTTTCAGGCTGTTAGAAGTTTGTTTAAATTGAAAATAATTTTTTTTAATTTATTTTTCTTTTTAGAAGGTCGTGGTAAGGCAGTAGAGTTAGAAGATGTTAAATTCCATCAATGTGTCCGTTTATCTCATTTTGAAAGTGACCGAACAATATCTTTTATTCCGCCAGATGGAGAATTTGAATTAATGAGTTATCGACTATCTAGTGCTCAAATAAAACCTTTAATTTGGGTACAAGTACAAATGGAGAAACATGCACATTCTCGTGTTGAATATATTGTGAAGGTTTGTTTAGTGACAAGTTTTATGGCTCCCCCCTCACTTCCCACTAGTTTAAGTATCAGTTTTCTTTCCTTCATCTTTGGTTACATTTGATCAAACAATATAATTTATTTTTACTTACATTTCACTTGTATTGTTTGAGGAAAATAAATCATGGTCATGAGGAAGGAAAGAAACGGGGGGTATCCAAAAAGTACCTTTAACAATAAATATCTTTAAAGACATTCTTCTGGTTTAATTAGGATTATTTTTCTCAAACAATAAATAAAAACAACTCCAATTTTTGACAGGCAAAATCCCAATTTAAACGTCAATCAATTGCAAATCATGTTGAAATTCAAATTCCCGTTCAAAGCGATGCAGATTCCCCAAAATTTAAAAGTATTGTTGGCTCTTCCCGTTATGCTCCAGAGAATGGGGCATTTATTTGGACAATAAGAAGTTTTCCTGGAGATAGAGAATATTTAATGAGAGCACATTTTAGTCTCCCTTCTGTTGAAAATGATGAAAGTGAAGGGAAAGTACCTGTTTATGTGAAATTTGAAATTCCTTATTTTACTACATCTGGTTTACAGGTGAAGGGATTTTTAAAATTAAACAGAAATTTAATTTTTGAAGGTTCGTTATCTGAAAATTATTGAAAAAAGTGGTTACCAAGCACTTCCTTGGGTACGTTATGTTACCCAAAATGGTGATTACCAAATTCGAACCTAGAATAGAATATACTTTTTGAAGGTGAAGGAAGAAATGAATTGGAGGAATATTTATTAGGAACAAAAATATTTTTATATTAAAAAGTGAAGGTGGACACGACCAGTTAATTCTTCCCTGTGGCATTGCAAAAGGTCTTTGGTCTTCTCTATTTGGCCCGTTTGTAGGGAAAAATTAACTGGTCTATCCAACTCTATTAAAAACAATTTAAATGAATTTAAATTGTTTCTGAATTCTTTTATTAGTGCGATTTATTTTTTAAATTATTTTTCTAGAATTATTTTTAAGGTAATGGAAAACTTATATGTATTTCTTCTATTTTTTCTGTATATTTAACAAAAATATTTCTTGCCTTCTAAATTGTGAGAAATGTATTCCTTTTAATACTAATAATATTTTCATATCTATTTCCATTATTTTCGCCTTCTAGATTTTTTTCTCAATTTTTAACTTGAAAGTTGCCTTCTTTTCGCAAACTATTGAAATTTTTTCGAATTTTTTTGTGATCATTTCCAACCCCCAATATTGTTGTGATGAATATTTAATAATAGAAAATTGTTGCATCTTTATTAAATTGAATTTTGCGTAAATATTTTTTGGAGAATGTGCATTTTTCAGAATTTATATTTTTCCAAAGAACTAATTTCCAAGAAATTAATTGTTAAATAATTAGTTTAATAGATTTTGAATAATCGGAGAATCAAAATATATAATAAAATTTATTCCAAAAAATATTTAGTGTTAGAAAAAACTTTGTTTCTACTTTTAAAAAATATATTCACATTAATGAATAATTTACAGACATAAATATAGGAGAAAAAGGGCAGGGCAAATATTAATTGAATTTTTCTAGGGATTTTAGTTTCGTTATGCTCTTTAAAAAAATAATTTTAGTAAGAGATCAATTATTATTCAACTTTTCACTTCCTTTCTAGTCCTCATTGATTTATCTACAAATCAGGACTTTTCTCATTTTGCTGATTAACTACTCCAGTGCTATTTGTGCTACAATGAGATCTCCCACTAGATGAACGCCTCAAGCTTAGGCTGTGATACAATGGGGTGGATCTGAGATTTTTGTTTAAAATTTATTTTATCGAAATAAATTCCACCTTAGGGCATCTTTCAATTGAATACATTCATAATTCTCAATTCCCTCTTGAAACTTTTCGAGCCAAATTTCCTTGAAAAAATATTAAATAATTTAAAGAAATTATTTATTTGCTAACTTTCTCTTTTTTGTTAGAAGCTTGTAATGTGTAAATATTTAATAGTTGATAATATCGAGTAAGGTGCATAACAACAAATGAATTGTTTAGAGAAGCTACTGAAAAATTTAAATAAAGAATATTAAATATTCTGGAAAAATTAAAAATAGGTTAAAAACTATTTCTGAATGAATTCAGAGGTGGGTCGGAAACCGACCCACCTCTGAATGAATCATAAATCAAAAAGAAAATTAAAATTGTACAGAATAACGGATAAATTATAACATTTTAAAATATATTTCTCCCTTACCCCCATTTTGTTGTTGCTGTGTTTGGATATCAATTTGGGATTCAGTATCACAAAAAACACAAGAATCTAAAGGGAGAGGCTGTCGATGGACAATAAAAATTTTATTTCCATTTAAAAGTCCATTTGCATTACTGGCTGTGACTGAGGAAATGGACGAAGTTAGGCCGCTGTTGCTATTTCTCTGAATTTATTAAATTATTAATTATATGGAAGCTGAGGGAAATGATGGGGACGTTAAAGGAAAAAAGGTACAAATATATATTTTTCTGAATTAATTTAATTTTCAAATTAAAATCTAGATAATCCCAAAAAATAAACAGAACTATTATTCCTCAAAATTATTCCTCTTTTCCCAGTACCTTCGATTTCGAAGCAACTTTCTTTACTTTTGTAACCAAAAACATATCATTAAATAAAAAACAATAACAATCAGAATTACGTCCATTTTCTAAAATTATTTTTAAAAAATAATTTTTTTTCTAATTATTTTTAATTTACCAATAAATTCCAAATACCCTTCGTGTAACAATTTTCTTCGAGGATGGGCAACAAAATTTTCACAAAATTGTTTTGAAACAGCATTTTTTAAAAACTTTAAAAAAGAAATATTTTTTTCTTTTAATTGAGAGTTCATTTACATCAGGAATAAAAGCTTTAGGTTCAATTTCAGTAACTGAAGGCCAAACAATTTGTCGTTGAAGTTGTTGGAGACGTTCAAAATTATGTAACCATTGAACACTATCATCTATTGTTCCTTTAATTTTTAAAATTAAAAAATTCAAATAAAAATCTCCAACTTAAATTTTCATTCATTTGTTCCAAAACTTTTTCGAGGCTTTGTCTATCTTGTTGAAGTTCTGTATGTTTTAGAATTTCTCTACAAAATAAATTAATTAAAAAATTAATTAATTTATTTATTTTTACTTTAATAAAATAGGTAAACGAGTAATTCGTTGTAAAGGAGAAATTAATAAATCTTCCAATTGTAAACGTTCACAGCGAGGGTCAGTCACACAAATCTTGAAAAATTGATAAATTAAATATTTAATTATTTAAAATAAAAATATTTTTTAAATAATTTAGAATTTATTTAAAAAAATAAAAAAAATATTAGGGCAACATTGATGTATTAAAAAATTGAGAAAAAAATTTAATGACGTTAAAAGAACTATTTGGGTTGTTGAGTGGGGATTACATGAAAAAATATATTTATTATTTTTTGAAAAATAAAAATAATAAAAACCAAAATTTTTGAAAAACAAAGAAAAAATGTGGGAAGAAAATAAGAAAAAATGTTAAAATTGAAAATAAATTTTGGAAAAATAAATTTTTGTTTAAAATAATCAAAAACTTTTAATTACCTGGGGTAATTATTGTTTCGATCTCTCGCAGGAGTGGGTAAATAATAGAGGTGGAGTAATTATTTGAGAGGGGGGGGGGGGTAATGAATAGTGAAATTAATAAAAAAATTTTTTTTAATTAATTAAAAAAATCCCCTTACTCTTTCAAAATCAACAAAACGTTCATCTTTTTGTCTAATTGTACCCAAATATTCAATTGTTGCCTAAAAATATTTTTTTAATTCAATTTAAATTCAATTTAAATACTCTATAATTAATACAGTAAGCCTGATATGCAGAAATTGTGGAAGGGCCTTTAGAAAATCTTTTAAATAATTGTACAATCATTTGTGTTGTTTTATTAAATGGAGGGCCATCATTTTTAACATCGCGGAGAAGGGAAATAAATGAACGACAAAATCGACGACTAATCTTTAAAGGAAAAATAATTACATAATCCCCCCCCCGTGTCACGACACTTGCAGATATGACATTTGCAGACCCGACACTTGCAGACCCGACTTTTGCAGACCCGACATTTGCAGATGCCGACACTTGCAGATATGATACTTGCAGATCAGACATTAGCAGATCCGACTTTTGCAGATTAGACCCAGTTCGCTCTCTTCTTTACCTCATCTATAAACCGTGGAGTGATTGCTGCTGCGGAGGAATCCTGGGATGCCCATCTCATCGATGATAGTAATAGGATCATGTTACGAGCCCAAGCCCAGCGACCGTTGACTCCCCGCGAGGCGCGTGCCGCAAAACCCCGCGCGAAGCGCGGGGTTTTGCACAAGCGCCTCGCCGACGTTCCATAGGTCTACATTGAACATTTTAAACCTCCGGAAAAAAGAGAATCTCCGGAAAAAAGTGTATGGGTCTTATATCACACCTTTCCACAGGTATATTATACTATATCCTTTGGTTTTTGAAGATTTTTAAATTTTTTAAAAATTTTTTTTCAAAAATTAATATCTGCAAAAGTCGGATCTGCAAATGTCTGATCTGCAAGTGTCATATCTGCAAGTGTCGTTATCTGCAAATGTCGATCTGCAAAAGTCGTCTGCAAATGTCGGGTCTGCAAATGTCATATCTGCAAGTGTCGTATGACCCCCCCCCCTCTCTCTTCTCCTCCTTACTCTAATTAATTGTTCCAAATTTCCAAAAAGAAGATCAGGCTCTACACTTAAAAGGCAACCTTCTACTTGACATCTTTTTAAAGGTTCTTTATAAACATTTCTTTAATTAAAAAATTATTTTTTAACAACACAATCAAAAAAACACCCACCTCAAAACCAACAATTGCCTTGTTAAAAAAATTAATTCACTGTGAAATAATTCCCAAACAGCCTTTAAACGCCGTTTATCTCTCTCACTAAGTTTTTTTTTTATCTCTCTCACTAATTAAAAATTATATTGTTTCTATATATTGTTTCTGAAGAAATGAAATATTGTTTCTGAAGAATGAAATTATATTGTTTCTGAAGAATTGAACATTTCTTCCCATTGAATATTCTAATTTAAAAAATAAAATTAATTAAATTTTCCGGAAACTCTTTAAAATATTTTCCGGAAATTATTTAAAATTATTTTTTAAACAAAAATAAACTTAAAGTAATTTACCTAAATTTTTATTAATTTATTAATTTATTAATTAATTATTTAATTATTAATTTACCATTAAATTTTCAAAATACGTCTCAGATTCACTACTCCCTCCCTCCCCACTTTCACTGTCTGTGCCAGTTGAATGATGGGGTGATGGGGATACAGAACCAGAATTATCATTCGAAGTAGCCCCTAAAGCTGCATGCACATGTTTAACCATTTCTCGAGATTTTGCACGATGTGACCATTCGTACTGGAAACAGTATTTTTTAATTCAAAAATTTTATTTAATTTTCTAACCAATCTTCGTAATATCCAAGAGGATCTTTTTGGACGGCACTCATTTCCGGCATTTTCTGTGTAGAAATGAGGGGCAGCAAGTGTTGCACGTTGCAAATCTAAATAAAAATATTTCTAAAGAAACATTCCAGAAAGTTTTATTTAAGAAGATTTGCAAAATTAAAATTAACAAAAAACATTTCCCTTTCCCTCCCTTACCAGCTAAAAGTCCAGTTCCATTTGCAGTTACCGCTCTATTAAAATAATGTAATTGTGGGGATTGTTGCCTTTCACTTCTCCTCCTCTTTCCATTATTATTAAAATTATCATCTGTCGTTACATGTACATGAGGTACAATAATAACATTATTACAACATCCATTACCACTAGACCCTTCCCTATATTCTCCATAATTATTTTCTTCATTTTCAAAGTTTTCCTCTTCATTTTCGTCATCCTCCCTATCCCTTAAAAAATTAAAAATTAAAAAAAAATCTTTTAAAAATTTCTTAACGATTCTCCCCCCAACATTCCCTTCTCGTCAGGAATAAGAGCACAACGTCGATGTAATTGTTGTTCTCGATTATTATTTATTTCCCCTTCTTCCCCTTCTTTTCCTTCTTTTTCAATATTTTCTTCAAAATTATTTTCTATTTCTGTTCCAATCTATTTTTAAAAATAAATTTTTAAATAATTATTTTTGTAAAATTTACATGATTTTGGGCTAAAAGGTCTCCATGTAAAAAGAAAGCCCCGCCATTATTTGAAGAAAAGGTTGCTGGAATGACTGTTGTAACTGAAGGGGCTATCATTTTCTTTTGGTAATTTATTTTAAAGAATTAAGTAATTTTTTTGTTTAAATTTATCTAAAAAGGAATGTGAATTCAAATTTATTTTAAAAGTTTTAAGGGTTTTAAAAGCTTAAAGTTTAAAAGATATTCTATTTCTGTATGATCGTTTGTTCTTTTGTTAAAATAAGGAAATTCAAAAATTAAATTTATAAAAGTAACAAATTTAAAAAAGATCTTTCAAAAATTAAAAAGAAGAAAAGAGAAAATCCTACGTAAATTCGTTTATTTGTTGAAAAGAAGGCAATCCCGTCACCTTTTACACAATTTAATCTGTGGACTTTATAAAAGTTTAAACTAAAATTTGGTTAAAAATAAAAGATTAAATTTATTGATAAATTGAAAATTAAATTGTGAAAAATAAATTTTTATTTAAATAAATTTATATAAATTTATTTTAAATTTATTTCAGGTTCAAAAAAAATTTTAAATTAAGAAAACATTTTTTTAATATTTTAATAACCTTATAAAATAATCTTTTAAATAAAAATTAAAATAAATGAAGGCATTTATTTCTAATTTAGTAGGAAATAAAAGGTTGGATTAATTATAATTTTAAAGAAAAATTCTAAAAAAGTTTTTTTTACTTTTTAACTATGCTAATTATTAAAATTATTTTTTTTGGATTTTATTTAGGAAATGATGAGAGGGGAAATTTTTATTTTAAAATGAATTTTTTCGAATCTAAACATTAATTAATAAAATAAAATATTTAAAATAAAAAATCTTTAATAAAAAACAGAATGATTGTTATGCAAAGGTTAATATTTTTTATCAAAAAAATTTTTTATAAAGAAATGAACAAAAATTATAAATATATTTCTTTTGTTAAAGAAAATAAGAAGCCTAATAATAAATAAAGAAGCCACGGAAAATTAAAAAAGAAAAAAAAATAAATAATGTAAATTTTAAGCAAAATGCGCGAATTAGTAAGAAAATAAAAAGATTACATGTATTTATTACCAACTAAACACTTACCAACCCTTAACCACTCCCCTCCCCATCCCCTTTTTTATTTTTTAAGATTTATTTTTTCTCCTGTTCTCGTACCTTTATTTTATTTTAAAAACATTCCCACAATCCCTAAAATAACTAAAAAATAGTAAATCGTTAATTGTGTTATTTTATTAGTAATAATAGGTATAGTGAAAATTAAAAGTTTATATCCTTTAATTAAAAAATGTTAAGGGAAAAAAGTAGGGGAAAATAAAATATTTATTTTTGTTTAATTTAAATTTAAAATTGTAAATAATTTTTATAAACAAAATTACCATCAAAGTTTATTAAGAATATTTCAAATTTATTTTCAAGAAATTTAAAAATTAAAGATTAAACAAAATTAATTTAAACAATTTAAAATTGTTGCTTTTTTTTAAATTAAAAATATTTTTTATCAGACAATTTTACCAAAAAGGTAATAAAACGGAAAAAAGAAATTTAATCTGACAAAATGGATGAAAGAGAGAGGGGAGGGATGAATAAATTATTTATAAAAATACAGGGTGCACCATAAGTAATTGGACACATGTTTTCTCTCATAACTTTATTAAAACACAATCAAATAAAATCGAAATACAATCAAATGATAGAGAATTAAATATGGAACAATAATAATCAAGAAGTTTCGAAATGCCCACCCTTGGCTTTGATACAGAGGCGAAGGCGCGAAGAAAAATTTTCGCAAATAGCACGCACCTCCTTGAGTGTAATTAAGTCCCACTCCCGGGTGAGAGAATGGCTCAGAGACTCCAAACTTTTTTGAGGCTTAGCACAGACCCTGGACTCCAAAATGTACCAAAAAGAATAATCCATCGAATTCAAATCCGGGGAGTATGGCGGCTATTCCTGAGCGCTAATGAACCCAGGAAAATTGGCCTAGCACCAGTCCTTAACTTCTTTCGCTTTGTGTGCCGGAGCAGAGTCCTGTTGGAAAATCCAGACTCTGCGACCGAAATGGCTCTTGAACCGAGGCTTCAGAACACGCTGAAAAAATTCTCGCAAGTAATAGTCTTTGTTGACTTTTACACCAAAATCCACGAAAATAAGGGGTTTTTTGACTGACGCGCAAATACCGGCCTAAACCATGACAGATTGGGGATGTTGGAAATGAGTGATAAGCTCATCGGAAAGAGGAGATTCTGTAGTCCAGATTCTATAATTTTGATGGTTGTGTACGATTTTTATTGTAAAAATTTTTTCGTCTGAGAAGGGAATGTCCGGACATGCGTGCCACTGAAGGAGCAGTTTGCATCCTGCAAGCCTAACTTTTTTTGTTTTTTCTGTTAGCAGTTGTGCTTTTTGGATTTTGTAGGGTATTAACCCTAGTTTATTTTTAGCTATTCGTCTGACGGTCCTCTCACTTATTCCGGTTTCACGAGCCACTTTTCTCATGGAGGGTCGAGAATTGCGATGCACCTAGTTTTTGATCATTTTAATATTCTTGGAAGTGCTGACGGTACTCGGTCTTCCACTTTTTTGTAAGTTCTTAGTTGTGCCATCATTACTAAATTAATTTCAAAAAAATTTTCTCCCAAAAAATTTTCACCAGAATTTTTTGAAAGTGTATTGTACAGTGCTCTTTGGGACATTCAAAAGAGGTGAAATTTTGCGGACTGAATTTTTTTTCAAAAAAAGTGAAATTATAGAATCACGTTGATTAGCCATAATAGAGAATTGAATGAGCTAAAAAATAAGCATAAAATCGATTAAAAATATTGACAACAAAAAAAGTTATAAGGAATTTAAAAGTGTCCAATTACTTATGGTGCACCCTGTATATAAGTAGAGGAAATACTTAAATATTTTTTTAAATAAAAATAAATTTTATACAATTTTAAGGGTCTCTAAGTAGGTAATTTATCTATGTATTTTTAGTTTATTTATAAAAATTTTTTTTGGAATTTATTTTCTAAAAATAAATTTGTGGGAATTTTTTTTGTGAAACGATTGTAAATTATAAATAAAATACCAAAATATGGTGAGATTGAGCAAAAATACCGAAATATGGACTGATTTGTGTAGAATATGTGTGGAATCTCAAAATATGGAAATCAATGTAAAGCAGGGTTTTATTTAAAGTCTCTCGTTTTTTAAAATCTGTTTCAGCAAACCATGTATAACAAGACTTAATAATATATTTAAAAGAAATGTCATATAAATTATTTGATAAAATAATATTTTTTGTGCATAAAATTAAGAATAAGAAAAGAAGAAGAATGATTTTCGTGTATAAAATCCATTAAAATATATATTTTAAAAAGATTATATATAAATTAATTATTAAAAATATTTGCAAAAAAATAAAAAATATGGAAGTAAAAAAAGAGAAAAAGAAAAAAGAATATTATATATAAAATTAAATTAAAAATTAATTAATTAAGAAAATAAACATAATTTATTTTGTAATAAATAATTAGGGTCGTCGGTTGCTGTAAATTCTTCAGATATCCGAAACCGAACCGAAGAAACGACCCGAAAAATCCTCGGTTCTTCGGTTCTGTCCAGAACCGACAACCCTAAAACTAATTATTAATATAGTATATATTTTTTAAATTGAGGACAAAAATAAAATATATAAAATCAAAATTTTAAATAAAAAAGACTTGTCAAAAAGTATTTTATTCTCGTCTAGGCATTCATAAGATTTTTTAAGAAGAAACATTTTTTTAAAAATAACAAAAATAGAAATAATTTTTTTAAATAAATTTACGTAAATAGAAATAAATATAAAGTAGCTAAAATATTTTACAAACAATTTTAATAAAGTAAATGAACAACTGACGATAATAATTTTAAAAATATGTATGTAGGTGTGTCTTTAAATAAATATATTTAGAAAATAATTATTTTTATTTTAAAGAAATTTTGAATTAAAAATCAGAAAATTAAAAATATTTTGTTTTTAATAATTAATAAGAATTCTGGGAGAATTGTTGAAATAAAGGTAGGTAGGGTTGGTAATAGGTATAAATAGTAGGTAGATCCGGATAGTTAGATCCGCAAAATCCGGATATCTGGAAATTTTAGGTTCAGATATCGGATTTAGATATCCAGGGATCTCCCAGGATCTATCAACCCTAAATTTATTATTTTTCCTAAATACAGGGAAACCGAATCCATAAATACTCCGTCAAATTTCCATAATATAACTGTAATTCTCTTTTAGAAATTCTTTCTTTTTTAAATAAAAATCGTTAAAATATTAGTAAATTAAATATATTGAGAAAGGAATTAACACATTTCTAATTTAAGAAAAAGCTTTTTAGCAAAGAAATATTAACCAATTTATTTATTTAAAACATTCCAAACAATTTATGTAAATGAAAAAGTTATCTTCTTTTTACTTTCCCCTCTTCTCCCTTAAAGGAAAGCGAATGAATTAAAATGGCAGCTTGGAACAATTTTTTATTTTTTTTTATTTTTTCTGACTGTTCGAACAGACAAAAAAATTTGCGGAGAAAATTTTTTAATTAAAAAATTTTGTTAAAAAAATCTGTCCGCAAAATTCTTCACAAAAAGTACAGCCATACACGCTTTTTTGTTTTTTAAAAATCCTCATGGGAAATGCATGTAAATGCTAAATGCATGTAAATGCTATGAATGGGATATTAAAAAGACAAAAAAAAGTGTTGGAAAAATTGGGAAAGTTGAAAAATTGTTTGGAATATTTTGGTGTCTAAATATTTGCTCTAATAATTTTTAAATTATTAAAATAAATAATTTTTTATAAGAGATAATCATGAATAATTAACCCCTCAATCGAGAGATCGCAACAACTTGTGAGTAATTAATTTAGTATAGTTATTTATTTTTGATAAATTTGTAAATAAAATTACCAACTTCTTTATTAATTAATTTAATTAATTAATGGATCTTGATTAATATATAAAAGAATTATGTATATATTTGTGAAAATTTTATAGCAAAAACAGAAATTTTTAACGCCCAAAATAGTTTTCGCTTAAACAATTTTTTAATTAAAAAAGTTTTGGCTTCTTAAGGTTCACAAATTGAAAAGAGACGTTTGGGGACTTAAAAAATAAAATTTAGAGAAGGAATTTGGGGGGGGGGGGTTATTTAATGTTTTTATGTTCACAGTTTTTTTGTCTCATTTTTGAAAAAAAATTTTTAAGATAAAAAAGATAAACTAAAAAAACCTTTTCTTGCGAGGGAGGGAGGGGAGAGGGAGGGAGGGAATAATCTCTATAAAAAATTAATTTAAATAAGGAAATATATCTTTAAAGAAGACAAAATTCTTTTAAAACAATTCTCTAATGAATACAAATTTTTTAATTTAGTTCTCTTTACAAATTAGTAGATTAAAAATCAGCTAATTTTTAATGGTTAATATTTTTTTCTTAAAAATTTTTAATAAAAATTTTTTTAATTCTCTAGATAGTTTTTAACAAAAAATAATTAAATGAAAGGAAGGAGGAATACCTAAAAATTATGAAAGTACAAGGTCAAAACCCTCTAAATTTAGTAAACTTTTTTTCGGTTCCTTTGAGTTTGTTATATCTAAAATTGACTAAATAAATATTTTCAAAAATTTTAAAATAAATTTTATTCAAAGCTGAACGATAAAAAGCAAAAATAAAATAAAAATTGCAAAAAAACAATTAATTTTTCTTCACATATTTTTAAATAAAATTCTTTTTTCCTTTTTTAAAAAAAATTTCAAAAATAATTATTTGTAAATCCATCAATATTTTGTACTAATTTTGTATCAAAATAATTATTTAAATTTTTAATTTTGTTGTTATTCCATTTGAAGGGACAGTTTTTAATTACAGAAAATACTGATTCTAAATAAATAGGTAAATAAATTTAATTAATTTAATTAGAAAATTAATTAAATTTAATTAGAAAATAACCATTAGGTAATAAAGCATGTAATGTTTTTGGTAATTCTTCAAAATATTTGTGAAGCATTGCCCCTTCTGCAGATATTCTATCAGTTGGTTTTAACTTGAAGAAAAAATATTTTTTAACAAGATATTTGTTAATAAAAATAGGTAGATGGAAATTATATAATTTATATATGTATGTATGTTAAATTTAATTTAGGGAAGTGTGTGGGAGAAATTCGAATTTAAAGAAAAACTTCGTCTTACAAGACGGGAAGGGCCTAAAAGAACGGAGGTTAAAGGGAAGAAGACGTAAATAATCCGAGCTATAGTCACTAAGTCACACAGCTAATCATTAATCACTAGTCTAGACCCTTGAGAGGTGTCACAAAAAATAATTGCCGGCTAGAGAATTAACAAAAATTAATAGGGCAAATAACAATTCCCTTTAGGTCTAATTAATTGTCTATACTTTTATTTTAACTAGCGAAGGGGCTCGCCCTTCGGGCGAGCCCCTTCGCTAGCAAAATCATTTAACAAAATCATAGCAGACCTTTCCATCCCATTGCCGAAACTCTTCTTTAACCTAACCCTGATCAATTTTTGTGCCCATTGTCAGAACACGTCTCTGAACAAATACTGAACTCTTTTCTTACGCATCGACGGCAACTTTTCTAACACTAACATGAACAACAACAAACTAACAAAACAAACTTTCTCAAAATAAAAAATAGAGAGAAATATAAACGTAATTTAAATTTGACTTCGGGCCTTCAGCCCTCGCCGGTGAAGTTTATTCCTGCCTTTGACCATTGCTCTGCCCTTTAGATGGGTTGAAGCTCGGGCCTTCGGCCCGAGCGTTGCTTCGGGCCTTCAGCCCTCGCCGGTGAAGTTTAGTCCTGCCTTTGACCATCGCTCTGCATTTAGATGGGTTGAAGCTCGGGCCTACGGCCCGAGCGTTACTTCGGGCCTTTGGCCCTCGCCGCCAAACTCCTCGGCCTTCGGCCTCGGAGGGCTCGGGCCTTAGGCCCTCGAACGGAATTTTATTTGAAAATGTTCAAAGCCGTGTAACTCTGAATTTAGGGACCCTTCTCATAAGCTATAGCTCATTCGAAAGAGCATCAAAAACTGTATCTAAAACCTTGAGGCAATTTTGTTTATAAGAACTTTCTCAGAAGATAAAACAGATGGAATTATAAATTGTAATTTATATTTGCAAATCTTCAAAGCCGTGTAACTCTATGAATTTAGGGGCCCTCCTCATAAGCTATAGCTTATTCGAAAGAGCATCAAAAACTGTATTTAAAATTTTGGGGCAATTTTGTTTATAAAAACTTTCTCAGAAGATAAAACAGATGGGAATATAAAATGTAATTTTGACATTGTGAATCTACAATGTGATGTAACGGGACCCTCCTCATTAGCTATAGCTTATTTGAAAGAGCGTCAAAAACTGCATCTAAAACCTTGGGGCAATTTTGTCTACATCAACCTTCTTAAAAGATACATAGATATTTCATTTCCTCACTCTCCAGATCATTTTACTATAAAAACCCTCATTTCCTCACTCCCCAAATCATTTCACTATAAAAGCCCTCATTTTTTCCTCCCCAAATCATTTTACTATAAAAGCCGTGTGACAAACAATTTCCTTCCATTCACAAATTATATATAGGATTTCTAAATATTTGTTTGTTTACTTGTAATAATTGTGTAATTAATTTTAATCCTTCATCACCCAATTTGTAAAAAGCTGGCTGGTAAGTTAATAAATCAAGTTCAATATAAGTATTTGGAAAAGTAAAAAGTGACCATTTGGGTAAATTAACAACTTCTGGCCATAATTCTAAATTTGGAAGGCCTCGAACAGAAAATATTTTGTGACTAAAAATTTCAAAAAATTTTTAAAGAATTTTCAAAAAATTCCTCACAGTTGATCAGATACCTCATTAGCACCAGGAAATAAAGCAGAACCGCTACACATTTCAGCAAAAATACATCCAACACCCCAAATGTCTAAAGAAGTTGAATAAACAGTAGAACCGAGAAGTACATCTGGGGGTCGATACCTTTATTTAATTTAAAAATATTTTTGTTAAATCATCTGGATAGACAAAATCGAATAAAAAACAGGGGAATAATCTTATAGGAAACAAAGTCTCCCACTAATCCCCCTCCCTCACCCAACAAAGTTACCCACAAACAATTTAAATTTATAATTCACCATAAAGTAACAACATCATGTGAATATGTTCGACTAGGAACAGATTTAGCCCTAGCCAATCCAAAATCTGCTAATTTAAGTTCTCCTTCTATTGAAAGAAGTAAATTTTGGGGTTTGAGATCTCTGTAATAAAATAAATTTATTTAAAGGCTAAATGAAAGGATGAGAATATTCTTTTATAAAAATATTCCTTCCATAATAATATGCGAATTTACTAAGGTTAATATGACAAAAAAACAAGAAATATTTTCAAGAATAAGAAAATGAAAGAGCATTCTTTAAACAATTAATTAATTAACCTATGTAAAATTTTCCTTTCATGGCAAAAAGCCAACCCGCGAAGTAATTGAAATAAAAGAACTTTAGTTTGTAATGGATCCAAACCATTTGGAGAATAATTTTCGAGATATTTGGCGAGATCAGTTTTCTAATAATTTTTAAAATAAAAAAAAATTCCAAAATTCTCCCACCATATATTCAAAAACAAGTACTAAAGCTTTTGGTTGTTGAATGATTATTTGATGTAGACGTACAATATTTGCATGTCGAAGTGCGCGTAAAAGAGAAACTAAAAAATATTTTTCTTAAATTTTATCGGAAAATTTCTAGTAAATTGAGGAATGTGACTCTGAATTCTACCCATTTCCTGAGCTTATAAAAATTGAGTGAAGCAAATAGTAACCACAAAATTAATTATTTCACTCACTTTCACGGATGGCAGTAAATGGAAGTCCTTCTTGCTCTTGTAATCTAATTTCTTTTAAAGCAACAATTGACCCGTCAATCCGATTTTCGCTTTTCCAAACAGTCTACATAAATATTTAATTTAAAATAAAAATATAAAAAATATTTACAGCATAACTGCCTTCGCCCAACATTTCAAGACGTCGAAAGACATCCAATGAATTTCTATTGCTTCCAAAGGAGGAAGTACCGGAGGAGGCGGGAGACTAGAAAATAAATAAATTTTTTAAACAAAAAAATCCCCCTACTTTAGGTTCATCTTCAGTAGCACCCGTACACGAATAATAAGTTTCGCTTTGTGGAGTACGGAAACCTTTAAAAATTAAAAATTTTTTTAATTTTTATTTTTGGTACCCCAATAAGCAGGATGTACATCATCGAAAAAAGACATATTTCCAAACATTAAAGAATGCTTTTCCTCTCCATTACTGCAACAGGAATTTTTCTTTACTCCAACAATTTCTGAGGAATCCATTGGAAGGGCACCGGAACACATTCTGGAAAAATTATTTTTTTTTTAAATCAAATGTAAGAATTTAAAAATAAACAGAAACATTGGTATGATATTTTAATAAATGAGGCAGATAAAAAAGAATCGTAAATAAAAATCTCAAAATAATTTCAGAAAATAATTTATTTACTTTTGAATTTTTCGAAAAAAACACCAGAAATTAAAAAAATATTCATTGTACTTAATATTGTACTTAATCTTCCCTTCCCAAAATTAAAATAAATTACTAATTTATTACTCAAAATTTATAAGAAAAATTAAAATTAAACAAACAAAAATCAATTTAAAATTAAATAAAAATACTCACGTTGTCGATATACGCATTTGTTGATTTGCCCCGACGGAACGTGAACGTTTTTGTTTCCGCCCAGACTTTTCATATTGTTCGTTGTTAATTACAACTGTTTCTATTACTTTTCCGTTAATTTTGTTACTACAATATTTATTTTTTGAATTTGAACGCCAACGGCCCCACAGAAGGGCATTGACTAGTCTAAAAGAAAAGAGAGAGGTTATTAAGTAGGGATTTTGATTAAAATAATTAACAATTAATTGGTCAGGTTAAAATAAAGAATAATTAATTCGACCATTAAAACCAATTATTTGGTCACCAGAAAATCTTCAAACATTAAAACAATTAATTGTTCGTTTAAAACCAATTAATTGGACAATAAACTATACTTTTGCCCTGAAGAGGAAGATTGTTTTCTCCTTTTAGAATGTTTCCTTTGCTGTTGTTCTGTCATTTCTTTATTATTAATTAAATTAATAATATCCCCATTTTGTTGTTTAGGTTGAATAAATTCCCCAAATTCATCTGTTGCCCGTACAGTTTGTTTATATTCATCATCTTTTAAATTTAATTTTTTAAAAGTCATTAAAATTTATTTTTACAATATTCTGGTGCTGGATCAGGAGGCGGTTGTTGTTGTGTTTTCTTTGTTTTTGTTGGTTTATGGGAAGGGGAAGAAGCACTTGATAGATTATTATTCCAAGAAAAGCTCATTGGAAGGTGTGGGTGAAACTAAAAAGGAATTTAAATTAAAAATTAATTTTAATACAAATATGTACATTATGTGGAAATAAAATAGAAAAAGTAGATTTTGTCTTTTTTGGCCCAATTTTCTTTTTTGGGGGAGAAATTAAATAATTTGGGGTTAAATCAGAATAATTATTTAATTGGTTATTTCTTTGAATGTTTTGTTCGTTTGAAATTGTCGGTTCTGATGGACGTCTAAAATGAATGTTTTGCTGTTGTTGGTCGTTTAATGTTTGTTCGTTTTCTGTTGTTGTGTTTTCCTTTTCTGTTGTTGTTAAATGGGAATGAATTGAAGAGCGCCACCAACTAAACAAAAATAAAATCAGAATTAAATCTGAACTTAACCAGAATTTAGTCAGAATTTAAACAGAATTAACCAGAACTCAATGGAAAAATAAAATCAGCATTAAATTAAAACATGAAAAGAATTAATCAGAATTTAATCTGAACTTAATCAGAATTAAATTTGAACTTAATCAGAATTCAATCAGAATTACCCTTTTTTCTGTGTGCAACAACTAAAATTACATTCACTACCATTTCCAACTAAGTTTGTATTATTTGTTGCATTATTGCTTGTTGAAGTCCCAGCAGAAGTTGCAGCAGATGAGGAGCAATAAAAACTGTCTCTACCTTCTTTAAAAATTAAAATTAAATAAATTTTATTTTATTATTTAACCATCTTTTTCTCGATTTTTTTCACGAGAACGAAATTTTTGAAAAAATTGTTGAGAAGCAGAAGAGGATGTTGTGACTGATGTTAAATTGCCTACAACACCAACTGTGGCAGTTTTGTGCAAATTTTTTCTAAAATTTTTAATTCCTCTTAGAAAATAATTTAGTTATGTATTTTATACCTTCTAGGACTAGCACTAGAATATCCACTCTCTTTCCCTCCACTACAAAATCCATTGCTTGGAATCTCAGAATTTTTTGGTGTTGTTGTTGTACTGTTATTTGTCTTAAAAATAATTTTAAATAAAATTAAAAATATTTTATTTTACTTTATTTAATATCAAAGCTTGTGAAAATGCAGCAGAAGGAGAAGATAAATTAGTTGGTTGTTGACAGCAAGGGCAACGATAATCCCCATTTAATTCACAATTATTTATTGAAGAAATTAGCAACTTTTAATTAAAAAATAATTATTTTTCATAAAAATCCCTTAATTTACTTGTTTATTCCCTAAATTAATTCTATTCAAATTTTCAGAGCTTTTTGACCTTGTTGCGGCCGTTGCTGCTTTAATTAAATGTTTTTGGTTAAGTGTGGAAAGGGAATTTGTGGAGCGAAGACGGCCTTTAAATTAATTTTTAAATTTAAATTAATTTAAAATTAAAAAATAAATTACAATTTCTTTCATCAATATTCTCGTCTTCTCTATTCTTTCTTTTATTTGGAGGGACATCAGCTAGCCAAGTACCTAAATATTTCGAAGGATTTTTAAAATATTTTAGTAATGTAAATTTAGCATAATAAATTGATATTTAATTATTTGAATAGGGGTAGGTAAGGAAGGAATTTTTGTAAAAAAAATTGGGGCTATATGGATACTTGGTAATTAGCCAGTTTAATTTAAATATTTAAAAAGTTTAGGTGAATTATTAACATTTTTAATTTATAATTTAATTTTTCTCTTACTTAATTGTGTTGTTAATTTATTCCAAACATTAGTCATTTTCTTTAATTTATTTTTTTAATTAAAAATAATAATAAAAATAAAATTTAAATAAAATTAATTTTTAAATAATCTAAAAATAAATAAATATTTATATATTATCATTCAACGTTCTAGTTTTTATTTTTTCAATCAATTTATAAAAAATAAATAAAATTTATTTTAATAAGATTAAATGTCAAAAAAAAATAAAATTAAAAAATATTTTTGAAAGAAAATTATATTTTTAATTTTTAAACTAAAAATGGCCTTCCAAATAAACTAAAATAAATACTATTTTTGTAATTTTTCTTTAAATTTTAAGTAGAAGGAAATTAAATACGAAAAGAGAAATTTTGGCGCAAATAACTAAAAAAGGTGATGAACTTCCAACTTTGCCAAATATAAATTTGTTTAAATAAATGTTTAAAGTTTAATTGAAAGATTTAAAATTAAAAAAAAGTTGAAAGATTTAAAAAATGGCTATTTCTTCGAGACAATAAGTTTCGAAAATTTTGGAATAAAAAAGTAAAAATTTTAATGAAAGAAGGAAAGTGAAGAAAAAATAAATATTTCTTTAAATTATGGATATTTGTAAATACGTACAAAATTTCTGAGTTCAATTCCTTTCACGTATTTCTACAGTTACGCCGAAAAGACCCTCCAATAATTTATTTTTATTTTTTTATCATTAACATAATCGTAAATAATTAATTATTTTTAATTAAACTAATTTTTTTAAACTTTAATTAATCAAAGTCAAAATTAATTCAAAATTTATTTATTTTATTACAACCAAATAAATTATAGAAAATTATGAAAAGATTTGAGAAATAAATAAAAATATTTTTTTCGGTTTATATCTCCGACCACCAATAAAAATTTTAAATTGGAGTTTAAGTAAAGTTTATTAAATATTTCTAAAAATTGATTTAATTAAAAAAAATAAAAGTGATTAGTAAAGAGGCAACTGACAATAAAAATAAAAAGAAAAATATTTTTGCCTCCCCCAAATAATCAGATGAAAAATTGGAAAGGAAGTACATTTAGAAAATATTAGAAGAGGAAATGATAGCAAAATTAGAAAATAAAAAAAAATAAATTAAAAGGAGGGAAAGGAGGGGGGGGGGAGGGGGGGGGGTATTTAGAAGAAAAGTGAGAGAAAAAGGGAAGGAGGATTGTGTATTTGTTTCTAATGAAATGAGGAATTAAATGAAAGAAAATGGACGTGATTCAAAGAAGAAAGAAAGGAGAAAATGAGGTAAATTACATAAAAAGTATAAATATATTACACACTCATCAAAGCATCTGTCAGTAAATGATTCCTCAAAAATAAGATTTTTTATTAAATGGCCAAAGGCAAAAAATTAGAGAAATAAAGGAAAATGGAAGGAAAAAGAATCTCCTCAAACATTTCAGTAAAATATTTTGAAATTACAAATTTAATCAACAGATTCACTAGTTATCTCAAAAATCTCTTGAGCAAAGATATCCACACGAGATACGTCATTTCAAGACTTTCCATTCATTTACCAAATATTTCACACCTTTGAGATATCACAGAAAAGAAAAAAAAATAAAAATATTTTTTCCTCCCCCAAAATAATTGAGAGGAAAATAAGCAAAAGTAATTCAGTATTGAGGGAATTCCTTAAAGGGATGAAGTGTTGTCCCCTCTTTTTATAAAAAATTTAAAAAATAAATTAATTTTCTAAACCAAACAAATTTAATTTAAACGAATTAACAAAAAAAGCAAAAAAATCTCCAAATAATCTCCAAAAACTAACAAAAAATAACCCTTCCCCCCCCCTCTGTTCAATTTGGCCAAATTTGTTTTTCCTTTTTTTAGCCTTTCCTTTTTTTATTTATTTCTAACTCATTGAATAGAGAATAGTAACTTTTTTTATTTTTAGCCCTTAGGGCCTTTACAACAATCCATTCATTTGTGAGGAGAATAGGGATGTTACGACGTAGTATTGTTTTGGCGCAGACATAGGGAATGGTCAAAATTAAAATGCAGAATCAGGAAATTTTGTAAAAATTAAATAAAAATACCTCTAAAATTAAAGTATTCCAATAGCTCAAAAATTTTTTTGATTATTACTAAAATGTCTAATTTTTTAAGGAACATAGGGCCATAAGGCTATTTAGATTTTTGAAACCAAAAAAAATAAAACTTATGGGGGAGTTGGCTGATATAATGAAAGATTTTCTGTATAAAATTTCTCGTAAAGTCCACAATATTTAACAAGTTTATATATGACAGCGCCAAACATCCCCACTTCCTAACAACCCCTCTTCATTTTAGTTCTCAAAAAGAAATTTACAAAAATATTTTGAGGCGGATTGTTAATCTTTTTTGCATCTTTTCCCCTTCCACTTTATTCTTCTCGCTTCCGCCCCTTTGCTTTTCTTCCTTTTTTGGCACAATTTTCCAAATTTGGCAATACAAACGAAAAAAAGAGAGAATGAAATGGTTATTGGATATTTGAGTATATTTTTTTTGAAATTTTTATAAACACATTTGGGCTAATTAAAAAATATTTTAAATGGATTAATAAAGAGAGAACTTAAAAGATCTAAAAACCTCTCATTAATAGAGAGACTGTAAATTCAATCCTTCAACGAGGCGAGTTTCCTCCAATTCTGGCTAAATTAAGATAGCTTGTCCTTGTCTACAAGTAGTTACCCCCCCCACAAGGTTGCACTGCGTGCAACCTTATGGAGGAGGAAGTCGGCAAATCAAAGGAAACCAAAAGGTAAAGACACATTTCATATTCCTAACCACCCTTTTCTTACCACCCCTTGGTTGCAGGGCAGTAGTTAATAATACCCAAATCGCTCCCAAATCGCTCTTCTACCCAAATCGCTCATACCCTTTTCGCTCACACTACCCAAATCGCTCACTCCCTCATCAATAAAACCTAAGCCTATAGGGGGTATTTTTTGATATTTGCCACAAACACCTTTCTTTGGGAAGTGTTTAGGGGTAATTAATCACGATTAATTAGGGTAATTAATCATTCCATTATTAATTTCCCTTTGGCCTTTGTGGGGAATGAAAAAATAATTTTTGTGACGTTTCATGGTGAGACACATTTTGTTAAAAAATTTGACAATATGAAATTTGACATTTTGAAATATTTTTAGTCTTGATAGAAAAATTTAAAAGGGACTTTCTAATTTAAAAATAAATTTAAAAAATTAAATAAAAATAGTTTTAATTAAATAAAAATGATAAAAAATAAAATTTACAAAATTTTGCATAAAATATAAAATGATTTTAAAAAATGACCGGAAGTACAAATGTAAGGGGTTTATTTCAAAATGCCAAATTTAAAAATTGGCGGGCATTTCAAAATTTAAAAAATTTCCAAAAAATTTTAAAATGTCAAAAAATAATAAAAATAAATCATAAAATTTAATAAATAATTATAAATTAAAAAATGAGGGAAAAAATTTGACAAAATTCTAGAAAAAAATTAAAATGATTTTAAAAAATGAACGGAAGTACAAATGTAAGGGGCGGAGCTAATTATTTCGAAATACCAACATTCAAAATGTCAAACGACAAAATGCCAATTTTCAAAATGTCAAGCGACAAAATGCCAATTTCCAAAATGTCAAGCGACAAAATGCAAACTTTATAAATGTCACCGACAGATTGATGATTTTAGAGCGAATAGATTTTACTAGTATCTTCATTTGTCCTTGACTAAAATATTTCGTAATCGCCTATCCGTCTGAAACGAAGAGTATAAAAGGCAAAGTTTTTATCATTCTTAACCATTTAACTCAAAAACCAAAAACACTTTCTACAATTTAAAATTAAAAACTTTAAAATGGCATTTAATAACGATCAAACTACACCCTCTGCCAATAAGCGCGCAAGATTTCTCATCCGAGATCTTCTTCCACATTTATTCATTGACACACAAACCGGTGCAGGTGCATTAAATTTGCAAAACTATTATCGACAAATAGACTACGATACATCATTTAACCGTAAATTTAAAATAATGGGGACAACAGGCAAGTTTATTATTGAAAAGCTACCCGAGAATCCGGAGGAACTACTGAGAAAAATAATTCACGATTGTATGGATCAAACCATCGAAGCCTCAAGAAGGCAATCAATTGACCGATTAGGAACTATAATATCTTCACAATTATTAGACAACGACATATGGATCAACGACATATGGATAGACAACGACATATGGATCAATTGACCGATTAGGAGCTATAATATCTTCACAATTATTAGACAACGACATATGGATCCCAATTAGAAAAATTGAAAATGATACTATCGATAACATTCTCAATAGATTCCAGCTTGTTTCTCAATCTAAGATAGAAAAAGGTTCTCTTCTTGGCCAACCATTCACAGTTAAAATCCAGACACTTGGTATTTCATCATTGCCAAAGAATCAATCAATTAGAGGACGCGCACCCCAAAAAAATTCTGCAATAATTACACATATAAATATTGATCGATTAATAAAAATTTCAAACCCAAACAATTTATGTTTATTCTATGCGCTGGAAATAACAAGAAAATATTTTGCTAAAGAATTGGGCGCTAAATGGAACTTTTCAAGATATTTAAAAAATGGCGACAGACAAATGGATGATGTTTTCAACCTCATAAAATCAGCAAAAATCCCTCATGATCTTCCTGAATATGATGCTGTGGAATATGTACCAGTTGTTGTCGATTTTTGGAATAATAAATACAAGGATGCAGGCTATAAATTTAAAGTATTTATTTTTGGAAGTATCAGTGAGAAACCTATATTCAAATATGGGAACGATAATTTTAACATGCCTATTTCAATTTTTCACAAAAATAACCATTTTGATGGAATAAGATTTGTTGGAGGTATGTTTGGGTTGAAACACAAATACTGCTTTACCTGTGAAAAAAAGTTTCGAAAGTCAAAGGAACATGATTTGAAATGTAAATCTCTCTGCAGATTATGTGGACGCATTGGAAGTGAACGACCTTGTGTGGCAACAGGAGACTTTTACAAGAAATGTGATGAATGTGGGAAAATATATTTGAATGGAGAATGCTTCAACCATCACAAAAAGATTAGCAATTGCCGCCAAACAAAACAGTGTGATAAATGTGGAGTAATCTGGTCAATGAAAAATTACAAGAGAGAGGCTGAAAAGAAACATGTTTGTGGTCAAAAGTGGTGTCAAATTTGTCGTCAGTTTCACAACGTGGATAGAGGATGTTTTATTCGCCCTTTGGAACTGAAAAAAGGAGTTGATTATCGTCTGGTTACTTTCGATTTTGAGGCCACACAAAATGAAGTGATAAAAAATGATAATGAAGAAAGACGGCTACACAACGTAAACTTTATCGCAGCAACAGTAACTTGTACAAAATGCATGGAAAATGAACAATTATGGCGCTCACCTCTAAGGCAAAAAGGAAATAGTTGTACAATCTGCGGGAACAATCGATCCATAACATTTTCACACCGTCCATTCAATCAAACAAAAGTTGATAAGCAAATCGTCACACAAAACCCGCTTAAATTCTTCATACAATGGATTCTTTTTGAACTTAACCCTCAATATACAACAATGGCATTTTCACACAATGGAGGGCGTTATGATATGATTATGGTGTTCAAAGAAATATATGTAAATGGTGTTGTTCCATCAATAATTCGTCGTGGTAATAAACTTTATGAATTGAAAATTCCCCGCAACAATAAATGCAATGAGGTTATATTCCGGGACTCGTATAACCTTTGTCCAGTCGCTCTGGGGAAGCTGATTGGTGCATTTGGGCTACAAGTAACTGAAAAACAATTTTTTCCGCATTTGGCAAACATCTCTGAAAATTATGGTAAAACTCTACAACAACTACCCCCGAAATCTGATTACTTATATGGAGGAATGCCCCCTCAAAAGCAAAACGAATTTGATAAATGGTATGAAGTTGAAAAAAATAATCAATTTTGTTTGGATGAAGCTTTGGCTGAATATTGCACAAACGATGTACAAATACTTACAGAAGCATTGATCGCCTTTAGAAAAAAATTTTCGGAGATCAGCAAAAAGAAAACTACACGACCTGGAGCAGTAGTTGAAGGAATCGATATTTTGAAGGATGCAATGACAATTGCATCGGCATGCATGAAACATTTCCGACTCAATCATCTGCAGCCTGAACATTTGGCAATTGTTCCCGAAAAGGGATATGAAAATATTGATAATCAAAGTGAGCTTGTCCTGAAATATTTACAATGGTATGAAGAAACAAAAGGAGTGGAAATACAAAGTGCACATTCGGAAAGTGGCGAACATGTAGTGGATGGAAAATATAAAGTAGATGGATATATAGCGGCAGAAGATAGGGCAATTGAAGTAAATGGCTGTGTTTGGCATGCATGCCAAAAATGCTTTGGAGATGATTTGAACAAAATATTGCCCAATGGAAAAACTGTGGGAGAGACACGTGAAGATGATGGGAAAAGGATGGAAATAATTAAAAAATATATAAAGAATGTTGATATTATATGGGAATGTGAAATTCATCAGATGCTTCGTCGCAATCAGAAAATGAGGAAAGCTTTTGCAAATTACCACAACAAAGGACCAATAAATATTAGAGACTGCTATTTTGGCGGGAGAACTGGACCACTACACATGCACTTTGACGCAGAAAAAGAACAACACAAAATTGCCTACTTAGACTTTAATTCACTTTACCCCTCAACAATTGCTACAACATCATTTCCTGTTGGGCATCCGAAAGTGATTGTTGTACCATTGGCTGAACAAAAAGTTTATTGGACAAGAAGTGAGCAGATTCCGTTCAAAGGAATTTTAAAAGTGTTTTTGCTACCACCGCCTCAACTGAATGTTCCTGTAATTCCAGTTAAGTTTGATGAAAGACTTCTATTCCCACTATGTAGAAAATGTGCACTCATGTACCCAAATGGCGCAAATATCAAAGATTACCATTGCCCGCACAATGATGAGGAGAGAGGCTGGGTCTCTACATGTACATCACTTGAATTGGAAGAGGCATTAAAAGTTGGATACACAGTTACAAGATTTTATAGAGCTTTACATTATGAGAAATGGGATGAAAATTTATTTAAAAATTATGTGGCCGAATTTATGGCAATGAAAATACACGCAAGCGGGTTCCCTGAAGGAATAGAAGGAAAAGAAAATGAGGAAAATTTTATAAAAGAATGTAAAGAAAAATTTGGAATTGAACTTCAAAGAGAAAAAATGGTTCCGGATCAGGCAATGCGCTACATTTCAAAATTAATGCTTAATTCGTTATGGGGAAGGTTCAGTTTACGGAATGGCCTGTCAAAGAGTTTAATCATCAACTCCCCCAATGAACTACGTGAGTTTGACAACAATAAATCAATTGAAATACAATCTGCTGATGATCTAACTGAAGATACTGTTCTATTGACCTATAAGCCAAGAGAAGAATTTATAATAGAACATGACACTTCAAATATTGTGATTTCCTTATGGACAACGTCGGCAGCAAGAATTAGATTATTAAAAGCAATGCAAACTGTAGCAGGAAAACTTGACTGCAATCTTCTCTATGGGGATACCGACAGTATATTATTCTCTTACCCAAAGGACATGGAATGTCCGCTCCAAACCGGTCCCCATCTTGGTGATTTGGCACGAGAGTACGCAGGATTTGAAATAAAAGAATATGTTGGAGGGGCATGCAAGGCTTATGCACTGAGAATGGAAAACAACAAAAATGCAAAAACAAATAGTGTTCTGAAAGTACGTGGTATCACTTTAACAGCAGATGTCTGTAAAATTTTGCACTTTGACACTTTCAAGGAAAGCGTACTTAAATATGCAAAGGGGGGAAACGAAGATGAGGAAGAGTATGAATTGGATAGAGGAGAAATTATGATTGAAAATCTAAATTTTATACGGCGGAATGTGAAAGATGGTATAGTTTACTCAACTAAGATGAGAAAAATATATAGACCAATGATACAAAAGGGGATAATTTCAAAAAAGCTCAAAATTGTAAATTTTGGACAAAAATAATTTTTCAATTGTATTGTAATATTTCACAATATTTTTTCAATTGAATCTTTATATTTTCATAATGTTATTAAGCAGTACATTGTTATTTTAAATTTTTTAAAACTGTATTTAAATTTGTTGATAAAACTGTTCTATTAATTGATTTAATTTTAGGGTTAAATTTTAGTTTTAGTTTTTAATTTTCTAATAAATTTATTAGAAAATTAAAAAAGTATCTCCATTTTTCGCAAACCTTCCTGAAAGGGATTATCCATTGGATAAATATGTAATTAATATACCTATTAATACTATGAATATACTAATTTGAACACACAACACTATAATACTGTGCCAAACAAAAAAATATTAGTTGTAATTAATGTAAAAAAGATTATGAAGGAAAGACTGACATAATGCTAAGGGTTATAATATACTTACAATTACAATAACATACATTTCTGTGTGAATGTATTCATAAACACTCATTATATCTGCGTGCACACACTATTCATTTACACAAACGAACACTATTCTACTGTAAATTATTAGTTATTATTAAAATTGTTATATTGCTAAGGACAATTATAAAATTACTGTATCGTTAAGTGATTGAAGATAACTTACTGTAAATCTAAGAGTTTGAAGATAAAATTTGTGCAAATTTAAGAGATACAAGATATAATTCATGCAAAGTTAATTAACGGATGATGCAGATTTTGGGGGTAAAAGTGCAAAGTTAAGCGTTAGAAGATACAATCTATGTAAAGTTAAGCATAAGAAGATACAATTTATGTAAAGTTAAGGAAATTTATAGAAATTTTGAGTAAAACTACGCAAAAATGTGAACACTCGTGACTTGAGGCATATTGAGCCATATGCTTGTCTTGATGCATATGTATGTTCTGCAGTGAGTGACCAATCTAAACTGATGAACACACGCATGCAAACATACTATTCTGGTGTAATTTTAAGAATTATATGATTAATTTACTGTAAAGCTATGAGTTTGATAATACAATTGTAGCAAAATTCAACATTAGAAGATACAATTATTAAAATGTTAAGGGATATTAGTATAAAATTGATATAAAGTTAAAGAAATATCACATATTTTGAATAAAATCAGCAAAAATTATGGTTCACACATAATCTCTCAACTGTTACAACTATCCTGGGAGGTAGCTTTTGAGGGAGGGGCAGGTTTTGAATGATTAATTGACATGTGACAAGGGTTAATTGTCAAGTACAAGAGCTATCAATGATTGACACTTCAAATATGGTAACCGCAAAAACATGTGATAGTCAAGTTCGTATTCGTAAAATTAATTTTTACCGTAACGGAAAAACTCGCAAACCTTTTGGTTTCTTTCTTAACATTCAAAATTTCATTCATACTGAATATCAATAATTCAATAGAAGATTATGTTTCCTACACCCTCAGAATCCTCTTGATATCATAATAATTTTCCTGCAATCTCTGTAACGTAAAATACCCAGACCTTCAGGTTTGTTATTAAAACCTTTAGCTTTCAAAAGGTACAAAAAATTATATCCAATAAACTCAAAACTATCAAATGTGTCCCAATGTATAATTTTGAGTTTATTGGATATAATTTTTTGTACCTTTTGAAAGCTAAAGGTTTTAATAACAAACCTGAAGGTCTGGGTATTTTACGTTACAGAGATTGCAGGAAAATTATTATGATATCAAGAGGATTCTGAGGGTGTAGGAAACATAATCTTCTATTGAATTATTGATATTCAGTATGAATGAAATTTTGAATGTTAAGAAAGAAACCAAAAGGTTTGCGAGTTTTTCCGTTACGGTAAAAATTAATTTTACAAATACGAACTTGACTATCACATGTTTTTGCGGTTACCATATTTGAAGTGTCAATCATTAATAGCTCTTGTACTTGACAATTAACCCTTGTCACATGTCAATTAATCATTCAAAACCTGCCCCTCCCTCAAAAGCCACCTCACAGGATAGTTGTAACAGTTGAGAGATTATGTGTGAACCATAATTTTTGCTGATTTTATTCAAAATATGTGATATTTCTTTAACTTTATATCAATTTTATACTAATATCCCTTAACATTTTAATAATTGTATCTTCTAATGTTGAATTTTGCTACAATTGTATTATCAAACTCATAGCTTTACAGTAAATTAATCATATAATTCTTAAAATTACACCAGAATAGTATGTTTGCATGCGTGTGTTCATCAGTTTAGATTGGTCACTCACTGCAGAACATACATATGCATCAAGACAAGCATATGGCTCAATATGCCTCAAGTCACGAGTGTTCACATTTTTGCGTAGTTTTACTCAAAATTTCTATAAATTTCCTTAACTTTACATAAATTGTATCTTCTTATGCTTAACTTTACATAAATTGTATCTTCTACCACTTAACTTTGCACGTTTACCCCCAAAATCTGCATCATCCGTTAATTAACTTTGCATGAATTATATCTTGTATCTCTTAAATTTGCACAAATTTTATCTTCAAACTCTTAGATTTACAGTAAGTTATCTTCAATCACTTAACGATACAGTAATTTTATAATTGTCCTTAGCAATATAACAATTTTAATAATAACTAATAATTTACAGTAGAATAGTGTTCGTTTGTGTAAATGAATAGTGTGTGCACGCAGATATAATGAGTGTTTATGAATACATTCACACAGAAATGTATGTTATTGTAATTGTAAGTATATTATAACCCTTAGCATTATGTCAGTCTTTCCTTCATAATCTTTTTTACATTAATTACAACTAATATTTTTTTGTTTGGCACAGTATTATAGTGTTGTGTGTTCAAATTAGTATATTCATAGTATTAATAGGTATATTAATTACATATTTATCCAATGGATAATCCCTTTCAGGAAGGTTTGCGAAAAATGGAGATACTTTTTTAATTTTCTAATAAATTTATTAGAAAATTAAAAACTAAAACTAAAATTTAACCCTAAAATTAAATCAATTAATAGAACAGTTTTATCAACAAATTTAAATACAGTTTTAAAAAATTTAAAATAACAATGTACTGCTTAATAACATTATGAAAATATAAAGATTCAATTGAAAAAATATTGTGAAATATTACAATACAATTGAAAAATTATTTTTGTCCAAAATTTACAATTTTGAGCTTTTTTGAAATTATCCCCTTTTGTATCATTGGTCTATATATTTTTCTCATCTTAGTTGAGTAAACTATACCATCTTTCACATTCCGCCGTATAAAATTTAGATTTTCAATCATAATTTCTCCTCTATCCAATTCATACTCTTCCTCATCTTCGTTTCCCCCCTTTGCATATTTAAGTACGCTTTCCTTGAAAGTGTCAAAGTGCAAAATTTTACAGACATCTGCTGTTAAAGTGATACCACGTACTTTCAGAACACTATTTGTTTTTGCATTTTTGTTGTTTTCCATTCTCAGTGCATAAGCCTTGCATGCCCCTCCAACATATTCTTTTATTTCAAATCCTGCGTACTCTCGTGCCAAATCACCAAGATGGGGACCGGTTTGGAGCGGACATTCCATGTCCTTTGGGTAAGAGAATAATATACTGTCGGTATCCCCATAGAGAAGATTGCAGTCAAGTTTTCCTGCTACAGTTTGCATTGCTTTTAATAATCTAATTCTTGCTGCCGACGTTGTCCATAAGGAAATCACAATATTTGAAGTGTCATGTTCTATTATAAATTCTTCTCTTGGCTTATAGGTCAATAGAACAGTATCTTCAGTTAGATCATCAGCAGATTGTATTTCAATTGATTTATTGTTGTCAAACTCACGTAGTTCATTGGGGGAGTTGATGATTAAACTCTTTGACAGGCCATTCCGTAAACTGAACCTTCCCCATAACGAATTAAGCATTAATTTTGAAATGTAGCGCATTGCCTGATCCGGAACCATTTTTTCTCTTTGAAGTTCAATTCCAAATTTTTCTTTACATTCTTTTATAAAATTTTCCTCATTTTCTTTTCCTTCTATTCCTTCAGGGAACCCGCTTGCGTGTATTTTCATTGCCATAAATTCGGCCACATAATTTTTAAATAAATTTTCATCCCATTTCTCATAATGTAAAGCTCTATAAAATCTTGTAACTGTGTATCCAACTTTTAATGCCTCTTCCAATTCAAGTGATGTACATGTAGAGACCCAGCCTCTCTCCTCATCATTGTGCGGGCAATGGTAATCTTTGATATTTGCGCCATTTGGGTACATGAGTGCACATTTTCTACATAGTGGGAATAGAAGTCTTTCATCAAACTTAACTGGAATTACAGGAACATTCAGTTGAGGCGGTGGTAGCAAAAACACTTTTAAAATTCCTTTGAACGGAATCTGCTCACTTCTTGTCCAATAAACTTTTTGTTCAGCCAATGGTACAACAATCACTTTCGGATGCCCAACAGGAAATGATGTTGTAGCAATTGTTGAGGGGTAAAGTGAATTAAAGTCTAAGTAGGCAATTTTGTGTTGTTCTTTTTCTGCGTCAAAGTGCATGTGTAGTGGTCCAGTTCTCCCGCCAAAATAGCAGTCTCTAATATTTATTGGTCCTTTGTTGTGGTAATTTGCAAAAGCTTTCCTCATTTTCTGATTGCGACGAAGCATCTGATGAATTTCACATTCCCATATAATATCAACATTCTTTATATATTTTTTAATTATTTCCATCCTTTTCCCATCATCTTCACGTGTCTCTCCCACAGTTTTTCCATTGGGCAATATTTTGTTCAAATCATCTCCAAAGCATTTTTGGCATGCATGCCAAACACAGCCATTTACTTCAATTGCCCTATCTTCTGCCGCTATATATCCATCTACTTTATATTTTCCATCCACTACATGTTCGCCACTTTCCGAATGTGCACTTTGTATTTCCACTCCTTTTGTTTCTTCATACCATTGTAAATATTTCAGGACAAGCTCACTTTGATTATCAATATTTTCATATCCCTTTTCGGGAACAATTGCCAAATGTTCAGGCT